GCTGTGAACATAGGGTTGCACATATATTTTTGTATTGGTGTTTTGGGATACTTGGGGTATGTTCCCAGAAGTAGAATTACTGGGTCAAAGAGGACTTCCATTTTAAATTTTTGAGGACACTCCATATTGTTTTCTACAGTGGTGGTGCCAGACTCCATTCCTACTAACAGTGAACTAGGGTTCCCCTTTCTCCACATCCTCTCCAGCACTTGTTGTTTATTGATTTATCAATGATAGCCCTGACAGGTGTGAGGTGATGTCGCATTGAGATTTTAATTTGCATTTCTCAAATGATTAGTGATGTTAGTAACATTTTTTCACATGTCTGTGGGTGTTCCGTATGTCTTATTTGGAAAAGTGTCTGTTCAGGTCTTTTGCCCAATTCTTAAGCATGTTGTTTGTCTTGCTGGCATTGAGTTGTATTAGTTCTTTGTATATTTTGGATATTAAACCTTCATCACATAGCAGATTAGATGATTTCAAAATGTATTAGCTATAAGATACTTGAACATGCTAACTAAAATTAAATAGTCATCCTCATAAGTGGTTAGAGGAGTTCACAAAGATGTAAGGAATATTACCAGAAGCCAAAAACAAAGTAGAAATTAAACATGGCCTTCTTTCACTTTGGGTTTGGGAGTTGAGTTTAAACTCTGTAGTCTGGGAAACCTCAAACTGAGAAATTAACACAAAATTCCTTGGAGCAGTTGGTAGAAGTATATAGAGGTAATTCTTTTTGTGGAGGGGCCCATTCTCAACCTTGGCAGTAAAGGATTCCCGTGGAAAATGCACTACCAGAAATGAACCCAAAATCAAAATTACAAAACCCATGAGGTAAGTCACACTAAGTGCAAAAAGCAAATGCAATAAACAGCAGAGCTAGAACTCACATCCCCCTGAGAAATTCAAATAACATCATCTCTCAGCAACTCTAAAATAAGTACATCTAAAATGACTGAAGATATAAAATGGAATTGAAAACATGAGAAACCAAATTTACTTATATTGTTTTATATATAGTGTGTTATATATTGCTCTATATAGTGTAAATGCACGGTGCTAGAGTAGTTTAAAGAATGAAGAGAACTGCCAGAAATATTGGTGCTATTGCTTGACCATGAAGCTAAAATGTTGACAAGAAGAAACTTTACTTGCAGGAACATTACTTCTTTCAAGATATTAGTTAGATATTGCAAGTCAATGGCCCCATAGCAACTTGAAAAATGAATGTTCCTATAAACTGTAACACTAGCTTCTGGGGGGTGAGCTTCAATTTCAAATTAGGACCAACACAGATATTGCTTATGACACATAACCATGTCTTTATTCAGAAAAGCTAAGATAGATGCCATTTGTAAATTAAATTATTTCAAACAATCCAGAAGTTGCCAAGTAACACTCTTTCTGAAAGCATAAATAGAATACTGCAAAACTGTCTTATAATAAGGCAGTTAAATTTAGCATGGTAAAACCATGTCAAGATACAGGATTCTTTTTGCTTGCTAGCTGATAACATAAATTCTGGCTAAAATCACTAAACCTGAAATGTGTTAGGTTTAGTAAAGCAAGTGAGGAATAATTGCATTTCACTAGTAGAATGTGATATGATGGGAATCAAATGTTATCTACTCTAGATTTGATTTCAATTAATGAAAAATTAGTGTTATATAAACTACTACAGAAATTAATTTTTCCCAAAAGTGAACTGTAATTAAAAATACCCCCTTATTTTTATCATTGACATATAAACTTAAGGTCAGCATTTTCCCATTCTTGCCAATTGTTTTTAATGTGTGTGTTGAGGCCAGTAGGCTGTCAGGTGTCAACTTTCTACAGATCATATTCCATGTGGGAAAATGTGCAGTGCTCTTGTGGCAGAAAGAGAACTGTTTATTGCACGCATTATGTGGTCGCCTCAAACTTCTTATGAACTTAATATCTCTTCACAAGCTGGTGACAGACTCACTTTTTGCCAAAGTTCCTTTGTCAGAGTAGAATGAAATATAAGCTGTCAACTAAAGTTTGACAGTAATAACTACATGCAGCACAGTCATAAATTCTCTTTTTGGTGTAGCTTTGGGTCTAATCTTTCATCTAAACTCTCTGTTCTATTGTGCCTATTCATGGAAGTCTATTTTGCCTATTTTCATGCAGCCTACCACTTAATGTAATGAGTTCATAATGTAGGTCCTTGAAAAAGAACCTGGGATTTCTGTTATTGTTTTCTTTGCCATTGTTCATTCTCCTTTATTGATCTTTTACCTATTACAAGCCCAGATGGAGGAGAAATAGAAAGATAGCATACACTAAACCTATGTAAAAAAGAATGGTTACTGTGAGAATTCCTGTTATAATTTCCACTATTTTCTTTACCAGGCACAAGAAGTTATAGCTTTTAAATGCATATACTTCAAAACAGAAAAACAGTAACAAAAATGTCAGATGATAAAGCCTAGGAATGTTCAACTTTAGCCAGTGAAAATGGCTGTGATAATTTGTGTAAAAAAGTTTAAAGATACTATGTGAAATTTGAGGTAAAATTTTCAGTGTTATTACATTTTATATAAGTACATAAGATATCTAGGCTTATATTAGAAATAAATACTTTTCATGTGGCTTTAATATTTACAAATAACTGAACATTATTAAAATGTTTACTTTTTGAGTCATGAAATTCAATTTGGTTTTCTTTTAGGATTTTCCAGCATGTGTGTCACTTGTGAAAAATTTTAAAGTAAAAAAAGTCAAGCAGTTATTAGATTGGGAAAAAAATCAATATATCATTTATAACTTCTTCATAGTTTTAAAAGATTTTATTTATTTATTTTTAGAGAGGGGGAAGTGGGGAGAAAGAGAGACAGAGAAACACCCATGTGCCAGAGATACATCAATCCGTTGCCTCCCATACACCCCCAACTGGGGACCTGGCCCTCATGCAACACAGGCATGTGTCTTGACTGGGAATCGAGCAAACGACCTTTCAGTTTGCAGGTTGGCACTCAACCCACCGAGCCACACTAGCCAGGGTGCTTCTTCATATTTTCAGTTGGCTTATACAGGTTGACTTATGAAGCTAAGAGAAACTACTGTAAATTAAGGAGAGGACTTAGTAATATATACATTGGTTATATATATTTCCACCCTTTCCAGAGAGTCAATATGTGTTTTAAAATTAAAATTTTTATTTTAAAATTTCTTTGGAAGAAAAATATTGTTCTCTAAGCAAATTTCAAGCTTAACCTTTTAATTTATTCTGTAGTCACATCTTTGTAAGTGTCTAGTATATTTTACGGTTTTGATTGTGTTTAGGTAGATACATGTTTTTGGACCAATATTTAGGATGTAACTATAAATAATTAAGTCATCTGTTTAGAATTACAGTATATTAATTTCTCATTTAATTAGTTTGAGTGATTGTCTAATTACTTTAAGACTAATGACTAATAACTCTTTAATAAATGTTAATTAAACACACACTATACTTAAATTATTTAAACTTTAAAAAGCAGTTATTTAAACTCATTCATTAAAATTATAAAATAAGTATACAAGCATGTGTGTGTATACGTAGCACATAGCTACTTATAATTTTAGTAAACTGTGTGTGTCTTCATGCTTAAAATGTGAATTTATAGGGAAACCTCTTCTCTTGGCTCATGGAATTAGTAATCATGTAAGCAGTGGAAGGTTATTAAGATCATTCAAGACAAGAGAAAACAATCATCAGATCTCGGACACAAACAAGGAACTGTTTATGTAATAGATATTGGGCATGCAACAATTAGAACTTCATAGAAAGAACTGGGAAGTCATTGTAGAAGAGGTGCCTGAGTACAAGACGTTAAGAATTGGTGTGCTTTTTCTTCATATAAGGTAGTTCCTCTAGGGTTAGACATTCCTTACCACTGGGGTCTGTTAAATGAATCTGATGATAATGCAGGTAACTCATGGTATCTGCTATAGGGAATGTGTGTCCATTACATAGGCATGGTTTTCATTCACTTACAGGGCTTAGATGATCTCTGTGGAGTTCATTATGAAATATTTGAGTGGTTCTCTGATGCTAATCTAGGTAATCAGTATATGAAGACCTTCTTTGTTGTCTAACTGTGTATTTGTTATAAAGGATGCAAAAATTAGGTGTGAAGGGAAGGTTTTCAAGGCTAGATGAGTTTGTTTTCTTTTTAAAGTCAAATATTAGATTATCATCTTTGTGTGTTATTTTCTACTTTTGTTGCAGCATGTTTAAAAGAAATAGCTGTGGCCACATAAACATATCAATTTAAACTACACTGTAATGGGACTTCAGTTGAAAATACATGCACATAATTATAGTTTACTTTTCATTCTTAAAGGAACATTTATGAGAGCACCTAGACAGTCCAGGAATGATAAGGTTTTATTTCATTTTTTAAGTAAAGTAATTATTTTGTGAATAAAATATAAAGAATAGATGAATAATTTGGGCATAATGATGATCTCAAATGACATCAGGAGTTAACAGGATTTTTAAAAAAATATTATTTTTTTTCTGGATTTCAGTATTTGCTACAAACCTATCCTATTTAATACAGTATGACAGTAACATAAGGACAGGGATATAGCCAGACCCCAGAATGGGAAATCTTTCTAATTCATACATCTAAATATTTCTTTCATTAATTAATTTTGATGCTGCTGTTTATACAGTTTGTAAAAGGCTAAAATAGGCTAAAAAGGAGTATGATGTGCAGGATCCGGGTAGGGTGAAACTAATACGGGCTCCTGTAAGAGGCTGCCATGCATTGCTAATGAGAGACTCAGCCAAAAGGTTGCCTGCGATTTCTAAAGCTTCAGATGCTGTATGTAGTTAGAAAGACAGGAATTCCTTTACAAATTACTTTATTACAAAGCTATATTTCTAAGAATTTGACCATTCTACAAACATACACCCTTCTAAGATGCCATCATAGTAAAGACCAACAATTTGGTTGCATTTCAGAAAAAAAGTCTACACTGAAATGAACATTGTGAGAAAACTCAATTTAATGATACCTTGGAGTAAATTCTTGCTTCATATACTGCTGTTTTCATTACAAGGTAAGAACTCATGTAATATTTTTACCTTATTTTGTATTAAATTTTAGTTTTTGTTGAAATAGATAGAAATAGTTTTTCCTTATACTGTAAAGCAGTTACTTTGAAGTCATTAGAATGGATATAAACTAAATTACAGCCAGATCATCTTTTTGAAAATTGTTAATAATGTAGATATACTTGGGACTTTTAGTTTTTTTGTTTTTTCTTTAAATGTTACAATTATGATTTTATTGTGTTATGCAACTTTACTAAAAGAAGCTCTGATGATAACTTTTCTCTTCTAAAAATGATTTGAAATATTTGTCTCTGTAATTTAATTATTTGAAATTTTATAATAACTATAGAAAATTGAGTATTGAAACTTTCTTTATGCTAGCAACCCAAAGAATGGCCAAAAGATGTTTTAAAGATGTTTCAACAGTTGGTGTTCAGAATTGATTTTCAATTATTTATTTACAAATTAATTTTTATAGAATGTTTTTATGGGGAAAACATTGGTTTATAATCAGTTGTCAATTTCTAATTGCTGGAAAGGACTGTATATTTTGGAGCCTGTAGGAGAAGAGGAAGAAATTACTGAAATATAAATGTCTTGTGAGGTCATAGATGCTAACTTCTAATTCTAGGAGTGACTGAAGTTCTAGGGACAAAATATCATAGAGAGTTGAGAGAGGGAGTGGACCTTGGAGATGAACTTGTCTAACATCATTATTTTGTGATGTAGATGGAAGCTTGCTTAAGTTTGGCATTTATTAAGTGGCAGGAGAGAGACTAAAACTTGGATCTCTGGACTCTAAGTCTAGTGCTTGTTCTAGTGTATCACGTCTCCATGTAGATCCAGGTACACTACTCCTTTCTGAATCACCAGTTGCTGATGTCTCACAGGGAACCTGCTGGTCAAAGATCCTTTAGAAAATGCAAAACACCTAACAACAAAACTAAGCTTTAGAATTTAGTTTAAAATGATTTGTTTAATAATTAAAACATGTAACCAAAATATCTCTATAATTTTTTAGTGTTATGTACATATATTTTTATCTCTGGCAGGATATATTTGTGCATCATCCATTTTGACTGAAACATCAAAGTGAGTATTTTTTTCTTCATGTCCTATAAAACATAAAGTTATTCAGAATGAATGAATTTAAACAGATAACTATATCTTCTTATATTATATAAAATACAGATGAAACATTTTACAAAATAAGGACATTATATTTAGTTTTATTTTTTTAAAAGATTTTCTTTATTTACTTTCAGAGAGACAGGAAGGGAGGGACAAAGAGCGGGAGAGAAACATCAATGTGTGGTTGCCTCTCATACACCCCCTACTGGGGACCCAGCCCACAACCCAGGCATGTGCCCTGACTAGGAATCGAACTGGCAATCCTTCAGCTCGCAGGCCAGTGCTCAGTCCACTGAACCACACCAGCCAGGGGTACATTTAGTTTTTAAAAAATGTTTCCACCAATTAAAAATTAAAGCATTCAGTTCCTTATTTATGAAGCAAAAATGTTTTTTTTTAATTTTAATTATATGAGGAGTTTTTGGTGGTGTCCAAAGACTATAGATATGAAGGAGATATTACTTTTACTTCAAAGATTTGTAAAGAAGTTATACTCAGTAATTTCCCCTTTACATTATTATTTTGAATGTACATAGCTGATTATTACAAGTGTACTGTATCTTAAAATAGGGAAAAACTTATTTTAATGATTAAAAAGAATAAAATTGACCTAACACTAAATAATGAAAATCAGTCTTTGGACTAAACTGATCTGCTTAATGAAAAGCAGAATTCTATTTCCTATTGATTTTGATAAATCACGGTATGATGTGCTTTCTCACTTTAAAGCTAATCTGCCTTTTATGTCATGGTAAGAAGTAAATTAAGTTTTATGTTTGGTAAAAGTGAACATGCTTTTGGCAAATACTTATCTCACCAGTTTTATGAAGTCATTTGGAGAAAGTATCAGGCATGTTGGTGCTAAAATATTACACTATTTTATTTACTTCTCTATCTTGAAGTTCCTTCCTAAAATTCAGTTTACATCAGACACTGGAGAGATTTGGGGACACTCCCAGAATTTTGTAAAATGAGACAGTACCACCATCCAAATCTAACCCCTTCAAAAGAGGGAGGGGGACCTTTTAAATGTTAAACCAAGAAAGACCTCTTTGATAAGGCGATGGAAATCATGAGGAAAACACCAGCTCTCTCTTGGGAAAGGCTTGTTCAGGTTGCCTTGGGGCCTTTGACTATACAAGTTCTTTTTGTTTTCTTCCAGAAACGGATCTAATGAAAATCAACAGAAAAGAGCTCTTTTAGCAGCGCAGGTAGGTTATGCCTCAGATGGAGAGTGAGGCAGAGAAATAATACATTCTGCTTTGGGACTGTGCTGTCACTTCAACAATGAGACCTTTGTAGAGGGGAATGAAATGCTAAAAACAAGACTGGATGGAGGAGGAAGAGGCAAAGTAACTTCTCTACTGCTTTTCTGCGACCCTCAAATTCTTGTTTACAGTCAAATGCTTCTTTTAACTATTCACCTCAGTTTCCTATTGATAGACTCATAGCGTGTGTGGGAGATTCAATCTCATCTACTTGCCAGAAAATGTAAATGGGTTTAAAAATTAAGCCCAATATCAGTTAGAACAATGACAACAGAACAAATAGAAGTAAATGGGGCAGAGAAAGGTGTAAATGATCTGTGTTACATACTGCAAAAGGTCATCTGAGGTTTCCTGGTGTCCTGACAAACAGCTTTGATATTGTCTGATAAATCCAAATTATAGACAGACACCTCTGAGAGGCAACTTTTCTTTTTTCTTTTTTTTTTTTTTGAGGGGTGAGGTAACACTGAACTTGAGGACGCCTTTTTGCCTCAGTCCTTTCATATAAAGGATATTGGATCTTATAATTGCAGTATCATCAAACTGTGATTGGAATGTTCAAATGAGTGGGTTTTAAAAAAACATTTCTCTATAAAAGATGGATGGCAAAATAGAGAATCCTTCAAGACATTTCTTTGGAAGGTAACATGATTTGAGTACTTAGATAGCAAACAGCATGTGTATTCAAAGAGGCCTTTGTTAAATGCTGAAATGCAATCAATTTCTACAAGCATTTGTAGTAATGCCTGAAATGTTTTACATTTTCTTTTGCTGTTATTAAAGAGAATTGAAGACAGATTTGATATGCTGTTGTGACAATTCAGAAGGCAGAACTAATTTTTTTTATCAAGAGTGATAATTTTTGTACTAAAATGGGCAAAGGATTGTCTATGGAATGGAAATATTGCCTTTTTTTTCTTAGAGTGTTTTGTGTACTTCAGTACTTATGTAACATGTGAAGTGGTTAAGATGATTTTTCTCTGAGAAATTTTAAGTAAGTGTTTGCCAGTAGACCATATTAACTGCAAAAAGACATCATCTTGACTCAGTAGGAAATCTGATTTTGAGAAAAAGTGCATTCTGTTGAACCCACTACATTGAAAAATCTGTGAGATATACTCTGTAGGTGTCACATGAAGTGACCTAATGATGGGGTTATACAGGGTTGGGCAAAAGTAGGGTTTATAGATGTTCATATGTAAAATAATACAATGATTAATAAATAATAAAACAAGAATAAACTGTTTTGCATACTCACAAATATAAACTTACTTTTGCCCCATCCTGTGCTATTTTCAAGATAGATGCTTTTTAATTTGTATAACTTACTCCAGAGGATTTGTTAATACCTCCTTTTTGTTACTAAGTTAGGAAATTCCCTTGTTTTGATTTTCCTTTTTGAGAGAGAAAAGAGTAGGACACTCACCTTTTTATTTCCTGTAGTTAAAGAACATACATCAGAATTCTTTAATATTTGACCTAATTTTAAAAGAATAACTGTTAGAGAAGGAAATGAAGTCATAATCACACATTGAGCTGTTTAGGATTGAAATTTCATCTGTTGAGGCCATTCTTGTCCACAGGTTCACTCCCCTGCTCTAGGAAGACAGAACACTAATGGATAGATATCCCATACAAGTAAGGATTCAGAAATAGGTTGGCAATGAGATGAACAGTGAGCAAAGAAAGGGTAGACAGAGACTTCTCTCAATGGCATATTTGTGTGCTGCAGTGATTTCTCATGTAAAGACTGCATTTGTCATCAAAAGACTGCATTTCTTTGTGCTTCTCAGCCTCCTGTGGAGATGTAATCAGCAAGGAGGAAGAATGGGCTATTCTTTTTTTATCACTCATGTGACTATATGTACCCACTGCTTGAATTTTTTTTCATTTGCATTACCTTTAAAAATTCTTCTCCTGAAATCAGGGGCTGAGACCTACACTCAGGTGCAGGTAATTGACTTAGGATGTGCACAGTGAGGGAGAGAGAAAAGTGAGACTAGGAAGAGAGAAAATCCAACACAGCTATGCTGATGAGGGGCTTCCTGCTTTGGATATCTGGGGCTCAGTCTTGCTACGGGTTTTCTGAGGAGCTGTGTAGACTGCATTGGAGAATTGTTTCTCCAGTGAATGGGAAAAGCTGGGGTACTTATCTATCAACTCCTTTTCCCCCTTGGTTGATGGCAGCCTCAGGGGGCGGGGTGCTGGAGGGCTTTAAACCTTCCCCTGGAAGGCACTTTCTGTGGTCTATCCTGCTGGGATAATGCCCTTCCTCAGAGATAGAAAGGAGCCAGGGTTTGAAGCTGGAGGGTCTGACTGTGCACAAAACCTAGATGCAAGTGAAGTCAGATGAGAGGATGTGGGGAGGGGCATCAATAGACTTTTTTTTTATCCTCACCTGGGAACATTTTTTAAAATTGGCTTTAGAGAGAGAAAAGAAGGGGTTGGGTAGAAAGAGTGAGAGAAACATTGATGTGAGAGAGAAACATCAATCTGTTGCATCTTGTGTGCATCCAGACTGTGGGTAGAACCCACAACCCAGGCATGTTCCCTGACTGGGAGCTAACCCCGAAGCCTTTTGGGTTATAGGACTACATTCCAACAAACTGAGCCACACCGGCCAAGGCAAGAGACTCTTTTATAGTCATGGTTCTTAGTAGCCTTGGGAGGCAGATCATTCCCATTTGAATAATGTCTATTTTCAGTTTAGTCAGTGTTTGTTGATGACATACAGGAGAACTCACTAGAGATATGACCATGAATAGCAGTGCTTGTTATGTAGAAACTCATTGTCTAGCAGAGGCCAATAAGGAAGTTATTTTTGTGTGACATGTTCATTGAATCTAAGATACTATCAATTATTTGCCATTATTTTTATCACATAAAAAATAAAAGTGCTCCTAATTATAAACATAGAATACCATTCTGAGTTCAGATCTGTTTAAAAAAAATGAAAACTCTGTGTCATGTCCTACCATTGTTGGAATATTGCAGTATGATGCATGGAACTCAGCAGTAATTAGGATGCTGTGATAACCAGGACAATGGTGTTCTAGGTTGTCATACCTGGTCATGCTAAGCAGTGATGGGATATGGAACAAGAATGAGTTGTATGTTCTTGCCTTAGTCTAGTGTTGTCTAGTGTATTCAGGTTTTGTCTAATCACAAAAATAGGCAACATGTTTATAACCCTTTTTATGTGCATCACACTGTTCTTGGTGCTTTTCTTATTCCATCTCATTTAGTCTTCATAGTTCTGTGAAGCGGTTACTGTTATTCCATTTTATAGACTGAGATATTGAGGCTGAGCGGGTTACATAATTTGTTCAAGGTTATAAGCCTATATAAGTCAGAGTTGAAGTCATAGACACTGTTGGTGAGCATCAGAGAAGATTCATTGGAGCCAAAGAAGATTTTGGTGTCCAGTAATAATGGTGGTTGTGTTACGTTTAGGCAGCTGGAAAAAAAATAATGTTGAAGAGAGAATAAAATTTACTGTCTTGGGGGTAATCAAGGTCACAGACTATTGTGAGTCTTAGTTTGAAGAGAGAGTCAAGGGCAAAAAAGGGAGATTAAATAGTAGGATAAAACCCTGGAGGAATGAAAGCAGGAAGCAATGAACTTGGACCTGTGGTGTGGGTCAAAGAGTTTAGAAAGGATTCTTAAAGTGGTGAGTGTGGGAGTTCTTTTAGCAGGCATGGGTCAGGTTTGCCTGTTAAAAAAATACTTTGTTGGGAAATGCCAAAATAAAACTTTACATGGAGAAAGGAGACCAGAAGATGCTGAGAAAGGACTTAGGACCTGAAGTCACATTCTGTATCCCTCTTTCTTCTTATCCTTCACCCTTCCCAAATTTTCTAACATCCTTTAGTACTCAATTTGACAATTATGCAGCAAATTTGGGAGTGTGTATTCCTCTGTGAACATAAAATTGCTGTTGTAGAGGACATTGCCACAGACCATATACTAAATTGGTTTTGAGTTGGAATAAAAAAATCATAATTGATTAGTTTTAGTAATCCACAATTATTTGCTACTAATCCATATTGACCTCTAAAAGTCTTAAGGTTTTATTTGAGTTGCTTAGACTATTATAAACCTCTCACTAATTTTCTGTGTGTGAAGTACTATGGTCGAATCTTTACATACATTGTTTTACTTCTTGTTATGACAACACAATGAAGTAGGCACCATTGTTCCTATTTTACAGAAAAATAAAAGGAGGCACTAAGAGGTTAGGAAACTTGCCTAAGAGTAAGTCGTGACAGAATCAGAACTTTAATCCAGGTCTCTTGGATTCACTTATTCCTGCTCTTAACCACTACCCTAAAGTGCTTTGGGATCTATAAAAACAAATACAAGTGCTCTATGAACTTCAACGTGTTAGCTCTTTGGAGAGTGAGGGTGACACTCTCACACCGCAGCAATGGAAACTTGTGACGATGGTGGCCTGAGAACAGGAGGATGGGTCTGCAGGCAGTGGGAACATCGCTGTTCCTCCATCAGCCTCATGTGTTTTCTCTACACTCATCTGCACTTGGGAGTGTCAGAACATTGTGACTTCTGTAGGCAGAGCAGTCAATTAAGGCAAAAATTAACTCTAACTAGGCTCTTTTCCCAGGAGGGAAAGGAGGCAGAAGAATCGAAGTCAAATAGGATAAAGAACTTGTCAGAGTCACGTACCAGGCAAAACCACAGCCCCAGAGGAGCCTTTTTTGCCTCACCAAGATGGCCTCAGTAACCTAAGGAAATAGAAAGTCAGTGCCTCATCATATCTGTATTTGTAGCTCTTTTTCTAATAGCTACAGGTTTTCTAATTTGCCTATTGGGCTTGAATGAAATAATCTAATTGTCTTGAATTTTTACTTCTTTCTTTCAAAGTCTGAAGCAACATCTCCAAGATACTTCTTCCATGAAGCTATTAATTGGGGTGAGAGCAAAATAAAAGGTTGGTGCTACATCTTATGCTTTTGTATTTGCTTTCTCAAAAGACCCCTTTTGGGGCATATATTGAATCAACTCTTTAGTATTTCCATAAAATGCAAGAAGGACATGGAGCCAGGGTGGAAATAATACTTAATAGTAGTTCAGATTCACTTCATTTTTAGAAACAAGAAAGGTTAAACACTCCGACAAAGCTGATAACTACAGGACCCAGAAAGATATCACTGGTATCAGAAACCTATTTTCTAAAGCAATTACTTGCTCTTTGATCTCTCCTTGACATCCTATTTTTGCTTACCAATTTCTCATTTCCATTAAGCAGAATGGTGATGGTGGTTTGAAATTTAATTTGCTTTTCATTGCATTTAAAATAACAAGGATTTCTGCTTTGGGCTTGATATATGTTTTCAGGGAATAAATAGGGCTGTCAGTATTTTTTGAAGGAGATACATTTGTTAATCTAAGTATTTAGACATTTATTCATTGTAAAAGTGCAAGACTGTGAGAAAATAAACTATAAGGATAGTTTTGCCCCTTGGGAAAAAACTACATTTAAATTTATGAAAAATATTATTTTTACTTATATTTATGAACAAAATTGAAACAGTCATTTATTCTTCAGTTAAGATATTATTTAGAGAGTTGTCTGTGTTTACATGTGAAGAGAAACTTTAGGTCCATTGATCTTAGGGTGGAAGGATAATGAGTTTTCCTAATTTTTGCCTTTGGCAGAACTGTGGTTAAATTACTCCATTTAGACAGTGCTTTCATGACCTTACCTTATTCCAGAAAGGCACAATCTCTAGTAATACTGTATAGTGACTCAAAGATGTCTTCTAGGACTCTTGATGCATTCCTTAAATCCTTCTTGCTTGAGTTTTGCCAGTTGCTCTTGTCTTCTCCTTTTTAGAGGAAAAATTTTCACTCTGATTCATTTGCATTTTTCAGACTTGCTCAGGAGCTCATAGTTTCTTGCTTCCTCTTTTCAACATAATCCTTTGGGGCAATTTTTCTTTCCATGAAAGAAAGAGAATATTTTTGGTGACATCCAGCAGTGACTTTGGCTTCTGCCCCATTAAAATTAAATCTAGGTCAGAAAAAAATGCATCACTTGTAATTAAGCCTGAGGATTAATACACAAAACTCAAATGAAATTTTTAATCATTCTCTTAGGAAGCGGGAGTTTCCTTTTGAGTTTTATACTTTGCCTGATCCTTTGGGCTAATGAGGGATGCTATTCTTTAACACAGCACTTGCTCCTGGGGAAGGATCGCATTGGACGTGCAGCCAGGGCCACACCGTCAGCGGAATCATCTGCAGTTTGTTTATTTCTGGTTCTCATCATCTGGAACAGGGATTCCTTACATGGGAACTTGACCTTTCAATCGCTTGAAGGGAGCTAACCTTTGCTCTCAGGATAGTTTGAGATGTGAAAGCCCGTCTTTCTTGTTTCACAGCACACATAATGAAATGAACTAGATAAAGACTTAATGGGCTTAATTCTTTAGCTCATCAAGGCAAGAGGCCCAGGGCTCTGTTTGCATTAATAGTGGTTGCAGTTAGTCCAAGTGGAATCTTGACATACTATGTTTATAAGAACTGATGCATGCCAGGAGATAACTTACTTTGTTGCCCCTCAGGTTCTTGTCCTCATGAATGCCTTAACGGAGCTTTCTGTTCTACGGCTGGTACGTGTGACTGCCAAATATTTCAGGCACTGGGGACACGGTGCCAGATTGGTAAGTTTCAGGGATACTTAGGTGAGAATTATGAGATGCTAGAGAAAACATTCAGGCATAATTTGCTATATTAGGGTTCATCCATTGGGATTTGGAACAATCGTATTATATATTGAATACTCCCAATTGATTTACAGTAATTTAGAAATGATGTAAAAGAAATTAGATATGTCCACTTTCTCCTCTCACTTATCTCTAGTATTTCCTGAAGCATTTTTTTTCCTCTAGATGGTATTAGCCCATCAAAATCAGATTCTGATTCATTCCTTTTTTGTTTCATAAATTAGATTTCTTATTTGGAATCTTACATTCTTTTTGACTTTGAGTTATTGGACATTCTGTACATAAAGTAGAAATAATATTGAGAGCCCCTCAGAACAGGGGATACTTAAAAAATATTTTTTCCATGGCGTCTAGGTTAGGATCCTACATCAGTCATAATCAACAAATATTTATCTGTGTAATGAGCATTTATTGAGCATCTACTATATCACAGGCTAGGCACTGGGGATACAATAGTGAATAGTATAGACATGTTCTTGCTCTCTTGAAGTTACAATCTAGAGAAAGGGGCTAACACATAACAGATACACATTAATCACACTTGTGACTTGTGCTACAAAGCATAAGATTCTATGAAAATTTGCAGCAGAGGTAAGGCATACTGTTAAAGAAGACTGCCTGAATAATGAATTGCTCTCTTTTTTTCCTGAAAAGGCCAAAGTTGGCCAAGGCTAATAAATTTAGGTAAAAATTACAAAAGGAAAAGACACAATTGTGCTTCATCTTTATGCTCCTTTTGTAGGGTATTAGAATATTTTACACATATTGATTACTCAGCAAATGTCACTGATTTTCATATTATTCTAAAGGGAATAGTCTAGAAAATCCAAAAAAAAGAATAGAGGGGTATCCACAAGGGTAAGAAGGCAGGCATGGAGACGATAAGAGATAATATATAATTTGAGACAAACATTGCTTAACATTTGGCCAGTTTGAGGTCATAAATTTTCAAATTCCAGCATACTATGGATGACTACTGCTCCCCATCTCCAGACATATAAACAGACATGATATTTTTGTCAGTGGTTTTTCTCTGGATATTATTAAGATATTTTTGAAGAATTGTGGAGATGGGAATGCTCTCATGCCGCCTATGCTAATTTTTAGGACACTCAATAGTGACATTTCTTTCTTTTCTGAGCCACTATATTGCTTTATTACTTTCACTTTGTTTTCCTGTATCATTCTCCCTACTCTTCCTTTCTTCCAGAATCTTCCTTTGGAAGCAAATGTAAGGAAGTTACTAATATAAATTCTTTCTTCAAAACAACTTAAAGGTAATGTTTTCCTTCAGGGAATTTAAATGCTTTTGAGAGCAACCAGTAATTTTATATTAGTTATTTCTTCCTATGATAGTGACCACCAAAGAAGAAAATATTTTAATGAAATAGTATTACTTACTATGACTGAATCTTGCCAGAAACTGGTGTAATTTATTTTATTCTATTAAGTATTACCCTATTTTTTTCTTTTTAGTGCCGAACATGGGCAATGGCAGAGATGGGATTTGCAAAACCTGGGGACAGTACCACTTTGAAACTTTTGATGGTATCTACTATTATTTCCCAGGAAACTGTTCTTACATTTTTGCAAAAGACTGTGGTAATTTGGAGCCTCGATACACTGTATGGGTAAGTAAGTGATCCTAGGGTATAATTAACTTAGAACTTATTTCTGGTGAAGACTGTATTTTTAAGGTATTGGACAAATTATGCAAAATGAATAATACATAGGGCTCTGCCTGGGAAAAGAGAAGTGTTGGTTCTTAACAGGATGGATAAAATTTGCAGCTATATTTACTGTAGTTCTATCAAGATGGGGCCTAGGACTGGGAGAAAGAGAGTTTGGACTTACATGGAAGAGACTTTCAGGCAATGCAGAAATGTCTATATCATGGATGTCATAATATCAACTCCAGCTGATGTCCTCATTCTTCAGGTTTTATTTGATCATTTTGAAGAGAGGGATGGGTCCAGTCACCTCCCCCGCTCTGTTCTTCAAACCACATTACTCATGTATGTTTCACTCTTCACCCATCTAGTGTTATTAATGCACCTGCATTAATTTTTAAAATGGCACTCCTCGGCATGAGGGGGGAGCTAGCATTTACCTTGTCCAAGCTAGGAGTACATGCCTTGCCCAAGCACAGACTAGAGGATGTGGTAACAGGCAGCTAATTGCTAGGTAGATTGATAGTATATGATGGAGCTCAGAGGATTCTTCATTTCAGAATTCTTGCTTCAAAAGAATCTGAGGTGACATCTTAAAATGTAAGCTGCAGAGTGGTTCTAGCTGAAGGAAGCCAGGGCTCTCTGTCCCTGCCCACTATCTTCCCTTGAATTTCTAGGTATCTAAAAGCACACCCAGGAAACTGCTGTGCATGCTATTCAAAAGCTAAACTCTCCATAGGTATCATTTGTTTGAATCTTCATTTATTTATGTTTTCGTTTCCAACTTACATTGGTATTGCCTAGATTCTTTTTGTTACTTAGGTGAGGCAAATTTTAAAAAGTAGGCCCTGAAGCTTTTTAAGAACAAGAAGTCCTAGTGATCCAGTAAGGAAATGAGGTCTGTTGAAAGTTAACTTGTGGGGCATAAAGATAAAAAATCGGTTTCTTTAGATAGAGAAGTTAGTGGAATTCACCTTCAACACTCACAGGGCTCTTGTTCTCAGTTCCCTTTTGTCCTTGACACCTTCACTCTTTTGCTGGGTTTATCACTCCAACACCTCTGACTCCCTCATTGAAATGGTCCTGTCCAGTGTCTCACCCTTTTGAGGACTGAAGTGTCAATGAGGTAATCTATCCTTTTATAACAATACACGCTGCTGAACTGTGCTTCCGGAGCCAATAGATAGTGTTTCTACATGGCCCTGTTTTGCTTGGTGGAATTTGCTTTCAAATCAGCAACTCCATTTATTTTAAATATCATCTTTCCCCTGATTATAGAAGTAGTTGACTTCATGTGTAGAAAATTTTAAAAATTCAGAAAACTCTAAAATACAATACTAGAACTATCAGTCAAGAGTTACATTTGCTAATGGTTTCATATATTGCTTTTTATACATTTTTCCTTTGGGTCTTATATGTATTTATAATATTAAAATTATACTATGTATAATTTTGTTCTGTATTTTCACCTAATATTATATCAAGAAATTTCTTACATGTCAAACATCTCTGACAAACACAAATTTTATTAGCTATATTTGTTCCAACTTATGGCATACTCAAATTATTTAACTATGCCTGTTTTAGGAATTAGGTGTTAATAATATTTTCAGTATTTTAAAAGATTTATTGATAAACATCTTTATGCACAGTTTTATTATCCTGATTCTTTTTTCCTTTAATTTCAATTTAATTTTTTATGAAAAGCATACATGTACATAGTTTAAAAGATTTCATCTAGGCATACAAAGTAAAATAAAATAAAATAAAATAACCCTGCCTTTCTTCATTCCCCATCCCCAGCCACAGTCTGGCTCTCTAAAGGTAATTATTTCAACTTTTTTTAGCTATTTCCTCTGGCTTTTATTTTACATGACAAAATCTGCAATTAAAAATTTTTTTTAAGTTAGGCCTTATTTGTTCACTTCCTACCATGGAAAATGAGAAATCATGTCAGTTACATTACCCTTCCTATCTCTAACACACACACCCACCCACACACACACATACTTTCCTTCTGTCCTCCTAATAGACACCATTTTTAGTTAAACCATATGTGGTTTTTATATTTATTGTCATTTACATATTGTACATATATGAATAATATTTATGTAAGTGTTGAGAGCTGATTTGATAGGTTATTATGAATTTATTTCTCTTCTTTGTACATTTGTATGGAGTTAACATTCACCCCAGTTTTGATTTGCTGAATGTTTTATAGTGCAGTCACAATTTTTTTCCCTCCAAACTCTCCATTACTACAGAACTCTTCTCAATATGGTCAGATACTTTAGGAAATCCCTCAGTCACTCAGTGTCTCTCCACCCTGCCACCCATGCCCCCCTGCTCCCGCAGGGGTGTCCATTGTTCTCTGCTCCAGTTGGGATTGGTTGTTTTTGAGCCTCTTACACAACTAACACTTGGGATTTCTGTTCTCTGTCCTGGAGAATTTCATTCTGTGTCTCCTGTATTGATCTCCTTGTTTCTTGGGTCCCATGAAACATTTAGTGATCCTGGAACTTTGTACGTACTTGAGAGACAGGTTCTAAGAAGCTTATTGGATGCTCCAAGCAGGAGAACAGTGCTCACTTGTAGCAGTGATAGAGCAGAAACCCATTTCCCCTTCTTTGTTTTGCCCACTTGTTTTAATTGACTATATTTTCAAGTTGTTTTCTGGAAAGAGAAAATACTTTCTTGGAAAGTGTGTATGGAAGTGAACACTTTAAACCTTGATTATAAGTTGAAATTACTTTCAGAATTTTGAGATACAGTCCATTTTGATTTATGATCATTTTACATGTGACCTCTCCCAACTCCTTCTACAAATTTTGAGATATTCTCTTTATCACTAAGGTTGTAAGATTTCAGGATTGTGTATATTTTTTTAAAAATATATATTGTGCTGGGGACTTGATGAGCCTTTTCAAGCTTTACAAATCCTCCATTTTGGAATAATATTTCTTTTTCTTCTTCTCTTTCAGAATTTCTTCTCTTTCTCTCTTCAGAAATTCTGTGATTCAGGCATTAGAGCTCCTCAACTGAGTGACTGATTCTCTATTTTCTTGTTGATGCCTCCTTGTTTTCCATCCTGTTACTTTTTTGGTCTATGTTTTGGGAGGTTTGTTTCCAACTCTTAGATATTTATCTTCCAACCATTGTATTTCAGTTATATGTTTCTCCTATGATAATATCAATATACAATTTTTATTTTTTGAATTTCATTGTTAACAGGATTTTATTCTTGTTTCATGAGTAAGATAACTTGCAAACTTACTTTTTTCTTTGAAGATATTAATCATAGATTTTTGGAAGTTTATTTCTCTGAATTGCTTTTCATGCCTTTGATCTTTTGTTAATTTGTCTTTCATGTTGCAGGTCTTTATCATAATCCATGAATATTTATCCACATTTGAGGATTAGCTCTAAAAGCTGATCAGAAATCTCTGAATATATGGATGGGAGCTTGCATGCCTGGTGGGAGATTAAGCAGGGAGCCTCTGGTCTCATTAAATATGCCCCAGATATGAGTATCTGTATGTCTTTTATCCATTTTGTTTTTCCAAAGAAAAATACTTCAAGGATTTTTATATATGCAAGGATACATATACATACATATATATGTATGTATATGTATATATATGTGTGTGTACATATATATATATATCCTTTCTTTTGTTTTTCTCTCTTTAAGGTTCATAATAGCCCTAAGTGCCTTGGTTCAGTGTATTACTGTTATCGGTCAATCAGCCTGTTCTTTTCAGACCAACAGGAAATTCGAATTTATGGGCATGAGATAAAAAAAAATGGAATCAGGTAAGATACAATAAAAAGTATAATGAACATAACACCATGGATTAATAGTATTTCCAAACATCTCACACTAAAAGTGAGCTGTGCAGAGTAGGAAGAGAGAATTTCTTTTCAACAAAAACCTTAAAGTTATGTCATACAGGTATCAAAACTTTGGTAGGCTCCAAGGCCAGCCATGTGGTCAGGACAATGTGTAACTGTGTTCCTGAATAGATCAGGGCTGCTTCTGGTTTTCTCTTTGCCGAGAGTTAGATCTGAGAGTTTTAGGAAGGGGTATATTTGGAGGAAGGTTATACACATTTTAAACTAAGAATATTGTGGAATAATCTTCCTTCCAACCTAATAATTATAGCAATTTCAGTCTTAAATATTTCTAGGCTGAGTTACAGCAGGTAAAGTAAATTGTGGGGTGGAAAAATTCTATCTATCATTCAAAATTCACCAGCAAGTGTTTGAACCAAAAAGATTCTTTCCAGTGCAGTGGTCTTACCAACCTATGTGCTTTATTTCTCAGTTTAGATTCCTTAAGATGCAACAGATGGTAGCAGAAAGGGATTTGGATGAAGTACCAGGGGAGCCAGGCAGTGACCTAGTCAGCCTCTCTGTCTCTCTGGGCTTATTTTCTTGATCAAGTGGGTTCTGTACTTCTAATTTTCTTATAAAAGAAAGCTTAGTCGTTTGAATGGGAAGATAATGCATTACATATGCATTTCTTGGAACAGAATTTCAATAGTAATTGTGAATTCCTTATATGGAATTTTAGGTAACAAAATGGGCACTTAAAAACTAAGGGGAGGGGGAGGGGAAGGAAGGGGAAGGGTTGTCAAGGAACATGTATAAAGGACCAATGGGCAAAGCCACCTGGGCAGGGGGAGTGTTAAGTGTGGGGGGTGGGAAGTGGGCAGGACAGGGGCAAAGTAATGGGGGGGGGGGAAATGTGGACAACTATAATTGAACAACAATAAAAAATTAAATTAAAAATTATGTTTTGTGAAACAGAAATGGCATTCAAGAAGATTCTCAAGAATACTAGCCCTTTGTTACATCAAAGATATATTTAAATTTTAACTCAGACATGTATGATAGAAAAAGGATGATTTTCTTATTAACCAATTAAATTGCTTATACCTATGCTGTATCTAGCCGAGGGTCTAGCTCATAGTAGGTGCTAGAGAAGTGTTTGCCAAAATGAAATCAAATATTTGAGGCTGTGTGCATCATGCCTTACCTCTCTGGACTTCTGTTCTTTCACCGGGGAAATGAAGGGTTTTTTGAACATATGAATCTGTGAATGATTTTTAGCATTAATCAGTGCATTCATTTTAGTGTGCATTATCATAGTATCCTGCCTAGGTTGAATGGAGTTTTTCTTAGATTAATGGCATATTATCTAATTTTTCTTATTGTGACCATCTCTACTAGCATCCTTTTGTGTTATAGACATTAGAATGATCAGATGCACCTTTTATTTAAAAAAAAGTATTTAATTAATTTAATGTGAAACAGATAAATGACAAATGACCAAACCAAAAACTACCCACAATAAAACAACTATACTTTCATATAATTAACATTCCATTGTTATAAAATATATTTAGAAAATATGATTCACTTTTTATGTATAGTTTTTATAAACTTGTGAACTTGAACAGTATATTATTCATACTGAATTTCACCATGCATTTACTATGAACTCCTAATGTTTATAATTTTAATATAGATTATGAAAGCAATTAGCTAGTATTTTTATTTATTCTCCAATGTAAATTTTTAGTTATTTTACTATTCTTATGACTAATTCTCTGTAAAAATTTACCTGCAAACATCTTTGGGCAAATGGTTAGATATTTTGAATTGTTTCTTTGGAGGCTATCCTTTTGATAATAAGTAGGTTTAGTTTTATAGTTTTGTGCCATGTAGCCATTCTTCTCCTGAAAAGGAACTCAATAATTTGAAGTTTTTGAGAGAAATGTTTGAATATAATTATTAACCCCCTACCTTACATTGTAGATTATAATTTTTAGTTATTATGTCTATAGTAATAAAAATGATATTTTCCCTCCATTTTTAAAAATTATTAGCACCTGCTATTTTCTCTAATATTTGTGGATAGAAGAAGAGTGTTCTTTAAGAAGTATTCCAGGCAATTTACTGCACTTTTAAAATATCCAAGGATGTACTTTTCTTTAGTTCTGGTTGTGTCTCCTGCTTCCTTTGTATGTGCACATTCTCATGAAAAGTGAAAAGACTGGACACCAGACCAGGAATTTAAATATTCAACATGACCTTTGTTTAAATAGGACAAATTTTATCCAACTTAAAAATTATGACTCTAACCCCTATGCACTACTGTATGACTAAGTATCCTATACTCCTAATAATGAACTTTGCAGCATTAAAAATTTAAGTTATAATTAATCATGCCTTGACACTTTTCTTTTGGAAAACAGTGGCTTATACCAAGGTGACACTTTGGGGATAGAAGCTTCTACTTCACTGCAGCCAAGTTTAAAACAAAAATTAAACAAAATCAGAACTTGTGCAGTATGTTTACATATTTTGACCATGTTTGTGCTACAAAATTTTGAGCAGCATTTTTGATTATCTTGAACTCTCCAATAAAAATAAATACATGTAAGCTCTCATTATTCAAAATAGACAAGGTTATTTTCCAGATTATAAAAATCACTGATATTTAGCAGAAGTGTATTTTTGTTTGGCTGAATCATCCATTATAAGTATAAAATCTAAGTCAGTTTGGAGAAACATATAATTTTTGTTGTCTTTTTATTTCAATATCAAATTTTTCAAAATATCAAGATTTTCTATAGGATGGTTGCTTGGGAAATCTAACTATAATTTATTCAACAATTTTGAATAATAGCTATCTTTTATTTGATTGTCTCAGTTACTATGAGAAAGAAATAAATCACCTGTAATTGATCCTTCATTACAATTCTTAGATTGCTTTTGTTCCATTTTTCAAGCTTAACATTGCCTCAGACAATTGGACAGATTTCTGTTGAGAAACTAGCTGACTACATTCTGGTGAAAACAACCTTTGGTTTTTCATTGGCTTGGGATGGAATATCTGCAATTTACCTCAAAATATCTGAGGAGCACAAGGGGAAATCCTGTGGCCTCTGTGGAAACTACAACAGCATTCAATCTGATGATTTCATCATTCATCAAGGTAAGGGGAGCAGGAGAAATACATGGATACTCCTGGGGTCTTCTTCCTTCACCGATCCAACTGTTTGTACCACAAAGGGTACAACTTGTCCTAGCCTGGGTAAAATTGGTAGGCATCACTTACCTGTTGTAGTGATTTTAAGTGAAGCTTAAATAGAAAAATATTTTTGTGCCACTCTTGGAAACCATGTGCTAGTTTATATTTGCTAAATTAAGATACAGGGCTTACTCAAGTAACAAACATTAACTGGGCATGAACTTTGTGTCAAGCACTGCCATGGGAGCTTGGGATACATCAGTGAACAAAACAAAGACTCCTCCCTTGTCAGGGTTTACATTTCAGTGATTTGGACCCATTCAGGGCAAAATTGTTCATTTTTGGACAAGAGCTATTTTGAATTGTCTTGATAGGAGTAAATTAAATGACTGTCATAATAATTTTATAAATTTAATTAAATGAACAGTGTTGTGTATAATATGTTTTATGTACTTTATGTATAATGTTGTATCTATCATTATCCATCTATTTATTCAAAGTCATGAAACTAATCTCTGTAAACTGTTAAAAGTGTGTTTTCTTTCAATTTGGTTACTAGTGTGTGCTGGCAACAGAATGAGAGTCACAGGACACCATCAGGACTGAGGTCCACATGGAGGGGTGCAGTCAAAAAGAGCACCGTTCTTCGTGCCAGCAGACATGGCTGTGAACTTTGTTCCCAGTCTTACAAGTTTTGTTGTCTGAGGGAACCCATTTAATCTCTCTGATGGTCACTTTCTTCAGCTGAAAAATAGGAATATAGTAATTCTGAACCTTAAGAGCTATCAGGAATAATGAGAACACATTTTTTTATAACAGTAGTTATTATGAGCACATAGCTACATTATTCCCAACCCTTGCAACATTCTATAAGGTGGGTAGTATTTTCTTAATTTTCTAATGATACAAGATGATGTGTCCAGTGCAGCACAGCTTGGAAAATGCTGCTGCCAGGGTTGCATTACAGATCCGACTGTCTCCCAACTCTGTGCTTAGGTAAATGTGTGAGAAATCCACTTGAAATCTGTAAGTGCTAAATCACCCTTTTTTAATATCATAAAATTAATAAAGGAGAGTTGGCCATATATTGTGTTTTAAGGCACAGTGAAAATCTTACATAGAGAGTGGGTTCTGGAATCCCTGTGGGATTTGAATTCTGCTTTGCCCATTATTAAGGTTTCTAATTTTAATGATATAATAATAATATATACTGCGTAGAGTTGCAAAGATTAAAAGAGACTACCCATGCAAGACATTTGGTACTGCACGTGGCACATCATTAATGCTCCATACATTTTAGCTAATTTATAATCATCTCCACGTGGTCTCAATAAGCCTCTAATGGAGCTGAAATAAAAATGTTTGTTTAAAGACAGGGCTTTAAGAGGCCCTTGTTAAAATGCAAACATTTTATCCACAAGGCATCATGCATCATCAGGATTAGATCCCAAGTGGCTAGTGTAAAGAGCTGGGCTCCAAAAAGTCAATTTCCTTATATGTAAAATGGAGGTAAGAATAATGACTGTGAGAATTCCCAGCCTGTGAAGATCAAATGAGAAAATACAACTGAAACTGTTCAAAAGTCTGTGAGTACCATACAGATAAATATACAGTATTGAGATCATCATGAAATGGTGTTTTGTGTCCAGTCAGGGTTTAGAAGGAGAGGACTTATAGAGTTGAAATTTTGAGAGTAGGGATGAAGACTCAACCAGAACCAATCTAATGGTAATTATTGACTTCTTTTTCTTCTTTATGAAAACTTCACGAGAAACATAATACTCAGTTCAATTCTCAATGTTAGAGTTAGAAAAGACTGATGTGGGCGATTCTCCCAGGACACCTGGGGAGCGTGGTACAGAGGTCTGGACAGAAAACAGCATCTGCTCTGTGAGAGGCAGAGAGACTTGGGTTGGATTTAAGAGTCAGACAGACTTCGATAACTTGGCCCATAAAAGGGTTGCTCACGGTGAGATAATTGGGGCAGCAAAGTGCCGATAGCAGATTACAAGTGGCAGAAGACCAGCAGGAGGCTCCTGGACTGAGTTATGGCTGAACTGGCAGAAGACAAGAAGGACACTGGAGAATCTATGGGAAGCACCTAAAGAGAGATTTCAGCTTTTTCACAATTTTATTTGTTGCGCAATCTAAAGCAGAGTAATTTAAAAAAAAACTAACTTACAAAAATTTATGAGGATATGAAAAGAACCTGCCCTTTAATTTTCTTCATGCTCTAGTAATGCAAGAAATTTCTACAGATGAGCTGTATTAACTTCAGCTTTAAGATCTTAGCATTTTATTGAAACTCCACCTTTACATTGGTGATTAGATAAATCTTGAGAAGCAGTGAGTTTAACTGAATGCCATTGAATGCATAATTTCTTAAAAGTGATTAAGGTTGTATTTCTCTCTGCATTCCTACTCATTCTTCAGAGATGACTTCACAAAGAAATGAGGCTTTTCGGAATTTCTGTGGATATAGATTTTAGTTGGTTGTCTAGTTGAGATTCTGCTTCCATAATTCATGTCTGTTGCTAGTGACACATTAAACATAGAAACCTGGTTCATGCTTCATTTTCCTAACATTATTAATATTGCCTCACTTTCATTCTCAGAAATGGCCCAATGTGAACAATAATTGCTTATTTGTAGAACCTTTTATATAAAACATTTAAATCTTAGTTTGCAGGCTCTAAGACCACACATTGTCTCAGAATAGCCAATTTTGTGACCTTTATTAATGCAATGTAGTAAAAATAGCTAAATATATGATTGATAAACTAGAATTAAAGTGAACTCTAAAAGATTGCCCAGGTTGTTTAGTAACATTAAAATTTGCACATAAATATTAAAATAACTAGGCCTTTAGGAAATGTTTTTGTTTCTTTAGACATTTGAAAATGATGATGTTTTAAAATGACATATGGCTATAAATTTTTTTAAATTTTATTTTAATCACTGTTCAAGTATGACTATAAATTTTTTAAGGGAATATCCATTTTTCCTTTTTAAAATAAGTATATTGGACTAGACCCATGATTAGTTCAGTGTGTAACATTTCCAACATACTAGAAATAATGAGGTGGGTCAAATTTGAAAACTCTAGGATTATAAATAATGTTTTTAATAAATATTACAAACTCTCATATTTATTTATTCACTTATTTAGCAAATGTATTTTGAGCACCTATTATATACCTGATACTAACCTAGAGATACAGCATAGGACAGCTCAGGCAAGCTCTCCTCCTTCCATCAGTAGGTATTATTGCGAAAAATAGCCAAGAAAGAGAGAGAGAGAGAGAGAGAGGGAGAGAGAGAGGGAGAAGGGGGTTAGGGGGTTAAGAGTGATAAAACAGTGTTTGGTGGTAGTCCAGATCATGTGACAGAGAATGTTGTCTGACAAGATCATATTAAAGAGACGCTTACATGAAATAAGGTAGAGAGTAGAGGGAAGATTGGAGGGGAGAGTGATTCTGAAGGGGGAGGAGCAAGAGCAAGGCAAGTACAAAAGAAAGGTGGTAATGAGTCTGAGTGAAGAACAGTGTATTGCCAGCAGACTGGAGTAGGTTGAGCAAGAATAGGAGAAGATATAGGAGGGGTCGAGGTGGAGTGAGGTAGGTGGAGGAGGTTGGGAGTGCAGAGGCCAGATCAAAAAACCTCTTCAAAGCCACAACAAAGTCTGGGATTTTACACTAAGAAAGCATTTTTATAGATGCACTCCCATAATCTTCCAAACAACTAGCACATGGACATTATCTTCTTATCTTGAAGATAGGGAGAGAGAATTCAATATTTGGTTTGAGATTTTTTATTTTAGTGATGTGATATAACTTGTCTTCAAAGGTAGGCCTGTGGCCACGTAAATCTACATGGTAGAGAACCTAAAGCTCAAATATGAGGCTGTTTTAGATGGAACTTTGAGATGTCATCTTCTTTTTTCTTTGTATAGATTTTATTTATTTATCTGTAGAGAGAGGACAAGGGAGGGAGAAATAGAGGGAGAGAAACATGACATGAGAGAGAAATTTTGATCGGTTGCCTCCTACACACACTCTGACTGGTACCATAGTGCAACCCAGGTATGTACCCTGACAGGGACTCAAACCTGTGACTTTTTGTTCTGTGGGGCGACACTCAACCAAGTGAGCCAACATTGGTCAGGGCTCAAGATGTCACCTTGTTGAGTTCTGCTAAGTCCTTGAGATTTGAGATCCAGAGTGTCTGAAAGTGGGACAGCTGATTTTCATTAATTGCGAAAATTGCCCAGGCTGGTTGGTATAGCTCAGTGGATTGAGCACAGGCTGCAAATTAAAGTGTCACAGGTTCAATTCCCAGTCAGGGCACATGCCTGGGTTGTGGGCCAGGTCCACAGTGGGGGCCATGTGAGAGGCAACCACACATTGTTGTTTCTCTCCCTCTCTTTCTCCCCACCCCTCCCCTCTCCCTAAAAATAAATAAATAAAACCTTTAAAAATTTACAAAACTTGTTCTTAAGCCAGGTGCTGGGACAGTGCAGTGTCCAACCCACAGCCCAGAATGGCTATGAATGTGGCTCAACACAAAATCGCAAATTTACTTAAAACCTTTTTTTTTGTTCATCAGTTTTCATTAGTGTATATAAGCTCCTGAATCTTGCCTCTGAATAATGCTGAGGTGGTGTCAGGATTCCTAACAATCTGTCCTGAACATCTTTAGAAACACTTTTATCATATTTAGATGAAATTGATTCATTTCTTAGTCTTTTGTTTGCCAGGTGTCTTTTTCAGTCTTTCAGTGTGGGTGTGTCCTCTGAATCTGAAGGGTCCATGAAGAGTTTTTTTTATTGTTATTTGCCTCTGATGTGGAACTACAATTTTAATAAGCTTCTGACTAATGTCAAATATAGTGAGAGGGCTTTCTGAAGATTTTTATACCAAACTTTTACTTATGCTTCTGTTTTATATATATTTTTCTTTTCTCTGCAGCACAAGCTGTAGTCCTGTTGGTGGTTTACTGAAGTGCATATTGTACCACTCGCTTTCAACCTTTCCTCATGTTGCTTCAATAAATTTTTCCTCTTTAATGATATTAACACTTATTTGGTCCTAACATTCAGTCAATTTATTTTTATTATGCTAAGGTAATATTACAGGAATGGGCAAAAATAGGTTTACAGTTGTGAGTATGTGAAATGGAGTTTATTCTTGTATTATTATTTATTAATAATTATATTATTTTCTATATGAACAACTGTACAACTGCATTGCCTACCCGTGAATTGTCTAATATCATTGATAATTATAAAGTTATTGAGTAACTTTTTTACCTGGGAGTTTATGTTGATGAACTGAGTATTCATGGAAAGTGATATAATCCCACACATTTCTGTGTGTGTTTGTGTGAAACAGATGACTACACAGAAGACATTGCTATGTTTGCAAATAGTTGGTTGGTGCAGACTCCAGATGATACCAAATGTGTACCCACACCTTCAGATTTTCCAAATCCATGCTCCAGTGGAATGCCAGCATTTGAGGTAAATTTGTTGTAAAAAATCTGGTCATGTTGGATATAGTACACATGTATTCTGTTTGTATATTTAACATTAAACATTTAAAGTGCAAATACTACATAATCAAACACTATCAAATTTAGGAAATGTAACTACAATGGGAATAACTTTAAACTTATTTCAGAAATAGTGAATGAAATGAGTTTCATAAAAGCAGTACTCATTACAAAAATAGGTAGTTATAAAAATGTCAATTAATATTTATAAGAAGAAATTACCTTCTGCCTCTTAGTAAGATCAGAGAGCCTTACAATTAGATCAGTAGAAAAAATGAGAGTACAAGTATATGATTGAATACATCCTGGTGACTGCCATCTTCTTCTGCACAGGCCATCTTCTTCAAGTGTCAGATTCTGCTGCAGTTTCCTTTTTTGAGCTGCCATGAATACATTGACCCATATTTATATATTGCCAGCTGTGTTAATGATCTTTGCAAGTAAGTGAAATGATAGTATCTGCAGTAATATTTTTTTATATATAAAAAGCAAAAAATTACTTCTGTAACTTAGCCATCTCATCAGCTCACATCACATAATGGGAAATGTAAAACAAAAACTTTACTAAAATCTATTGAAAGATTGATTACCAGATAAACATGTAAAGTCTATTTTATATAAGTAGCATGAACAGAATATAGTGATTCTTAAGTATTTTTCATGCCACTGATCCCTTTTGGGAATCTAGAGATGTCTGCAGACTCTTTTTCAAAAAAATGTTTGAATGCACAAAATAAAACAGAAGTTTACAAAGGGAACTATACTGAAATAGAGTTATTAATATAGTAAATGAAGTGAGTTTTTGATATATGCACTTCTTTATTTGCATTTTAGTTCTAATAACTACTGTCATTTGACATAGTAATGAGTGTACATATTTTGAGATAGCTGCAATGGCTTTATTTATTTATTTACTTTTTGTGTTCCAATTTTTTTTATTGTTGTTCAACTACAGTTGTCTCCATTTTCACCCCACCGCTCCCCCGACCCCATCCATCCTTGGCTCCCACCCTTGATCTTACCCCTCTCCCACTTTGTCCATGTATCCTTTATACATGTTCCTTGATGACCCTTCCCCTGAAAATGAAAACATGAAAGAATGACATATGAGATATATTGGTGACAAAGTCAGAGATACTACTAAGAACATTGTGATGTGTTACTTAAGTGTTTAATGGAAGGAAATGCTTAATTTCATTTGGACATTAGTGAAAAGAAATGTAATATCATTTCCATCCAGGGTCACAGACTCCTGCATTCTCTTCTAGGTGAAGAACACTTGACTAGGTGGTTTCTAGGAAGCCAGCTCAGTGAGACTCTTCATAACATGGTTGTTAACATAGAACCTACTATCATAAATTGCCTATTATTGAAGTTCTTTCTATTTTTTAAAAGTTACCATATATATGATTTAGCTCTCATGAATGTTCAAGAATATCTCAAAAATTATTAGTAAATCTGATTTTTAAAGAGAATTTTAAGTAGTGTAGATAATATATGGGAACTTTGTAAAAAACTGGACTAATTTTTGGATGAGTAAAACTACTTAAAGTCATCTTAGGTAGCTTGTTAAGAGGTTCAAGTTTATCAGAGGTAAGAGCAAAGAGGGAAGGTGAGGTGATACAAAACTATCCTATTTATAACTGCTCTGCTTTACTTAAATGGTGATTATTACAAAAATAATGAATATAATGATATTTTTCAGATATTAACATAAGCTTATTTGTAATACTTGCTAATTTTTAGTAGAATGCAGTTGTATCTTTATTTATATGTACAGTCTCTAAGTGTTAGGGATTACAAACACAGGAGCTTTGAGAGAATTACCTTTCTACCTAAAATATCAGGTACCGGCCTCTACATTTTACAACATTCTGTTCCTTATTTGGTTTTATTTTTTAAGAATGATGTTATTATAGCTCTATTCTATCATTCAGTCTCTTGTTTTGAGGATCCCTGTGGGCAGTCTCTGGCCCTATTTTAGCCATATGTATGGAATTTAAATTTTTTCCCATTCCACGGGTCTCATTCTTGGACCATTCTCTAGCAGTCTTTTCATTTGCTGTTATCGTCATCATCTTCAGCACCCGGTTTTCTGATAGACTAAGACGAAGCACCATTTGGCAGACCTGGGAAAGTCATTCTCTGTTTATCAGTTAGGATATTGCTTGGCTGCTGTAATTGCTGAAGTATCAGTGACAAAAATTAAATTTTCTGTCACATAAAGTCCAAGGTGGGAAGTGATCCTGGGTTCCTCTGTACTATGTGTCTGCCCCCGGGTTTCCCAGAGACTCAGTGATACCATTCCTATGTCATCCCCAAGGGCCAGGGGTATTGATTCTCAATTTCATGGTCAAAACTGGCTTTTCACAACCACATTCATATTTTAGCCCTTGGGGAGGGAGAAAAGGACGTAGAGGGCTGACAGCTTTTTGCAGGACGTGACCTGTAGTCTTATGCACACTCCAACTTTCAGTCTTCCCGCTGGAACTTGGAAGCATGCCACACCTCGATGCTGGGACTGCTGGGCAATGCTCTCCCTGGCTCAGCAACTACATGCCAAGAAAAATCTTGGAGGTTCTCATACTGAGGAGAAGAAGAGGGAACTGGGGACAAAAAAGAGTCTCTGCCACACTCACTTTGGAATTTCATCACTGAGAAAGTTAACATGGGAAATTTACTGTCTTTTAGGCTTTGGATTTTGAAACTGAGTGGCTTTCTCCAAAGGCAAATAAAAATTTAAGGATAGAGACATACCTTCTACTGGTTGAAGTCATCTAATACTTTAAGAGATATGTTTGAGGTGGAGAGACCAGGTTTGCAGGCGGAGCAGACATATAATACCAAAAGAAGGGTATTATAAATTGAGTAAGTGGTCATTGACAGAATGGTGTGAGAATCTTCTACAGTGAGCCTTTCACTCCTCTCAGTGTGTCCCCCAGGACTAGACCTGCTTACATTCTTTCTCCCCTAAAGCAGATTCCCTTCATTTCTTATACATTAGAAATGTATCCCTCCTGTATCACAGGGGCCCCTATATCATGAGAATAGCATTGTGAATTTGCTGAATTCAAATTGATTTCCTGCTTGAATTAAGATAGTATATTGAATTTGATCCAATACATATGTTCTGAGCATCTATTCTGAACTGAGCATTGTGCCACACCCTGGAGAAACAAAAACAATTTATTTTATTTTACTTTTCTGTTTTTAATTTTTAAAATATTTAATTTATTTATTCCTTTAGACAGGGAAAGGGAGGGAGAAAGAGAGGGAGAGAAACATCAATGTGTGGTTGTGTCTCCCACACCCCCCATTAGGGACCTGGCCTGCAACCCAGGCATGTTCCCTGACTGGGAATCGAACCAGCAACTCTTTGGTTTATAGGCCAGTGCTCAATCCATTGAACTACATTAGCCAGTGTTATTTTACTTTTCTAATGCTCACCTGAGGATCTGTACCTAAGGATCTGTTCATTGATTGTGGTGTGGGAGGGGAGAGAGAAAGAAACATTGATGTGAGAGAGAAACATCATCGGCTGTCTTCTTCACATGCCCTGACAGAGAATGGAGCCACAACCTAGGTATGTGCCCTGTGCTGGAATGGAAACTGCAACCTTGTTTGGTGTACTGGTGATGCTTTAACTGCCTGAGCCACCTGGCCAGGGCAAGAGAAACGAACAGTTTAAAAAGGGATCTTGTCCTGGGCACTCAGATTCTAGTAGGGCTGAGGAACAGATGTCCAGAAATGACAAATGCTCTAAATGCAATGTGCTGTGAATGTGGGGAGGACTGCTGACTTTATCAGGGAGCCCCTGTGAAGGCTCCACAGAGAAGATGCCTCAGTTGAAATTTAAAGAATGATACAAGCCAGTTCTTGAAGTTAATCTCTGTTTCTGCATCTAAGAATGGCAAAGCAAGGAAATGGTTTTAGTTCTGCCACATCAAGGTCAATCAACAACAGTTCCTTAATGCTCATTCTCCCTCAGTAAATAGGGATAATGATTTCTTTCCTGCTCAATTGTTGTGAATTTTTGTGTGCTGCTACATGTAACATGCCTAACATGAATCCTAGAGTAATTTAGATACTTAACAATGACAGCTATTTTAATAATAGTTGCACTGAGTTGAAAAACCAATATTGAGTTACTTTGCTAACTTTCAAAGCTTCTATTAACTGTAAGAAACAGTGCACATGTTTTAAGGGAAATCATAAACTTCATGTCTTTCTAGGAATGGAATAATTTTAGCTTACCCTGACTTTCAGAGACTTTTCTTATTTGGAGGTTTAGAATATTTTCTGAGTTTTGAGGTTTATCTGCTCAACCTTTTTCCTTCTAAAGGTTGGTTAATTGGACTAGATAAGCAGATGACTCCAATTACAGTAGCACAGGAAAAACTCAATTAGAGATGGGCAGCTTTTACAATAGAAATACTGAAAATGCTAAGGTTCACAAAATGCAACATTCTTAAGGTCATTATCTTGTAAGATACTAACTATTCAATTTTGAGTTTGATGGGTTGAAAAACAAGCTAACTATCTTATTATAAACCTTCCTTATTTTATAGGTACCTTGCTAATCTGCTTTGGAAATTGGCTGACCTGTTATATTTGTTTGGGGGAGCTTCTAGGGTGATTATAGGAAAATAATTAGAGATTATTTACTTTTGGCAATATTATCAAAGTAACTAGCTTTAGTAATTTAAACTTGAAAGTATTAATTTTTAAAATCTTAGGTTAAGTGCTATTTATTCAATCTTTCAGAAGTGGTACAGATTGTTAGTATTGGTTTTATTCCAGTGTGTAGACTATCAAGAGCACGGTATCTTTGAAATAATATTCACATTTGGTGATTTTGTTGTGATAGAATTTTATCTGTTGTAATAGGATTTATTAAATTCTAAAAGGTCTGGGATGCTTTGTGCAGGAGCCAATGTTCCATACAAGAATTCTGGAACAATGTCAGAATTAAAATAGAAATGTTTTTCAGTTTTAGGGACGTGGTTGAATCAAAAGATGAGTGGTCAAATAATTTAAGACTTTGATGACGACAATTTACCTAGGCCTTTTTTAGCTAGGACCTTATGTTGATTTATTTTCTGTATTAGTATATGTAACATATTACGTACATGCTGACATCAGTTAATATTGGAATATTCACCACATACTAAACATTTCTAGTAGAGGTCAGGAGCTCAAAGATGTAAATTCTGTCTATATTTCTGATGTGATTCTGCCTTTGTTTTCTCCCTTTCCAGAGCTGACGATGATGAGACCTACTGCCGGGCAGCCACGGAGTACGCTAGAGCCTGTTCCCACGCTGGCTACCCTATTCAAGACTGGAGAGATGACTTTCCAGCATGTAGTATGTTTTCTTATTTTCCAAGCCCGGTGTACTTTTGTTAATTTTAGGCTTATTCTAGTTTTCAAAACTTCCCTGAATACTCAGAATAGATGAATTGAAAGGATTTGTTTTTCATGATGCAGTGATAATGGTAAACTTGCAAACCTTCTGAAATGCTAATTTTTTTTTTTGAGGTGAATGAAGTTGACTTACGGCTCTCCCCTGTTTGTCCATTTCAGCTGATAAATGTGATGATAGCTTCGTCCATCGGGACTGTATCAGTTGTTGCCCACCCACCTGCACATTTGAGAAAGAATGTCTTGGGAGCAATCTCCAATGTCTTGATGGATGTTACTGTCCAGATGGTTAGTGTTCCATGAAAGAAATCCCATCTCCATTTGTACAAAATACCATCCTGTGATGACAGAATTATGTTACAACATTCTCTCCCAGGACATTAGGGCTATTGCAATTCTCTGCCTTTGTAGGATTTTGTCCTTGAAGTGGCTAATAGAAAAGGCTGCTTTTCTTTAATAAAAAGGCTAATTGCTTTGTAAATTTCCCAGAAAATTTGGAATCTAGAGCCCTGACATTACCCATGGCAACTATTTTGTTCTCTGAAATATTTAAAGATATTTAATAATTTATTAAAGCAATTTCATAAAAAAGCCTTTAAGTTTTGGCAGTACAAGATTTTAGTCGCAATGTAGTTTAAATATTTGAAATTATAACTAACACAACCAATGACAGAGGTAGAATTTAAATTTAAGAATGACTCCTACAGTGACAGACCTTTTTAGAGAACACTGGGAATTTACTCAAACTCTTTTATATTTATAGACTAAGAAAATAAAATCCTAGAGATGTTAAGTTATTTTAACACTGTCATATAGTTAATACAAGTGAGAACTCCCTGGAGCCGGATCTGTCGAGCTCAGCCCATTGCTCCGTTGGGGTTATGTAGAGGAGGATCTTCGGACCAGTGCTGGGCCTGCACTGTTTGTTATCATGAACTGATGAGATAAAGACTTTGCACTGGAATATAAATTAATGCACCAAAAAATAAGTCAGTGCTTCCTTCACTTAGAAATTCTTGCTCAGAAAAAAGAAGGTCAGCTGAATGAAACAGTGTGTTTAGTAACACAGTTGATTTACTCTTTGGCTCAACCATCTCTACTCATTAGAGAGAAGTAACAAATGCATTTCTACTGTGCTTGCCCTTTGAGTAGCACTGCCTGGCTATTTGTTTTATGTGTGATGATGGTGCAAATCTCTCATTTTGAGATGAACTGAGATTGAACCAAGAATATATTTTCTTAGTTGCCTGTATTCTGTACGGTGAGCTTTGAATTTTTGATGACAAGTCATTGCATAAGAAAGTTAAAAATCACTGAAGTAGAGACTTAAAAGGTAGCTGCTGATTGAGGTAGAACCGAGGGATTGGTAACTTCCTTGAAAGTAAAGTGATTTGTATTTTGTTATCCAGTGTTCAATAAAAGTTGGTTAAATTATTATATATATAGAATAAAATTTTTATTATTTCTTTGAAAATTTGATATATGTTTTTCTTAAATAGGACTCATTATGGAAAATGGGGCTTGCATCTCCTTGGAAAATTGCCCATGTAGTTTTCATGGACTAGCTTATTCAGTTGGTTCAAAAATTGAACAAGAATGCACCGAATGGTATGTGATCAATGCAAGCCGCTTATTTCTAGGTGCCCAGCTAGTCGACAACTTTACCATGACATTTGTTTAAAAGTGTGTAGTCCTTACTGATTGTCTTCTAAAAATTTCAACCATAGTTTGTATTTTATTTAAAGTCTGTGCAGGGATGGGGGAACATCTGTGCATTCTTTTGTAACATAATTCTTCTCACTTTCCTGGGGACTTTCATAAAATCTTTACCTATGTTGCATTTTCTTCTTATTTTTAATCACTAATTTGCACATACTTTTACTCTTAGATTTAATGGTTCTCCTTGACCTCCTCTATTAATATTTTAAAAAGTGACTCTCCATAGTGCCAGTTTTGGGCCATGATTAGAAGCACTTAGAATTTCTTATTAAATAAGCCAGGACTATTGCTGGCAAGCATTCTTCACTCTGGGGCAGTCCTAGAGAGCAGCAGAGATTTAATTGGCATCAGGTTTCTCCCCTTTTGCTGCCAGTGTGTAAAACGAAATACCATTGGCTAACTAACCATGTTCTTTTTTTTTAATGAATTATTTCTTTTCTTTTTTTAATTTTATTTTAATTGTTGTTGCAGTACAATTTTCTATCTTTTACTCCTATCCCAGCCCACCCACCCTGCCCTCCCTTCCTCCCTCCCATTTCCACCCGCCCCTAGTTTTTTATCCATGTGCCCTTTATACTTGTTCCTGTAAACCCTTCCCCCTTTCCCCTGAAATTCCCCTGAAATTCCCTCCCCTCTCCCCTTTGAACACTGTTAGCCTATTCTCTATTTCAGTGTCTTTGGTTATATTTTGCTTGATTCTTTGTTCTGTTGTTTAGGTTCCTGTTAAAGGTGAGATCATATGATATTTGTCTTTTACTGCCTGGCTTATTTTGCTTAGCATAATGCTTTCCAGTTGCATTCATGCTGTTGCAAAGGGTAGGAGCTCCTTCTTTCTTTCTGCTGCATAGAATACCTCAGACAAGGGTTTAGTCTCCAAAATATATAAAGAACTTACACGACTCCACTCTAAGAAGACAAACAACCCAATTAAAAAATGGGCAATGGGCTTGAACAGACACTTCTCCAAGGAGGACATACAGAGGATCCAGAGACACATGAAAAGATGCTCAATATCGCTAGCTATCAGAGAGATGCAAATTAAAACCAGAATGAAATACCACTTCACACCAGTCAGAATGGCCATCATAAACAAAGCAACAAACAACAAGTGTTGGAGATGCTGTGGAGAAAAAGGGACCCTAGTGCACTGTTGGTGAGAATGCAGACTGGTACAACCACTATGGAAAATAGTATGGAATTCCTCAGAAAACTAAAAATGGATCTGCCTTTTGACCCAGCAATTCCACTGCTAGGATTATATCCTAAGAACCCTGAAACACCAATCCAAAAGAACCTATGCACCCCAATGTTCATAGCAGCACAATTTACAATAGCCAAGTGTTGGAAGCAACCTAGGTGCCCATCAGTAAATGAATGGATCAAAAAACTATAGTACATCTAACCACGTTCTTAATACCAATTTGAGCTCCTGCCTTTCAGAGGCTGCTTCTGTCCTCCAAAATTCATGTCTTTTTGACAGTAAAAGGCAGAATTTATCTTACATAAGATGTCTTTTCTCTGTCTTCAATGTCTGATGATCCTCAAAACCAATTTTCTTCATTTGTAGTAGATGTGTTATTTTATTAATCTAAACTCTTTTTGTGTGGTTCTCTAATGATATAGGTAAATACTTTTGTGTGTGTGAACTTTTTCAGTTTAAGCAATAAGAAAAGGACAAAAACAAGTTCTCTGTTTGATTAGTACACACTTGTATCATTGTTAGTGATTTTTAAGTATGACGCACAACAAATAATAATTTAGGTGCTGGCCAGCACATATCTATCAGTTAATTAAAGTTGTGTGAAGATATTTCCCAAGTCCAATTATTCTGAGCCTATAAACATGATATATTTTGGTACATTAATCAATATATCAATGCAAATGCAATGCAATGCAATACAGTTTTTCTATGCTAGTAGATTAACATGTTTATCATTTTATCTAGTGTATGTGTTGGTGGAATTTGGAACTGCACTGAGCATGACTGTCCAGGTAATCTTTTAAAATATTTTTTAAAGAAAATTTCTCATGTTTTGGAAATTGAGCAGGAACATAGCAATGATATTTAAGAGGTGATCTCATGTATAATAAGAGATGTAATGATCTATAAATCCAGATAGTCAGGATAAATGGAAAATTGAATAAATGATAGCTTTGAACAGGCAACTTTGGTAAAAATTTTATTAAAATAGTAAAAATATTACAAAACCTAAAACATGTGAAAGAGTTATCACTTAGTAAACTTTAAATTAAATAGAATAACATAATTTAGTAAATTTGTCAAACTAATACATTTTAAACATTTTAGCTATTGTTTTTGATACATGATTTTCTACTCTAATTTGACTGGCTTTTTAAGACTAAATAATTTCTTTCTCTTCTTTCTCCTTCTTTCTCTATTCTTTTTTATCTTTTTTTTGGTAGTTCAATGCTCTGTTGTAGGTGACTCTCATTTCACAACTTTTGATGGCCGACATTATTCTTTCATTGGAATGTGCCAATATGTCCTTGTGAAAGGGACTGGAAAAGACAAGTTCACAATTACTTTAGAGAAAGCTCACTGTGAGCAGGTAAGACTATCTCAGAATGACCAGAGAAATGTTCATTTTTTTGACTCAAATTTATATCTAGGTTAAGAATGGTAACATGAGTGGGTATAGTGATTTTCTTTAAAATTAAGTTGATTGTTAAAATGTATCATTCACCTACCATTATCCTAATGATCATATGATGTGTCCTGATTTCAGAGATATTACAATATGAGAACAAATATGTCTTAGATTAAGTAACATACATTTACCTGTATTTTCTTTCTTTTAAAAATGATATTTTATGTATAGTTTTTGAGCATTTCATGCATAGTAACATAATGGAGCTTAGTTTTTGGTTACTTCAAAAATACTATTTTAAAGAGATGATTTAGACAGTATTGGAGAGGCTTCATATTATTCTAAATAAATATAATACATTTCTTAGCACACTGAAACATTTATTTTAGGCTTTTTCTTCAATTAAACACATTAATAATTCATAAATAAAAATATCTGAATCTTCCCTCTGTCTAAATCAGGTAGTCAAAATTTTGTAAAAATCATTAATTTTCTGGTTGTACTATAATAAAAAGTGGCTACTCCAGCAAAAATTCTCAGCTACTTTATTTGCTATTTTCCAGTTTGATTTTTTCCTTTGCAATACTTTAGAAATATGAAAAAGTTTTCTACATAGAATCATAATTTTTGTTTTTTTCATATTGATTTTTTAATATCTAATATGCCACTTAAGTGAATTTAGAGAGGTACTTTGAAAAACATAGTTATTGGCACTTAATTGAAACATTATTCAGTGTTCTATGTAAAGTACATGTGTACATGGTATATTCAATACACTTAAAGATATATTTTATTAGTAATGGGGCTACATAAGATGGTTTATATAGTAATTACTTTATTATATTACTTATACTCAAGCTTTCTATGTACCAGAAGTCTTCATGTAAGTGTACTCTTTCTTCTTCCTTCTCTACTTTCACTCCCTCACTTGTTTTTCTCTCCCACTGTCCCTGTTTCTTTTCATGTCTCTTTATCTCTCTCATGTCTTTAACTGATGATTTGGTTTTTATGCAGAACCTTGGCTTGGTCTGCCTTCAGTCTATAACTCTAATTCTGGAGGATGATTTTAACAAACAAGTGACAGTTAGTAGGGGAGGACAAATCCTCACCGGTCCTAACCAAGGCTTCAGCCTGAATGGTAAGATGCAATGCTAATGATGAACTTTCCTCACATTAAAACAATAATAAAACAACCTAAATGGAAGCTTCTCCCATTGGCTGCCTCTCCTAACATTTCAGTGTCTGTATGTTGCCAGATCCTCACCTAACATGGTAGAGACAACCATATTTATGGGACCTAGTGTTTACTTCAAATGGCTGAAAGTTTGAGAGGGGAGAGATATAAGCAAATAGCCACTTACAAAGGCTTTGGGGGTCTAAATGAGTGCAGCTTTCCCAGCCTTCAGGAGGGGTATGCAGGTATGGTCAGGAAAGTTTTCTGAAGGAGGATCACTGGGATGAAAGAGATGGTGAAAGTGTTCCATGCAGAACAACAAGGTGTAGAACTCTGCAGTATGTTTAGGGGGAACTATAGCTAGGTTGACATTGCTAAAGCCTGAAGAGGGTAAATGGAGAATGTGCAGAGAGGAGAAAAGGGCAATAGGTGGGGGCGAGGCTGGGGAAGGCCTTATATCCAGGCATCATTCATTGTAATTTTCCTGGGACAGGCCCTGTTCACATCTGTGTTCTAGCATAGTTTAATAATACTCGGTGTTACTTCCAGAAACGTCCTGATTTGTATTAGAAATTACATGACTATACTAGTGATCGCCATGCTGAAGAAGTTGAACTTGATATAAAATTGGGTATAAAATTATTATTAGTTTGCCATTTTTATGTACAAAAATGACTCTTATGTGGTTCACCCAAATAAACAGTTTTAATGATATAGTCTTTGGGGGGATATAACACTATTATGGAAGTGTAGAAGTGGCTTTGAGGACTTCCAGCAAGATGGAGGCATAGGTGAACGCACCGTACCTCCACACACAACCAAGATTGGAACAACAACAATTTAGAGGCAGGATAACACCCAGAACTGATAGAAAATTTATCTGAATGGAAGTCGGACAGCCAAGAAGTTGAATAGACCCGTTTAATCCAGACTGGTAGGAGGGACAGAGACAAACATCGGGTTTGCATGGGTTGGCGCATGTTGCGGCGCAGAGAACAGGGAGAATTGGGCCCATAAGGCAACTGGGAGCTCGTAAGGCATCTGGGGCGTGCAAGATCGCAGCGGGTGGACCCTGAGTACACAAGCAGCAGCCGGCAGACCCAGTGAGGCAGCAATTGTGGAGCAGGGCAGAGCGCACAACCAAGGATCCCAGGAAAGGGACTGAGGTCCCTTGGAGAATGGAGCTACAGCCATTGTTCCCTCTCGACCCCGCCCTCACATATAACATCACAATCTAGTGACTGGGGTGCCCAGCCCTGGTAAACACCTAAGGCTCCGCCCCTCACTGTAGCAGGAGTGACTAGACCAAAAAGAAAAAAAAAGAGAGAGAGAGAAAGATGGCTCAAACAGAAAATCAGTGCCCCAGAACTCATCCTTTTGAGCAACCAAGAGATAGCTAACCTATCAGATGCACAGTTCAAAACACTGGTGATCAGGAAGCTCACACAATTGGTTGATTTTGGTCGCAAATTAGATGAACACATGCAGGTTACCATAAAAGAAATGAAGGAAAATGCATAAGGAACCAATAGTGATGGGAAGGAAACTGGGACTCAAAACAATGGAGTGGACCAGAAGGAAGAAAGAAACAGCCAAACAGGAGAGAATGGAGAAATAAGAATTCAAAAAAATGAGGAGAAGCTTAGGAACCTCCAGGACATCTTTAAACATTCCAACATCTGAATTATAGGGGTACCAGAAGGGGAAGAGGAAAAGCAACAGATTGAGCACGTCTCTGAACAAATAATAAAGGAGAACTTCCCCATTCTGGCAAAGGAAATAGACTTCCAGGAAGTCCAGGAAGCTCAGAGAGTCCCAAAGAAGTTGGACCCAAGAAGAAACACACCAAGGCACAGCATAATTACATTAGCCAAAGTAAAAATGAAGGAGAGAATCCTAGAAGCAGCAAGAGATAAGGGGACAGTCACCTACAAAGGAGTTCCCATCAGACTGTCAGCTGATTTCTGAAAAGAGACCTTGCAGGCAAGAAGGGGCCGGAAAGTATTTCAAGCCATGAAAGGCAAGGACCTATATCCCAGACTACTCTATCCAGCAAAGCTTTCATTTAGAATGGAAGGGCAGATCAAGTGCTTCTCAGATGAAGTCAAGTTAAAGGAGTTCATCATCACCAAGCCCTTACTTTATGAAATGTTAAAGGGACTTATCTAAGAAAAGAAGATTAAAAAAAGCATGAATAGTAAAATGACAGCAAGCTCACAATTATTAACAACCACACCTAAAACAAAACCAAAAGAAACTAAGCAAACAACTAGAACAGGAACAGAACCACAGAAATGGAGATCACATGGAGGGTTAGCAACAGGGGAGTGGGAGGAGGAGAGAATAGGAAAAGTTACAGAGAATAAGTAGCATAGATGGTAGGTAGGAAATAGACAGGGGGAGGGTAAGAATAGTATGAAAAATGTAGAAGGTGAAGAACTTATAAGTATGACACATGGACATGAACTAAAGGGGGGGTAAGTAGGTGGGAGAGGGTTTGCAGGGTGGAGGGGAGTGAAGGGGGGAAATGGGACAACTGTAAAGGCATAATCAATAAAATATGTTTAAAAAAAGAAGTGGCTTTGAGAGATGTTAGACATTCCTAACTAACACAGAGAACAGTTAGGATGTGATTAAAGTAGGGTGTGCAAGGAATGAAGAGGAACTGATCTAAGGCAGTGACAATAGAGGTGGGAAGAAGAAGGTAGATTAAAAATTATTTAGAAAAAAAGGTCTGACCTTGGTGATGAATTGGAATGGGGTTGGTTAGAGAAGGGCAACAGGAACATGAAGTGATCAAAGAATCTTCTCATATTTCTGGGTTTGGTGGCCAGATGATGGTAGAAACTGTGATAGAGATACAGGAGCAAACTTCTGGTGGCAAAAGTCATCAGTTCAGCCCTAAACACAAATTTCTTGTCTCTAAAGGTGGTTCATAAAATGTGTTTCTCAAGTGCTGAGCTCCTCCTGTGGCTGGCAGGCTTGAAAGAAGGGGAGTTTTTGAGGAAAGTGGCTGGGCCTTACTGTGTGATGTGTGTTGGAAAAATACACACAAACACACACATACATGTTGAGGAAGAGAGATCAGATTTTAAATGTCTGAGGACTCTCCACCCTGCCACGTGATGTTTGTCAACTGAAACTTCATATGGACCTGACAATTTATTAAGAATATCTGATTCATATCCAGCAATGAGGGACAGAAGGGAAATGAGAGCAAAAAAAGCATGCAAACTGTGGCAAAAACTGGCCCCGGAGCACAGGGGTATGAACTGGGCTCCTGCCTCCTCCATGTCCGTCCCTGTCTCTGGGAAGAAGAGTCCTGCTGTATGCTAGCATTTCAGAACACCACCTGTGAATCTCAAAACTGACTTATATATATATTTTTTTTTCCTACAGGAATTGTTGAAATTCAAACTCTGTCTTCCTTATTTATTCTTCTAAAAACCACATTTGGTTTAAAGATTCTGTTTGCTATAGATGGGGAAAGAATTTATATTCAGCTCACCAGCACATGGAAAAGAAGAACACTGGGGCTCTGTGGCACTTTTAATGGGAACATAAGGGATGATTTTCTGTAAGTATGATTTCTGTATAGCTAACATGATTTAATGACTAGTAATTTAGAGGATATAAAATCCTTCAGTAAAAATGTTTACTTAACTAATAACATAGCCAGCTTAGGCATCATGATTCTAAGAGCTTCACATTGATCATTGTATTTAAATTTTGTAGAAACCACAGATTCGCATCTCTGTTTTGTAGATGAGAAAACCAACTGAGACCAAAAAGTGGCAAATAAATCACTCAAAGACATTTAGCTCAAATAGAGTGGAGCTGGGCTTTGAATTTAGACAGTGTGACTCAAGGCCTGTGGGTTAACCCACAGAATCAGAATAGCTGCCTGTTACACTCTCCCCTGCCACCTATCAAGCTTAGCAGTATTTTTGAAAACATTAATATCATTTTGTATTAATAGTAAATTATTCTTGTAAAAATATTGGTATCAGTATGCATGATATCTCTAAAGCAACATTTTGTTATCGAAGTTAATTGAATTTTGTGATAATTGGTGTTTAATCAGAAGAAAAGCCTACTTTCACCTACATGTGAAGAGATACAGTGTGTAATTTAATGTAAATACTTTGAGCTTTTATGCTAAGCATGGTGGGACAGTTCAAGTAGTATGATATCTATGGTCCCATCCTCAAGGAGCTTGTATGGAAGACTGGGAGGGGATAACAACCTCTAAGAAATAGTGAGTTCTAGGCAAGGTGTTAATCAACAATACATACAATAAATACTGAAGTAATTACAAAAAGTTAAGTGTCGAATTTTGTTGTTATGGCTGGAAGCACAGCAGGAATTTTGAGTAGGTTAGTGTGGGCTGGGTAGCCAGAAAATATTTTATGGAAAAGCCATTCTCCAAATACCTTTGTAAAATTAAAAAAATATGTTTATTGCTTTGAGAGAGAGAGAGAGAGAGAGAGAGAGAGAGGGACATCAGTGTGAGAGAGAAACATTGATTAGTTGCCTCCCATACATGCCCTGACTGAGGATCAATCCTGCAACCTAGGGATGTGCCCAGACTAGGAATGGAACCCACATCCTTTTGGTGTATGAGACAATGTTCCAACCAACTGAGCCACACAGGCAAGAGCTCCAAATACCACTAAAAAAAAACACTCCTGTGTATTACTCCTGCTTGGGGTTCTTTCCGCCTCCTAATCTTTCTCACGAACTCCTATTTATAGTTCAGCCCAACTCAGAAATTATTTGCTTCAAAAAGCAAGTTCATATTACAACAGACAAAGTTAATTTTGACTCTGTTATGTGAATATCTACCATTTTATCTTGTCTGGTTTTCACTTAAAACTGTGAGGGCTTTGAGAATAAGAACTGCACCCTCACTCCTTGTATTCTTAGGAACTAGCCTAGAACATGAATTATGTGATATATGAATTGAACAGAGGCAGGGTTTTAATAAGAAAAGAATTAGAATGAGTGAGAATAACTGGCATTTAAAAATTTAAATTTCAAAAGAAAAGTTCTATGTTGTCTCCTGTGTGATTAAATTATTTTTAGGATATTTAGGTTTTTTTGTTTAATTTATTTTTAGGTCAGAATATCAGTATCTTTATATATATCTTTTGTTTCACAAATGCTATTTTAAGTGGCTTGGTTAAGTTGTGCAGAAAAGACACTAAGCCTTCTTTCCCTGCCTTGTGTATCGGAATGGGTTAGCAGTCCGCATTTAACAGATGGCGAGCCGCCTCCCTCCTCCTGGGGCACCAGTCTCCTCCATGTGTAAACATTCAGGCTGATAACAGTGCAGGATAATATTTCAGAGTTAGAGATAACTTTTTAACAGTGTTTGGCTTTCCAGCATAAGCAATTAAACTTCTTTACTTCACAAATGTTAATGAGAATCTGCAAAGTGAAATGGAAAATATTAATTACTTGAAAATTTATTTTGCATGCCATTTATAGTAACTTATGGTAAGCTGAAAGGTTATTTTTTAAAGTGAAATGCAGTAAATAAATGGGTCTACATTTTAACTCCTAATTATTTTTTGTATTTATTGTTTTAAGTGAGCTAAATGCGATAAGAGAGCCAAGCTCTGAGTCAGTTCCTCCTGAGAGCCCCGACTACACCCATGGCCTTGGCCTATTTAATTGTCCTCTGTAGGAATGAAGAGGGAAGGAAGGGAAAGAATGAGAAAGGCTAGTCCATGTTAAACAATTTCTTTGAGTTTCAGTGTTCTCATTTAAACAAAATGAGGTTTTGGATTAGGTGTTTGTTATTGCTTTACAATTTGAGAATTGTTTAATTTTTAGGACTGGGGAAAGGAAGGAAAGGGGAAAGGGTGAGACAAAGATGGCCACTGTGGAATGGCTTGTGCAGCATCTTTTTCTCCTCCTTTCTCAGTCGGGGTGGTGAGAAGCTCCATATAGGTAATGGTGCCTGAGCTTATTTATAACCAAAGCAGTTGATTTATTAGGACACCACAGAGAGCCAAGATAAGGCCCACTCTACCATTTAGCCATGCTGTAACAATTCAGGCAGGTAGGGCTTGCATTGGTCAAAGCTTCCTACAGGAAACTTAGTTCAATCTGACTCTCTTAAGTAGTTTTGACAGTGTCTGGCATAGTGTCTGGCAGGGATTGTCACTTACTAAATATTGGCAAATGAGTTAATAAACCTTGATGGCTGCTGGAGGGGGCATTTAAGTGTTTGGCTATTAAGCATTCTTGTGATTTATATATCTGACTTCAGAACAGTGAATGTTTCTCTTCCATTTTGGTTTGCTGAGGGAATTGAAGAAATAAGTCAACTTGGATAAAGGATGCCTTTTATACCATTTTCCCTCAATTTTCATTTGGTTTGTTTGTGCAGCTTCATGATGAAACCTCAGTACTTCAGGCCTCATAATAGATTTTGAAATATTGAACCATAATTATAGACTGCTTATTCTTTGGGACATTTGTCTTTACCCTGAAAAGAATCATGTGAGCTACCTACCTCCTTCTCTTTGCATATACTCTAAACCACACACACACATACACACAATGTTTTAGTTGTGTGATGTTTTATTAAATCAGTGCAAACTATAGTTGCATCTTGGCTTTGACACATCAGCTGAATGAACATTAATAGTTTTCTGAGTTTTTGTTTTGCTTTCTTTCTGCAGGGGGATAATGATGGTTTTGTTCCGTGAGGCTGAAATGATTATTAAATAAAACCATATATGTCCACAACTTGACACCTCGTAAAGTCTTAATAACAGGGAGTTGATACTATGTATATTTAAAAAATAATAGAACATTTTTAGTTCTAAAATTTCTTTGTAAATAAAAAAATAGCATTCTTTTAAAAATATTTAAAGACTGACCAAATAAAATGAATGGGAGTGACTAAGACAAATACTATCTTTGCTTTCTAGTTCCCCATCAGGTATGATAGAAGGTACACCACAACTTCATGCAAATGCGTGGAGAGTTTCCTCCACTTGTTTTGCACCTGTTCATGTTCCTATGGTGGACCCCTGTAACATTAACCAACAAAACAGTAAGCCCTTCTTCTACTTGTAAACTTAGGGGAAAGATCTATGTATTACTATAATCATAACATTAGACAGTGATTTTAAATTCTGATTTTTTAAATTAGGATAATATTGATGCTATGTGTTTTTGTTTAAATTATGCCTTTACATATGCTTCTTTATGTAATATAGGTTATTTTTTAAAAGAACTCCAGAAAATGATTATTTTATTTACTACTTTGCATTCATAAATGTATTTATTTTAGGTATTTATAAATCCCCCAATTCCTCCCAAATGTGAGATAGCATTTTGGAGAGTTCAGATTATTTAATGCTTAAGAAAAATGCCTGAAAAATCTCTAATAATGCTGTTATAGTCTTGGGATGTTTGACTTCAGTTCCATAGTATGACAGCTCATGTAGATTTTCCTGTTTATTACTAACACATTATCCACTCCTGCTCACAGAATCTGTTATAGTTTCATAAGTAGGAAATTAGTGATCCAAGGAAGCTTTGTGCCATTATGTGTGCAACAATTTGAGATGGTCACACACCATAGTTGCAATTTGCAATGATAGTGAAACTCACATGTCAAGAATTTTTGGTTGTATTCTTTTGTTTGCTGAAGCCACAGCAAACCTTGTGAATGGCTATCTCACTGCTCAATAAAAGAACACACGCAAGGTCTGTCCATGCAATGCCTAGAAAAGGTTCAGGCATTGTTAATATAATGAGAATGTTATATATTTGTGCGACATCAATGTAACCTGGCAGTCAAGGAGAGTGGACTGGAATGTACATGCATGAATGGACAGTTTCCCTGTATTAGTCAGTGGAGGGCAGTAGACACCATGGAGTGAGCATATATACTGTGTGGTTGTGTCAGTCAAAATGCCTGAGCAAACAAAGCAACAAATCTGCATCCAGTTTTGCGTTAAGCTTGAACATTCCTTTGCAGAAACTATTTCAGTGATTCAGAAGGACACAACTATGGGCAATTGGTGATCTGCAGCTTCATCACAACAATGTGCTCACTCATGCACCATGTCTGGTGCAGAGACTTTTGGTGAAACATCAACTCACCCAGGTCACTCAGTCCCCCTACAGGCCAGATTTGGTACCCCATGTCTTCTGGCTTTTCCCAAAACTAAAATCACCTTTGAAAGGGAAGAGATCTCAGACCATTAATGAGATTTAGGAAAATATGTTGGGGCAGCTGATGCTGATTGAGAGACCTGTGTGAGGCCCCAAGGGGCCTACTTTGAAGGGGACTGAGGTGTCATTGTCCTATGAACCATGTTTCTTGTATCTTGTATTTTCTTCAAAAAATGCCTCTTTTTTTTCATATTACATGGCTGTACACTTTCTAGATAGACCTCATATTACTGTTATTTTTGTAAAATCACTTTGTGAAAAAAAGTGTGTATCCTTAAATAGATTAAATATTTTTCAAATTTCTTTCTTTAATTATTTTGGCTAGTTTAGTGTTTTTGTGTCATTTTTAAGGATACATTAACATTGGTTATTACTATTGGTGTACTCATGAGAAGCCAGCACAAACTCTGGATCTGTAGTGGTTGTTTGGTTGGGTTCTGTTGATTGTCATGGTCCTTATTATGAACCTATAGCTTTGATGTACTGGAAAAGCATGAGATAGTGCTGCTTTTAGTGCTGTCTTTTCATCTAAGCCAACTTCTAAACTTGAAGAAGACTGTTAATCTCTTTGGTCATTTTTCCTATCTATAATAATAGGATTAGATTGAAGTCAATTCATCTCTATGATTGGACACTTTTATCTTATTCCTGTTTAACAGTGTTTTCCCCCTTTTTGTGTTTAACTTTCTATTAATAGATCTACTCCTTCTCCTTCAATTAGTGTTATTCAGCTTACTTCTAACTTTTAGTTCCCTCCTTGATATTGCAGTAACTTTATTTTTTAGTAACATGTAAAAGTTGGAGTAGAACACAACTGAAAACCTCAGTTTTCCTTTTCTTTAATTGCCTCCTCTAATTACACACTGTCTGTTATATATATTTTTATCACTTTTATCCTTATATCTCATGTCTTCTCTGATATATATTTTAGATATTATCCTTCTTCACCTTTGCCATGAACTATTTTTCTTTTAGATTTCAAATAGGCAAATCCAAAATAATCTCTAAAGAAAGGAAAATAAAGCGATAAAAGTCAACAATTCTGATGTGGCTTCTGAAGAATATTTTTTCACAAAGGTCTTGTTGAGTTACCCTTTTACTTAATGTCAGAAGGAATATTTTTAGTCTGCATGTTCCTAGGGCACACAAGGGGAGTCCCGCTGATGTGCTGCTTTGTTTTGGAGCTCCTGGGGACTGGGAGTCCGCATGCCAACGATGTGCTGCTACAGTCCAAGTCATTTGTTTTCATCTACACAGGCATAACAATGCAAAAATATAATACTAAGATAATTACCATGTGTTTCCTTACCAATAATAAATATATTTAAAATACTCAACCAGTTAAGTTTAGCATAGTTCATTAATTTGAAAACATTCCACTCTTTGACAGTTCACCTGGTCTCTCAAAGACAATGACAGTTCAAAGATTGATTTTAGCTGTGAAAAAGTCAGTGAAACTTAGGTCTACCACATTAAGGAATCACATAGCCTTTCTCAGAAAGGCGAGATTTTCCAGATTGTTTGGGCAAACTTGGTTATTCACATAAAAATTATATCTGGTCAGTCATTCTCAAGGGGAACATCAACAAATTTAAGAAGCAGTTACACCCCAACCAACCAAAGGCCTGGTAGTTGTACCTCATGGCCTTTAGCATATGTTCTAAGCCCTAATTTCTATTCATTAGTTATTTATGTGTGCATTTATAGATTCTTTTATCATTGTGCTTTGTGCCTTGTGCAGACATTAGTGCTATGACTTTGTGGCATCTGCTATATTATTGTTCACCTCAGAGACTATTGGAATGAGATGATTCCCAGTCTTTTCTGGATAATTGTGTATTCCAGGGAGTTGCCATAACGTCCACAATATGGTACCACTTTTATCATATATGAATGTCTCCCACTACTCACCAATTCTTTACGGTAGAATTGGGATGATTTTCTAAGATGATCTGCAGGCAATGGGGTGATAGAGGTTATCAACCTTTCTGTTACTCATGTTATTCAGGTAAAACAGTTCTTTTTTTTCTAAAATATTATTGAATATAGATAAAGTGCTGTCACCAGTATTATCAAAAGTAAAACAAACAAACAAAAAACCCATGTAAGCTGAAAATATTGGCTCTTATTAAAAGTAATGTATAATACAGTACATTTCTAGGAAAGCAAGATGCTGGGATAGTTCTGGAACTAGATCCTTAAGGTTAAGATCAGAATGAGTACATGAGGGGCTAATGCAGTTCTTTGTCTGTTAGTTGGATACGCAGCACACTGTGACGTCATCCACCAAGAGCTCTTTGCTCCTTGTCACTTCTACGTCAGCCCTGGACTGTACTACCAGCTATGCCGCCACGATGCATGCAAGTGTGGAAGTGCCTGCCTATGCAATGCTCTCGCCCACTATGCCTACCTGTGTGGCCAGCGCGGTGTCACCATTGATTTCAGAGCTTATGTTTCATTCTGTGGTGAGTGCGATGGCAATAGCGCAAAGACAATCAGATAACACTTCAGATATTTTTGCATTTGTATTTACTGCTTTCATTTTTTTAAGTGGAAAGTCAATATTGCTCAAGTTATTTGAAATTTATTATAATGTACAAACAAAAAAACAAATGAAATACTTTATTTCATAAAACTGAAGATATGTTGGGTAAGATCAATAAATTTTGACATTTTTGTTATTAGCAAACTTAGAGTATAACTATGTGGTTTGAAATACGTAACAGAAATAATTTGAGAAAATTTTTACAGAAATGTCATATCTAAGTACAGAAAAGCATTATATGTTATAGTGACACAGTTGATTTGCAGTTAAATAGGCAAGTTATACAAGAGCCAAGGATTTTCTCAATTTCTTGGGGCTCTAGTTCTCATGGTTATGGTGTCTGCTGTTCTCATCCATGGTAGATTGTTTCCTTTTCTATTTATTCTATAATTTTCATGAGCTAATCTTTATTGGGATGCTGCCTCCCTCTCTTAGAACCCTTTGTGACCTGGATTTCGAGAGCATCACTTCCTCCACTTCTCCACCCCACAGTTCGCTTCACAAAGCTTTTTCCTGTCACTCCAAAGGGTTTATTGGCCAGTTTTGATGTTATTTTCCTAGCTTGGGCTTTTTAAAAATGATAATGGAAATATAAAAGTAATGTAAATTTACATAACAAACCTGTGCAGCATGTACTTATATTTGGGGTTCTGATTTTTCAGAGGATATTTTATTTTATCACAGACCCCACAGAATTACAGAGGTTTTCCTAGCATCTCGCTGTCCAAAGAGCAGATTTTTAGTCCAGGTGTTGGCAAACTATACCCTTTGGCTTCCTGTGTTTTTGTAAATAAAGTTTATTGCCCATTTCTTTACATATTGTTTATGGCTGCTTTTGGGCTACAAGGGCAAAGCTGAGTAGTTGTAACAGAGACCGTCCATCCTGCAAGGCTGAAACTATTTATCATTTGGCTCTTTATGGGAGTTTGCTGACCTGTGCTGCAGTCCATCTTTGCAACTGAGGATGGAGCTTTTGGAGAGTTCGAGTAAAAGGTCTCCTCGTTCCTTGCCTCACAAAGGACTAAGTTTCATTTTCTGTTCCCACATGAGTTAAGTCCAAGAGATTGATCTTCTTCTCTATTCAAATTTCTGGATATTGTTTCCCTCTTTACTTCTGGCATTGGGGGATGGTACTCACCTGCCACACCCCATTTTTTTTCCTTACAAGATGAATATACATTAAACATAATTTCAATTATGTGTTATCCAGCACGTTTTGGGTGTTTGCTTTTTAGGGTATTTTAGTTTGTCCACTCTAATCAGTTCAATTTGGACTAGAGAGAAATTGGAAGGGTTTAGAAAAAAGTACAAGCATGATTAAGGCAAAAAATAAGAGCTATGAATATGGATCAATAAAGTCAAGTTTTGTCTTACCTGTAGAAGACTAAAAGTTTATTTAAATGATGCTTAAATATGTCATAAAGAAGATGATGTCAGCATAACAGTCAATAGATTTGAAATGCAAGGACAGGAAGTGTATTTAGACATATAAAATACCTGAAATAGTTTTAAAAACCATGGTGCAGGCTATTAAAGGATGTTACAAAAAAATAAACAACAAAAAAAGAATGTTATGGAAAGTCTCACTTAAAAATATTTCGAAACAGAAATTTTATTTTTCTATTACACTTCGATGCAGGCAAAGGTTGTAATTAATTTATTTGTTATAGGATTCTGTAATGTTCTGATATCTTTTCCCCATGATTTATATCGATCTGTAATTCAGCACAAAATGCCCCTCTCTCTGTGGCACTGTTTCTCAGAGGCTCCCTTCTGTCCCCAGGCCTGGTGTGCCAGAAAGGCATGCTGTACCACCACTGCTCCTCCTTCTGCCGCCGCTCCTGCACGGCTCTCTCCGCCCCCGAACGGTGCACTGATGAATGTGCCGAAGGCTGCAACTGTCCTGAAGGCAAATATTACGAAGAAACGCTTCACTTCTGTGTGCCCATGTGAGTCACAGAAACGGTTGGCAGCACCCAGTTTTCATCTGTTTTTCTCTTAACAGATTAAATGGGCTTTCATGCTTATTTCTTTTCTCTCTTAATCTAACTGATTCAGCACCATTTTTGGGAAAAAAATAATTTTCTTCATGAAGTCACTTTTTCCATAAAGTGTGCATGTATGCCAAGATCTGCTTGGGAGTCATTTCTTTAATATTTCCTAATGTCTTTACCTTATTTATTTAATTTTAATCCTGTACTTGTTCACAAATAGCTGCAGAAAGAGCTAAGGAATCAGTTAATCCAGGAGTATATTTCTACTTGTTTTTATATCATATCAAGATTAATAGCAAGGTTGGTGTTTCACTGTCATGTGGCAAACCTTACTAGCAGCATTGCAATACCTGTCTGCACTCAGAAATTTCTCAAATCATGTGAGATGAATACTTTTGTCTTAACATAGGGTTCAATGAAATCTCAGTTATGTTTCTCTGAGGTGTGTTCAGGAAGTTTTTTTGTGACTAACACAACACAGTCTGTATTGTGACTAAAATAATAAATACAGATTTTTTAAATTTAGGAAACAAAATTTGAAGCTACCCAAGACTTCGCATTTAAATGGTTTCTGCCATTTGTATGACAAAATTGCATGTAGTCTCACAGAAAGAAGTCGTTTTCAGAGCGTGCCTTAAATAGCCAAAACAGAGCATGGGGTCTACTTGAATTTTAGTGTTTTCTAAAATCTACATGCATATATCCTGGTTTATTAATTTAACCTCTTTTTTTTCCTCATAGATTTCACTGCCGGTGTCATTACAGGGGCAGCATTTACCAACCTGGAGAGCTTATCCCAACACCTACGGGCTTATGGTAGATTTCAACGATGGTGATTGTACTTGATGAATAACATATACTGAGATAATTTCTTAACCAAAACTGTAAATCGAAATGACTACTATAATTTAAAAATACAGTTAACCCTAACATAACCTTTAAAACCATATATACACATATATGTACATGTGTGTATATGTGTGTGTTCATGTGTGTGTGTGTGTATATATGTAACATTGCAGCATAGAATGCCTAAGTTTTGTACTCAGAACTGTAGAAAAGAGTGGAAATGAATGAAGTGTTATGCAGCAAAACGGAAGCCCTTTGATCAGTTTGGTTTTTTAGATGGAATTTAGGAGTGAGGTGAGTGTTCAAACAATGCAAGTTACTAAGGGGTTTTAGCTTTGCAGTTTATCCACTGGCTTCAAAAAAAGCAATTCCAAAATGGAATTAACCATGTCACATGCTGGAATCAGAGTCCTGTCTCCCTAGGAGCATGGATCCTGGTGAGAGAATGCATTACTGGGATAATACTCATTCGGGTTGCATTGCGTCTGTTAAAAATGCAGACATGTCCATGCAGCAGTCCACATTGATCTACCCTCAACTCCTGATGTTTCTCTTTTAATTCCACTATTGGTGCCAACAGATAATAATACACAGTAGATAATAGTGAAAATAAGGGTAATAATAAGGATATCTCGCTATTACTATGCACATTCTCTAGTCTGGCACCATTCTGAGTCTTTTATATCTGTTATTATATCTGTCGTAACTGTAACCCTAAAAGGTAAGTACTATTGTTATATTCCCAGTTTACTGGTGATGAAATGAGGCACAGGCAGTCAAGCAAGTTGGTAACAAAGGCAAGAATCAAGCTCAGGAAACATGGTTCTGTGGTGATTTTTCTGTTGCCCACTTTGCTTAGCATCTTATTGCATATCTATGACAATATGCAATTCATACTCAATTTACTCTTGCTATCTCCATCTCCTTTCCTTCCACCTCTCAATCAAGATACAAAGGCAACCAGCTTCTAGATCTTTCTCTAGTAGTTTGTACTACTGGCCACATTTTCCCAAGCCAGAAATCTGGGAGTTATTTTTTGACTCTTTCCTCCTATTCAACATCCCTAGTCAATAAATCCCCAATGACTGTGGATTTTCCTTTTTGCAAATAGTTGAAATATGACTCCTTTCCATTGCCACTGCCATAACCATGTCACTTCTTGCCTCTACCTGGTCTACTTGCCTTTAGCCATACTCCCATTTTGTCTAGGTGTTGAAAATTTAACATAATTGAATTTTATTGAATAAATTGGCCAAAAAAAAAAAGAAAAATGAAGGAATCATTTCTCTTCAGTGAGAAAAAACATCCCATTAGTGCAGTAACTTCATTTGCTTTTCTCTAAGGAATGTCCGAGAATGAGTATGATATGGAAAAGCTGCCTGTGTAATCTGAGATCTGTCTGTCTCAGTTCCTCTCTGCTGTCCACAATGTGAGCACGGCACACCTCTGAGTGTCATCCTGGTGTCAGACAACAGATAAGCATATTTTTTCATGTGACATGGTCCTTATACATTAGCTTTTTCATCTGGGCTCAAACATAAAACACATGATCTGGACCAAAGCTGGAAGAAAAACTCTTTATGTTGTTTATGTTTATGGTATGAGAACCATGGTGTTGTTCCCTCTCATGAGAGTTTCTTAAAGGAGCTTCAGGATTAAATTTGCCAGTATTAGCTTTTCATCTCATGCCCGGACTTTAGAACTTAAATTTCAAGGAAGATGTGACTTCATTGTATCTTCAAAGCTGCTGCTAGAATGATTTTTCTGGAAATCAAACCAACCATATCAATTTTCTGGTTCAGGTCAATGGTTCACCTCAGAGACAAAGCTTTAGTGTCTGAACAGCAGCTGGCCTTTGCCTCTTTGCCATTTGCATGTCCCGTCACTTCCCGCATTGCACCTGGTTACATGGAACACAGCTCTGCCCCTGTGTGGCTTTGTACTACCTCTCCACTGAGTATTATTGCCTTCCTACTTGAGCAAAGACTATGAATCTTGGTCTTTGTATCCTTTGTGCTTATCTCAGTGCCCTATACATATAAGTGTTTGATGAAAATATGCTGAACTGACATAGCTCTCTTCAAACTGGACCTAAGCCAGTAATTTATTTGTGAAAAAAACCTATGGAAAAAATAGCATTTGTATATATGTTCAATCAATTTTTTATATTATTGATTGGTTTTGAAATACAGAAAAAATTGGATTTATAATATTTGTTTACTTTTACTAGTCAATGTTCAAATGGGACTGTGAGATGTGATGAGCCAGCACCGCCCTCTACTGGTAAGATCTAGATATGTATTTTTCTTGAGAGTGTGGCCTAGTACTGTCCTTGCTTTTCTGGCAAAACCGTTTAATGTATCACAGCCCTTCTTGCCTATGTGCATGAATGTAGCCTTGAGAGTGTTTCTGAACATGTGCTTCAGTGCTTCCTAACTTCTTTTACTTTGGAAATTATAATATTTGTAGGACAGTCTGGGTTGAGCATATAAGGCTGTTTAGGTGCAGAGGTCATCGATCCAGGGATGCTGCTTCGATTCTGCCTACCAAGTGCCACAAAAGCTTCAGGGATATGTATCTTGGCACCTGTTGTAACACACTTGTGAAACAGAAGTTGTGATGCTACTGTAAACCAGCACTTCTCCGATATTAATGTGCTCACAATTATCTGGGGATCTTGTTAAAATGCTGATTCTGATTCAGCAGGTCAGGAGTGATACCTGGGATTCTACATTTCTGTCAAAGGTCAAAGTGATGCCATTGCCACTGGTGCCTGGGCTATATTATGAGTAGCAAGGCTCTAGGACTAGCAGCAACCACTTAAAAAATGGCATCTAAAATGACATCTACTGCCATCTTCCTTATAATGTCATTTATACTTGTGTATCATTCCTAAAGATCTTCTATATTAGGGGATGCTATATTATTTATCTTCACTATATAAAAACCTTTAAATTTATAGTCACTGTAGAGAAAATTCTAGGCAAATTAATAATACTACTTTCATAGACTTTAATGGACAGAAAGAGTGTAGGCTGTTAACACTAAATGTGAGCTATTGCTTTTTGTTTATATACACAGTCACATATATATTATTATAAATCAACATTGAATTATATGCCTGGGTTTACTTTATAAGGATTCAGGCTCTCTAGGGCTTCTCTTAAGGTCTGTTTGTGGCCCACCCACATACTCAGTAGCTTCTGGGCCATCCCTGCCATATCCCATTTGCTTCAAGGTGCCTCAGAGTTAAAGAAAGGGAAATCCCGGTGGCCAGATTGCTTATAGAGGAGTCCACAAGATTTGATCCTTTTGCCCCTACATAAGGCACCTTATTTAATCCCACTGAGCCCAAAAGCATTCTAGAGAAATTTGTGATTCTTACCCTACCTGTAAGTATGTCCACTTCACTGCTTCCACAGTGCAGTGAGGGCTGATGTCAATAATGACTTAGAGGTGAAGCAAGGTCTAAGATTTTCATGAGTTCATTGTAAACAAACAGATTTGTAAAGTTTAAACACACTAATTGTTATTCTTCACAAATTTGGGGAAATACGTTTAGATTAATCAAAGTGCCCTGTTCCTTGACCTCAGAAAATTATACAGTAGTTGTTTAGTTATCACGTTATGGAAGGAAGCTAAGGTTTCAAACTCAAAATAGGTTTTGGAAATTGAAATATTTACAAAGAGAACCTGGCTAGAGAATGTTTGTAAGCTCATCAGCCAAACATCACAGAGTAAGAGAATCATATAATAATAACTGATAAAATATTCCATGGTGACTTGTATTTTGATACAAATGTACTTCGGTATGATTGTCTGTCTATGGCATGAATACAAACTTAAGTGTGTTTTGTCTGTGTCTTGTTCCTGAAGTTCATGCCTGCCCCGAGGGAAAAGTGTATTTTGACTGCAGGTTTCCTGATCCTGAATTACCAGCTGGTGGTGTAAATTGTGAGATTACATGTGCAAACCTGGCCATGAACTTCACTTGTGCCCCATCCTCACCCTGCATAAGTGGTTGCGTTTGTGCTCCAGGGTAAGCTTCTTTTTCTTGACAATATAAAATGTTCAGGATTTAATAGAAAATATAGCACTTAAAAACATTATTTACAGAACTTTCCCTGGCTGGTGTGGCTCAGTAGATTGAGTGCTGGCCTGTGAACAGAAGGTTTCAGGTTCGATTCCTGGTCAGGGCACATGCCTGGGTTGTGGGCCAGGTCCCCAGTTGGGGGCATGCAAGAGGCAACTGATTGATGTTTCTCTCCCACATTGATGTTTCATTTCTCTTTCTTTCTTCCTCCCTTCCCCTACCTCTATAAATAAATAAATAAAATCTTTAAAAAAAGAAAACATTATTTACAAAATTAGCTAAAATTGTTGTTATAGTTGACCAATGGTTAATTGGTAACTAGAAGACTATTGTAATTGTTTTATGTTCATGTAACATATCACATGTTATCTGCAAGGTATTATGTGTTACATGTTAATATAATATGAATAATGTCACATATGTTAGGTGTGTAATATTATTAAAGTAATAGAGTATACTCAATATTATTCAGGTAGTATTATTAAAGTAATACAATATTATTAAAGTAATATACTAATCAATGAATTGATAAGAGAACTTATTTTAAGATGGATTCAACATTTATTCCCAGATTCAACTGCAATTTGGGGAAAGTGATAGTGAACCACACTTCATTCATTACATTTTAGTGCATATCTTTCAAATATTCTGTTGTGCTGTTATTGTTGATATTAAGTTATAATGGTGATGCCAACAGCTTTATCTAATGGATATTACACCATGAAAATGGTATGTTGAGGCTATATAGGGCAGAGGGTAATAGTGGGAGCTCTGGCTCACACACCAGAGTTCAAATCCCAGCTCTGCAGATGTGAACTGTGATTTTATGCAAGTTTCTTTAAGATCTCAATTAGGCATTGAGATGTGTGTGTGTTCACTCAATAAATATTAGTCACTATTTTATGGCAGCATAATCTACTCTTAACTTTATAAATTTCCTTTAGCAGCAGGGCTGTGTAGTACCCATGAAAGCAAATACAGAACCCAGGGACTATTAGCTTTCATGTAGGCACACTTGTCCCTCCTCTTCTCATAATGAATAGAGCCAGTGCTCAGAGGGAGGGCTTTTAAGGCAAGTAGGTCACCCATTCTTCCTCCATGAGCATATGCACACAAAGGGATTCTGGGGCTTAGTTCATATAAACCATGAGCAAAGAAGAGAGAGGTTTTGTGGTCTGTTTCCCAGGAGAGTCACATTTGTCTAATGGTCTCCATTTAGAATAGGTAGAAGAGTCAGGTAACTTGGGACTGTACCAGTCTCTCTAGAAAGGAGGGTCACAGGCAGAGGTTAAAAGAACAAGCCCATGTGTGGGAAAATAAAGGCAAGTAGAAACCAGGCTGTAGAACAGATGAGCAAGGGAGACATTTTAGTAAAAAAGGAGAAGGAAAGTAAAACCTTTATAATGGTAAAATGATTGAAAGCTACATCATTATTTATTTGATTTAATTATTACTATTATGGATGCATGGCTGATTAGATAAAGATACATCCTCATTTTGTTTCATATGCTTATGATTGATGCTATTATTTTTTTTAATTGTGAATTTTTAAAAGATTTTATTTATTTATTTTTAGAGAGGGAAGAGAGGGAGAAAGAGAGAGAGAGAAAGAGAAACATCAATGTGCGGTTGCTGGGGGCCATGGCCTGCAACCCAAGCATGTGCCCTGAGTGGGAATCGAAACTGCGATGCTTTGGTTCGCAGCCCGAGCTCAATCCACTGAGCTATGCCAGCCAGGAGATGCTATTATTTTTAAAAAATACCTATTTGCTCACTTCTGACTTTCGGTTCCACAATGATTTATTTATTTACTGATCAAAACTCATTATAAAAACTTAAAGAAATGTATTAAATAAATACAGTTGGAATTGGCTATGAGGACTCTGATTAATTTGGAAATAACTTTGTTATTCAGAACTTTCTATTATAAAGTTGGTTATGATAACAGGATTTAGATTGTCTTCCATGTGACTTTGGTTAGCTTATTTAGGGAAATGAGCCTGTAACTTGTTTTCATGAGGCTCCTGATAGTGCCAAGGATTCATTGGCTATAAAAGGACTATTTATCTTAGTTGAGAAGTCACTGCAGATTAAAGAAATGCAGAGTAATTTAGTGGAAAGAGTCATATAGAATTGGGTTTAGATGCTGATCTTCCTTTTTATTAACTGGAGTATGTTGGAACAAGTTACTTAACCACTGGAGTCTCAACTTTCTCTTTTTAAAATGGGTGTAATAATATCTACTTCATGGATGCAACGCACCAGTCATATGGTAAGTTTGCCCAAGTCTGCTTAAAGCAGATAACTTACAAGTGATTTTTTTAAAGATTTTATTTATTTTTAGACAGGGAAGGGAGGGAGATAGAGAGAGAGAGAGAGAAACATCAATGTGCAGTTGCTAGGGGTCATGGCCTGCAACCCAGGCAATGTATCCTGACTGGGAATCAAACCTGTGACACTTTGGTTCGCAGCTTGAGCTCAATTCACTGAGCTACGCCAGCCAGGGCTCTTACAAGTGATTTTTAACTTTCTCCTTTCTTGCAGTTTTGGTTAGTATAAAAAAAAACTCATCAGTCATCAGCATAACCACTTAAAGCCACTGCTTTGGCTATATACATAGGGATTGTGGCTTATTTAGGTGAGACATCCCTCATCTAAACAATTGGGCTTCCAATGTTTATGAAGCACCTAATTGTGGAACATGGTGTTATGCTACAGGGATGGTGGGTACAAAAGTACACATATTACAATGGGATCTACCTTATGGGGTTGTCACTAGGATTAGGTGAGTTAGTGATGTATTTAAAGTGGTTATAATAGTGGATGGACCATAATAAGCACTGAAAAATATTAGTTTTTATTTTTGCTTTTTTGGTCTGTTAGACACTTATTGACATACTTGCTAATCATTATTCTGAATCCTCCAATAAACATTTACACGCATCACTCTGTATAAATAGTGTGGGACATAAAGGATTGCACTGAGGTGACTGTGCTAAATTGAATCTTAAATGTTGAGAGGCCTTTCAGGCAGAACAAGGGAGGTGAAGGGTTTTCTATGCAGAGAAAAGATGCAATAGCCAAGTGGCTTTTGAAGATTGGAGGTTTGAGGTGAGAAATTATGGACTCTAGGGCATTATTGTCTGAGGGCAATCTAAATGAGATAATGCATCATTTATATGGATAGATTCATTTATTTACCCTGTACTCAACAATTGAGTGTCTGCTGTGTACTACTAGATATTGGGACACAGCCAGTAGCATGATTACATTGTCTTCCCAAGTGGAGCTTAAAGTCAAGGGACAGCATATATATGGAATAAAAAATCACAATACTGTGTTAGATGAACTATGAGAATGAGAGCAGAACTCTAAAAGAATATGAGTATTTCTATTTGAGAGAAGAGGCAGGAATTTAGGATTCCCTGCTTCTATGTTGAATTTTATAGCATTGAATTATAACATTTTAAAACAAATTTAGAAGAAAACTTTATATATTTGAGTAGCTACTTATGTTGAATTCTTTTACTATTATTTTACCTAAATACATTTAAATTATTAAATTTATTATTAATGTTTTGTTATTTATGAAATTAATTTTGAAAAATACTTTAATAACAGAAAATACAGGTATACATTTATATTAAGGGTATTTATTTACTATATTTATTATGTAATACATAAATGTATTATATATTTATGTTAAATCATATATTTATTTACTCTTTATAACAAAATATTTTGATAACATACCAAAATTAATTATTCTTTGACATTATTTTGTTTAATTTCTATATTCATAGAGGTAGTAAGATACTTTTTCATGGGGTACTATTTCAAAAAGGCAATAACATTTTAAATAAGACTCTGGCTGTAAAAACCTGTGGGGACTCTCCGAGCCTCACAAGAGAGTTTGTTGGAGGGACCCACAGGGCCCTAGAATGTACAAAAACCCACCCACTTGGGAATAAGTACCTGAAAGGGCACAATCCATTTGTGGGTAGCAGAAGTGACTGAAAGTGAGGTGAGAGCCAAGCAAGTAGCATTGTTCCCTCTCTGACCCCTCCCCCAAATACAGTACCACAGTACAGCAAAGAGGGTTGCCTCACCCTGGGGAATACCTAAGGCTCTGCCCCTTACAATGTAACAGGTGCACTGAGGCAAAGAAATACGGCCCAAATGAAAGAACAGATCAAAACTCCAGGAAAAGAACTAGGTGCCAAGGAGGTAGCCAATGTATCAAATGTAGAGTTCAAAACACTGGTAATCAGGATGTTCACAGAAATAATTGAATATAGGCACAAAACAGAGGAAGAAGTGAAGGCTATGCAAAGTGGAATATAGAAAAATATACAGGGAACCAACAGTGAAGGGAAGGAAATCAGGACGCAAATCAGAAATTGGAACATAAAGAAGAAATAAACATTCCACTGGAAGAGAATGAAGAAACAAGAATTCAAAAAAAAGAGGAGAGGCTTAGGAACCTCCAGGACAACTTTAAACACTCCAACATACGAATCATAGGGGTATCAGAAGGAGAAGAGGAAAAGCAAGAAATTGAAAACTTATTTGAAAAAAATAATGAAGGAGAACTTCCCCAATCTGTCAAAAGAAATAGACTTCCAGGAAGTCCATGAAGCTCAGACAGTCCCAAAGAAGTTAGACCCAAAGAGGATCACACCAAGGCACACCATAATTAAATCACTTAATATTAAAGATAAGGAGAGAATCTTAAAAGCAGCAAGAGAAAAGGAGGCAGTTACCTACAAAGGAGTTCCCATAAGACTATCAGCTGATTTCTCAAAAGAAACCTTGCAGGCCAGAAGGGGCTGGAAAGAAGTATTTGAATTTGTGAAAGGCAAGGATTTACATCCAAGATGACTCTATCCAGCAAAGCTATCATTTAGAACGGAAGGGCAGATAAAGTGCTTCCCAGATACAGTCAAGTTAAAGGAGTTCATGATCACCAAGCCCTTATTATATGAAATGTTAAAGGGACTTATCTAAGAAAAAGAAGATAAAAAATACAAACAGTGAAATAACAACAAACTCACAACTATTAACAACTAAACTTAAAAAAACAAAAACAAAAACAAACTAAGCAAACAACTAGAATAGGAACAGAATCACAGAAATGGAGATCACATGGAGGGCTATCAGTGAGGAGGGAGAGGAAGGAGGATGGGGGAGAAGGTACAGGGAATAAGAAGCATAATTTGTAGGTACAACATAGGGGGACATTAAGAACAGTATAGGAAATAGAGAAGCCAAGAACTTATAGGTATGACTCATGGACATGAACGAAAGGTGGGGCACTACTGGTGAGAGAGGCTGGTGGGTGCAGGGTGGAGGGGGATAAAGGGGAGAAAAAATTGGATAACTGTAATAGCATAATCAATAAAATATACTTAAAAGAAAAAAGTAAAAAACCAAAACTTGATATGTTAATTATAAAAATGTGAAATACTTGGTAGAAAGCTTGTTAAGTTAAAAACACATCTGAACTAAATTCTCATGATTTTAACCTTAAACACTCACAGGAGAAAGCTTTTGATTTCTCTCTCTGTCCCATAACAAAAAATGTTACACATCTCATAATTCACCATTATATCAAAAAATTGTTATTCCCACAGATTCTTTTCTCTTAAGTTGTAAATATTGACAAAAGGGGCCCTCACTATGTCTTTAAGTGGTTTTTTTTTTTCCAGGATAGCTCCCTTTATGCAGGAATTTAGGGTTCTGTCTCCCTTTTATTGTAGTAAGTGATAAGAAAAGGTTGAAACTACTACATCCATTATCCATTTTTTTTTGCGTGGCATTTATTTACTGCTGTGATATACAAAGTACAATATGGAAAAAAGTGGAGGATAAAGACTGGATTTAACCCTTCATCAGACCAGATAGAACATGCCAATGACAAGTGTAATGAATATAGATGGTTCTGAATATGTCAAGATTATGAATTTTTTAAAAAAAACTGAAATTAGTACCTTACATTGCATTCACTCTTCTTTTGGAAGGCTGGCGGAGCACAAAGGAAAGTGCTATATTCCTGAAAGCTGTCCTTGTATCTGGAAAGACTGGGAGTACCTCTCGGGAGAAGTGATTGCTACTCCGTGTTATACCTGGTAACACCATTCATTTATTTTACAAAAGTGTCTTAGTTTCAATCACCTTTTATTTACATAATGTGACTGACTTCAGCAAAGAAACACAACAAATCAGGCCTGAGTAAATAAGATTTTAAAGGCATTCAGGCATTGATAGAGAGCTACTATCTATGGGGGTATAATACCATTATTTTTATGCTTATTTGTTTAATCCATAATAAAAGTATGAAATATGACAATTTGAACATTTAATAAGAAAAAAATCTCAAGTTTATAAGAAAGTGATAAATAATCTGTAGAGAAAGTCACATTTAATGGAAGGTTTTTTGTCTGGAAATAAGCCAGAAGGATACCATAAAATAAAATTGAAATATAATTTTCTTAAAATATGGGTAAAAATTCTAAACTCGTGAACAGAATCACACCTAATGCATTTAAATAAACTCAAGTATCGAAGATGGCATTGTGGTCTTTTGTCTACCAGCAAGACTATGGTTAATTTTTCTTTCCACCATCTGTTTTTTGTGTGACCCAGGCACAATTTCTAGGCTTGTTTGTGGTGTCTGATAATTTAAATAAATGAAGTGGTAAATATATGCCTAATTTGTTAGTGTAATGTTATCAGAACAAATTGTCAGTGCTCTTGAATATAAAACTTCCAATGTTTATGTCACTTGAAAGACTAATTAGAGCTATGTTTCTTACAATGGTAACTCGTGTTACTTTCTGATAGTGTTTGTCGACGAGGAATGTTCAATTGCACATACTATCCATGCCCAGCAGTGTGCACAATATATGGAGATCGGCATTATCATTCTTTTGATGGTCTGGAATATGACTATATTGGTGATTGCCAAGTATTTTTGATAAAGGTATGTCACAATTACACTTTTTTTGCAATTATGCAAATACAATGTAAAAAACAAGTATGCCTGGCCATGGTATATCAAATCCATATGTCATTAATACAATCTATAAAAGTTAAGCAATTTAATCTAATTTCCTTGATTCATTCTAAAGTTTTATTATTTATAAGTGATGACCCAGTTCTGAAATTTTCTGTGCCTCTGTATTCTCATTTGTAAAATGAGGACAAAACTTGGACCTATTTCCAGGGCTAGTTCTTAGGATTAGCTGATATAAATGTAGGCAAAACTCGCAAATAGTGTTTGGTATATGGTTACTGGATTTTAAATGTTAACCATTTTTTTTTATTGACTTAGTTTGGAAAATAGAAATATAAGGCATTAAATCAGGTGTTGGACTATGTATTGTTTATGGTTGTAGCAATCAAAAGGCATTATTCTCAGTTTTAGACTGTTATTTTGCTAAACCCCAGGATTTGTATATCTTATAAATACCTTCAAGTTTTTTATGTGTTTAATGCATTTGGATTTTTGGCATACTTAAATTTTATTTAGATACCACTGACCTGAGAATTAAATTTCTAAATAAAAAATGTAAGCTTAGGAAAGAAATTTCACAAAAATACACAAAATAATAGTCCTATGTATTAAAACCTCCTAAAACATTTCAATAGCCCTTTAGCATAGATTTTTCTAGTAATGATTTTCTACTTTTTTATTATTTTATTTTTTATTGTTTATCCTATCACAGTTGTTGACATTTCTTTTCTTTTTCCTATTGCCCTGCTACACCCAGCCCACTCCTCACACCCACAGTCAATCCCCTCTCCATTGTCTGTGTCTATGCATCATTCATACATGGTCTTTGACTAGTCTCTTCCCGTTCCTTCCACCATTTTCCCACTCCCTCCTCAGCTCCTACAGTTATCAATCCGTTCCGTATTTCCATGTCTCTGCTTCTATTTTTCTCAGTTTATTTTGCTCATTAGATTTGTTATAAGTGAGGTCATATGACATTTGTCTTTCACCAACTGGCTTATTTTACTCAATAGTCTCCTGTTTCATCCATATTGTCGTGAAAGGTAGGACTTCCTTTTTCTTTCTGCTGAGTAGTATTCCATTGTGTAAATGTACCACAGTTTTTTGATCCACTCATTTATTGATGGACACTTGGGCTGCTTCCAACACTTAGCTATTGTAAATAGTGCCACTAGGAACATAGGGGTACATAGGTTCTTTTGAATTGGTGTTTCAGGATTCTCAACATATACTTCCAGCAACAGAATCACTGAGTCATAAGCCAGTTCCATTTCTAATTTTTTGAGGAAATTCCATACTGTTTTCCACAGTGGCTGCACCAGTCTGCATTCCCACCAACAGTACACTAGGGCTCCCTTTCCTCCACATCCTGGCCAGCATATGTTTGTTGATTATGATGGCCTTTCTGACAGGTGTGAAGTGGTATCTCATTGTGGTTTTAATTTGCATCTCTCTGATGGCTAGTGATGTTGAACATTTTCTCATATGCCTTGTGGGCCCTCTGTATATCCTCCTTGGCCAAGTGTCTATTCAGGACCTTTGCTCATTTTTAAATTGGGTCATTTGTCTTCCTGGTGTTGAAGCATATGAGTTCTTTATATATTTTGGAGATCAAACCCTTGTCCGTGGTATCATTGGCAAATATGTTGCCCCATATAGTTGGTTCTCTTTATTTTTTGTGATTATTTCTTTAGCCATGCAGAAACTTTTTAATTTGATGTAGTTCCATTTGCTTACTTTTTCCTTTGTTTCCCTTTCCCTAGGAGCTATATTGGCCAACATAATGCTATGTGAGATGTCTGAAATTTTACTGCCTATGTTTTCTGCTAGACTTTTATGGTATCATGACTTACATTTAAGTCCTTTATCCATTTTGAGTTTATTCTTGTGTATGGTGTGAGTTGGTGGTCTAGTTTCATTTTTTTTGCCTGCACCAGTCCAGTTCTCCCAACACCATTTATTAAAGAGAATGTTTTTACTCCATTGTATGCTCATGTCCCCCTGTATCAAATATTAATTGACCATAGAGACATGGGTTTATTTCTGGGTTCTGTGTTCTGTTCCATTGATCCATGTGTCTGTTCTCATGCCAGTACCAGACTCTCTTGATTACAGTGTCCTGATGTATAGTGTAGTATAGTTTGATATCAGGTACAGTGATTCCTCCTACTTTGTACTTCTTTCTTAGGATTTCTGAGGCTATTTGGGGTCTTGTTTGGTTCCATATAAATTTTTGGAATATTTGTTCTAGATCTGTGAAACATGCCATTGGTATTTTAGTAAGAATTGCATTGACTCTATAGATTGTTTTGGGTAGTTTTGGGACATTTTAGTGATGCTAATTCTTCAAATCAATGAACATGATATATCCTTCCATTTATTTGTATCTTCCACAATTTCTTTCTTCAGTGTTCTATAGTTTTCTGAGTACAGGTCTTTTACATCCTTGTTTAAATTTATTCCTAAGTACTTTATTTTTCTTGTTGCTATAGTAAGTGGGATTTTTTTCTTAGTTTTTCTTTCTGATGCTTCATTGTTGGTGTACAAGAATGTCATTGATGTCTGAATATTGACTTTGTATCCTGCTACTTTGCTGAATTCACTTATTAGTTCCAGTAGTTTTTTGGTGGAGACTATAGGGTTTTCTAGGTACACTATCATGGTGTCTGTGAATAATGACAGTTTTACTTACTCCTTTCCTATTTGGATGCCCTTTATTTGTTTTTCTGGTCCAACCTCTGGGGCTAGGACTTCCAGTTCTCTGTTGAATAAGAGTGGTGAAAGTGGGCACCCTTGTCTCTTCCTGATCTCAAGGGAAACACTATGAGTTTTTGCCAACTGAGTGTGATGTTGGCTGTAGGTTTCTCACATATGGCCTTTATTATGTTGAGGTATGCTCCCTCTATTCCCACTTTACTGAGGTTTTTTTTTTTATCATACATGGGTGTTGGATTTTGTCAAATGCTTTTTCAGGATCTCTTGATAAGATCATATGATTTTTGTCTTTCATTTTGTTTATGTGATGTATTACATTTATTTATTTGTGAATGATTTGTATTCTTGTGATAAATCCTACTTGATCATGATGTATGATATATTTAATGTATTGGTGGATCCAGGTGGCCAATACTTTGTTGAAGATTTTAGCATCTATGTTCATCAGAGACATTGACTTGTAGTTTTCTTTGTTTGTTGTGTCTTTTCTTTAATTTGGAATTGGGATAATACTGACCTCATAAAAAGAGTTTGAAAATCTTCCCTCTTCTTGAATTTTTTGGAATAGTTTAAGAAGGATAGGTGTTACTTTTCTACTTTTAAATAATAATTACATATTTAAGTCTATACTCTATGCCTCTATGCTAGGAGCTGTTAAGGGTACAATTATGAAGATATTAGCTTTACCCTCAATTATTTTACAGTTGAGGAGTCATTAATAAACAAGAAGCCAGAAGACTGGGTCAAATGAAAGCTCTGCTGTGGGAATGTAACTAATTTTAACTGGAAGGTCATTTAACAGGAAGGTTTCACGGAAGTGGGAAGCCTGGTACTGGCATATTTCACCCCTTTATAACACTTCTCTATCAGCATATTTTCAAGTAGAATTCCTTTGCAGTGAAAACCTCTGAGTGGTTTCCTTCTCAGAGGCCTTCTGGTTAAGCATTTGCTATTTCAGGAAACAAATTGGGAGTGAGTGCTGTGTGGTTTGTGTGTAAAACCCTGAGGGAAATAATCCCCCAAGGAAATCCTTGACCAGGACAGCACACCTCACAAAGGTGACAGCTGAAGTGTAGTTTTGCCTCCCGGGCAGCAGGAGTCCATGGGTGCTCAGATGTCCCTGATGCTGCTCCCACAGTCTCTGTGCAAATGCTCTGCTTTCTGCTTCTTCAGGCTTGCTGCGTCTCCGCTTTTTATGTTTTGTCTCCGTCTTTGCTTCAGTTCAATCAGTGTTTTTGTTTCCTCATATCCTAAGCTTGCTTTCACTTGTTCAGCTCCTGCTCTACTTTTATTCTCTCAATGCCTATTTACCCTCAGATGTTACTACAAAAAACTTTTAAAGCCACTATATTCTGGTTCTAATGTGGAAGATAATCTAATTGGATAGAATTGTCTTTTTCTTGCTGGCATTTAAGTTCGTTGGCCCATGAATGAATGCATTGCTTTAGGTCCAATCAGCTGTGGACAGAAACATGGTTGTCTGTGGCTACTATATCAGCACAGGCTTTGCGTGGGGTGGCTATTCTTAAAAGGCTAAGGCTAAGACAGGTGCTCAGACTGAGACCAGTAAAATAATATACTACCTTGAGAGGTGCTGACACTTTATGTTTCAGAATCACTTGGGAGAATATTCTCTACCATTGTTTTCACTACCTGAGAAGAAAGGGTTTGAGGAATCACTGTGGTGCATTGATGCTGATTTTTACCCCCATAGCTTGTAATTATAATTACAATGTGGCTTAGTCACTCAGTAGCAGTATCTTCAAAACTAATATCACTTGAAATGGAAATTGGAGAAATGTGATTCTTAGGAATTGATATTATTTCAAGTTACTGTCAACATGTTATTACACGACATATAACACAATATTGAATGTTTCTTGTCTCTTTGGAGTTAATATAAAGAATGCAGCTGACACTGAGACACTTTCATTGTTAGTAATAGATATGACAACAGAAAATATTTCAGCCAGCTTTTCACATCCCTTATCAAACTCTTCCCAAGAAGAAGAGCAAAACAAAAACCCTAAATTACATATCATTTTTCTTTGAGAACCGTTCACAAAGCAGAAAAGTATGGCATTATATTTTTAGTAGTACAATACCACAATCATCTTACTATTCTCCTTTTCAAAACTTAGGTGATGCTTTGTGAAAGGATTACCGGAAATGAAGGAAGGAAAAATGGGCCCTAGAGGGACAGACACATCAGTTACTGTGTCAACACCATTAATTTTTTTTATAATATTTTTAAAGATTTTATTTATTTACTTTTTTTTAGAGAGGGGGAAAGAGAGAGAGAGGGAAACATCAATGTGTGGTTGCTGGGGGTCATGGCCTGCAACCCAGGCATGTGCCCTGACTGGGAATCGAACCTGCGACACTTTGGTTCACAGCCCACGCTCAATCCACTGAGCTACACCAGCCAGGGCTCAACCCCATTAATTGAAAACCAGTCCTCTGGGCACTATGCTATGGTAATTACTAATGAGACAGGAAGGATTTAGACAAACCAAAAGATGTATTGAGCTAGTGTTCCCATTGCTGGTGATATGAAAAACTAAGGGTGGAGAATTTGCATTAAGACCTATATGATTTCCAAACAGTTAAAGACTTTTCTTACTTTGAAAATAAACACTGACCCATATGCCTATGAATGAAAAGGATTCAAGAAATGTGTGAGTCCTTAAAAATCGGATATTGAGTCCAGAAAAATGTCCTTTTTTTTGTGATGAAATTCCTACCTTCCCCAAATTAGTGAGAGAACTCTTAGAGAACTCAAAGTTAAGAGCAGTGTGGCTTTTAACTTTGGGGGGCAGGTAAAGACTACTTCAAAAATTTTATGAAAACCATGGATTTTCTCCCTAGAAAAATACAGATACTCAAAAATAACACTTTACAATAAATTTTCAGGGTCTGTAAAATTACAGAAGCCCATCCATGAAACTGAGATACAAAATTAGAAACATTGATTCCAGAGAACATGCTTTTAGTGGATGGGGGCGGGGGGCAAATGGTGAGGGTGAGGTGAGAGGTAAGGGGGTTGATTTATAGTGTCTGGGACTAAATAATGTTCTCTCAAACAAGAATAACCTAAAACTGACACTAGATTTCTCTCCTCAACTGCTTAAACCTTTCCTGATTTCTCTGCAAGTGGCATTAAAAAAATAGAAGTCTGTCTCTGCACTTACTTAGCTAAGTGACCTTGGACAATCAATTACTATTTCTTATGTCCCGATCTGTAAAATAGAGGTAGTACTTAATTCAAAAAGCACCATAAGAGTTAAGCGAGATAACATATGTAAGGTTCACAGGAATCCCTCAAATGATACATATTATTTTATTTACCAACATGTACCACAGTTGTGTATCTATTTCAGTTTTAACTTGTAGGCATACCATTACTTAGCTAGAAAACTCTTTAAAACAAAAATGTTGCCTAAAATGAAAAAAAAAATTTAAATTTCCCTAAATTACATGTGTTTTGGGATATTTATTGAAAATAAACTAAAAATAAATAAATAAAATCTTTAAAAAAAGAAAATAAACTGGTTGATAAATTTGAACTATAATAATAAAATTGAAAAAAGCTTTATTAGAAAATATTAACAGAAGATATGGAGATAAATGTTTAAAAATTAAACTAACTTGGTAAATTTTCACAATATTCATATTATTAGAACAAAATGATCTTTATTTTAGAGGTAAGTTGTATTTCAGTTTCATTATACATCATTGTAAATCCTGGTCTTCTTTAACATTTGTTAATAAAAGTAGCTAAAATTACATATAGTGCACAATTGTCTTAATATATGGAAATTAATATATGGAAATTAATATAATGTTATTGACATTTCAGAGTACAGATGATTCAGATATATCAATCATTGCCCAGAACAAGAAATGCTTTGACAATGATATTGTTTGTTCTAAAAGTGTTTTGGTTTCAGTTGGAGACACTGAAATTTACCTGAATGATTCTCCTTACAAAGAGGTTAGTGAAAAATTTCTTTTCAGATCATTTTAACTTGTCCTGAGAATACTGAAAATAAAATAGAAACAATTTGGTGTGCTTTTTTCTGTAACTGGTTACTAGATTTTTTTTCTTTGCTATTTTATGTGGTTTCAGTAAATCATACCTGACTTGTCTCTTTTGTTGACATGACAATTCTCCATATTCTAATTATTTCATCTTTTCTTTGTTCTTACAATTATCATTCTGGCTTTAGCAATAGTCACCTATTACCTAGAGTACTTCAGTGTCCCCCAAACCAGACTCCTGACTACCAGCCTTAGTCCATTTCCTCTAATCGAGCCCGGCACACCGTGGTCAGGGTGGTTTCATTTTCTAAAATGAAAACCTAATCCATCACTCTAGTGCTTTGAACTTTTCAAATGCTTTCCCAGTGCCCAGAAAGTCCTCATTAGTCTGACCACTACCACCTCTCCTGACTTACCTCTCATCACTTTCTGCTTCAAGCCCATGTTCCAGAAGTTGGAGCTTTTTATCCATTCTTCAAGGGCTCTGTGTTCTTTCCCTCACTTCTTTTTCTTCCTAAATGTCATTGCTTTTACCTGGATCAGCCTTTCCATTTAACTTATTCTTACACGATAGGTCGCACTTTACTTCTTTCAGGGATCTTCTCCTCATGCATTGCACTAGGGAAATTATGAGTATAGTTGTCTGTCTTCTTCATTTGTCTATGAGTTATGTGAGAATTGGAACCACTGTTACCCTGTTCATCCTTGCATTCTTGGAGCCTGCACAATTTGAAAGAATGAATCCACTCCATTCATTCGTTTGTTCACTTGTTCATACATTCATTCACTCATTCATTCATATTTCTACTGTATACCAAAATCTCTGTTAGTTATTGAGACTACAACAGTGAAAAGACACTGTGCTTGCCCTTAAAAGTGTTATCTCTGGTGGGGAATATATTCAAGTAAGTGAGGATGTACAGTGTGATGTGCTATATATGGTGAGAGTGTGTACACAAGGATAGTATGGGAACTCCTGGGAAGAAGACCTAAACCAACCTTGGATGTTTAGGGTAATTGTTAAGAGCATAACCCTGGAAGTCAGTCACTACTCAGTTTGTAACCCCTATTCTATCTCCTGCTAGCTGGGTCACTCTGAGCAACCTGCAGCTTTCTTATTAGTAAATTGGGATGATTCTACTTCTTAAATTTATATGAGGGTGAAATAAAATAATGGATTTCAAAAAAAAATGTTTCTTCTCCCCTCTTTTACCCTCTTGAATTTTGAAGCCTTAGAAAATGTGCTCTAGATGAAATGATTTGAACTAAGTCTTAAAGGATGGGTGATGGGTGGGTGAAGAGAGAGAATAGAAAGGCAATCAATACAGAGGGAAGGAACAGAGTTGAATGATAAATGGCATATTTGAAGAACCCCAACTGGTTTAGTTTAGTTGAAGTGCATGGATATATTGGAGGAGGATATGGCAAAGGAAGTCAGGGAGAAGTGTCCAGGTTGACTTTAATGCCCGAGACACAGGGGCAGGAACCATAGACAGGAGGCTGATTCTAGATCATGGAGGCTCTTGAATGGTGTAAATGACATGATTTGATACATGACTCTTAAATAATGCCCTCTGAGACTTCAGAACATTGTTTCTCAAAGTTTGGTCTGCAAAATTCTGCATTAACATCATCTGAAATATTTGTTATAAAAACTAGTTCCTGAGTTCCATCTTAGTAATTACAATGGTTGAGATGGAGAATGACAATCAGTGTTTTTAATGGTACCCCCAATTCTTTCACACACTAAAGTTTGAGAGCCAGTGCCCTAGGACATAGCTGACATCTCAGTCGGAAACACTGAGATTAGGCAGCAGTCCAGCTTTAGACAAGCAGATTTCCTCTGGTCTTGCTGACATCTTTTTTGAAGTAATTACTACAGTTTGGTATAACCTTCTTCAGTTGGATAGTCATTTATAGGTGAAAGTTCTCTCTAAGAACAAGAATGTGTTCAAAAACTGAAGAGAAAATAGTAAATGCTCTTATAAAGACAGTTTGACACAACATTGATGTGGTACTTACAGCTCTGTGTAGCTTTCAAATCCAGTTTTTACCTGTATGCAGGTGTTGGTGATTCTTCTTCACATAGGCTGATGAGGAAATGTCATAAAGGTAATTTGAGCATAACAAATCCCCCCTAATATTTATTCTTGAACATCAAAAGTGAAAATAAGTACCATTTATTTTATGGAAAATTGGTCATTCAGTACAAGAAGATGAATATCTTTTTTTTTCAATAAATGAACACTTTTAATTTTATTAAAAATGAAATATATAAACATTTTATGAATTTATTTAAGTTGTACTTTAAATGTTTTAGTTCCTCACATTTATAACATCGCTAGAGTTTTTGTAAAGTGCTATAATTCTCACCTAAAGTGGGGTTCTCTATTTTGGGCAGTTCATTGCACAACACTCTTCCTAACCTGAAATGAAAGGAATATGCATCTCCTTTTGATCAAAGAAGACTGTTTGTCTTGTAGTAAACTGTCCTGTCTAATAAAAACTGTCCTGCAGGCAAATAGAAAAGATGTGCAGAACCAAACTGAAGGAAGTCTGATAATAAGCTGCCTTATCCAAAAATTCATCTTATGTTCTAATGATATGTCAGTCAGTCTGAGGGAACTTTAATAGGAAAACACACGAGTACTTCATGATTGAAATGGAACACTATAAGCCACACTCCATGCTTTAATTGTTGCTGATAAGGCTGAAAGGTGAGACCCATGAACAGGCCAGTGCAGGAACATATTCAAAATTTATGAGTCAGGGCTTGATATAGAAGCTGAGGATACTGTCATGAACTTGACAAAGTACGCCTTTCAAGGAGCTAAAATTCAAGTGGGTGGAAGGCAGATAATAATGCCAAAGACAAAGTGGGATAATAGAAAGGCACTGAAAAGTGTAATCAAAACAACAGAAATAGGTTTATGGCAGAGAGTGACTTGGGGGCAGGGCAGGCTCTGTTTCATGGGTCTAGCGAAAAATGAAAATGTGGGACCCCACTCAACAGGAAAATATTTTCCTTCCTTTTGCAGTGTCTCTTCTCCTGTTGTGGTATTTTCCTTTATTATTTAAGGCCTTGCTCACTTGGGCACAAGGGTACTTCCAGGTTGAGTGCAGACCCTCACAGGTATCCAGGGCCTTGCCCCTAACTCCTTCTAGTCACTTGGGGGTAGAAGGAAATGAAGTTAGATAGAGTCCATTAACAATGTATAGGTTACACAATAGGTGCTGTTTTATTCAAGACACTGAGCAGTTAGAAGTATGACCTTGGTCTAAGAGACTGAAAACTTCTTATGGCTATGACTAAATTTATTTAATTTCTCCTATGGGATATTTATGTGTCTACTACAGTATAGTATTTCTAAAGTATGCTTTTGTTATTACTTGGGGGAAAGAACAATAACCAAATGACTTCATATCTCCTTTATAATTTTTATTTTGCTTCTGGAAATATTAGTTTTATTTAATTTGGTTTAACCATGTAATTTTGAAGTTATTATATGAGTTAATTTCAATGTTAAATTCAATGTAATCTTTTATAGTGAATAGAGCCTGCTCATAAAGATCACTGCATATTCTTACTTCAGGCTAAAGGCACTAAATTTTCCCAATGGGTTCCATCCCTAGTTTCTTCTTACTGTTATCCTTTCAAGCATATAAATTATCTTCTTTTGATATATAAATATGGCCTGTCAGATTCCTATTCAAAAGCCTTCATTCAGTACACTCTGCCCATGGAATCACAGCTCTTGTGTTTATGGGTGACGTGGTTAAAAAGGGTCTGAGGTTACTGTAGTCATGAAATCCATGCTCTACCAGGAGTGTCCCACCTGTAGCCCAGGAGGGCTGTGAATGTGACCCAACAAAAAATCATACATTTACTTAAAACAGCATGATGTTTTTGTGTGTGATTACGTGTTGCAGTGTATTTAATGTGTGGCCCAAGACAACTCTTTTTCCAGTGTGGCACAGAGATGCCAAAAGGTTGGACACCTCTGTGTCCTTTGGTGCTCTCCTTAGACCTGACCAAATCTTGGATTTTCCTGCCTCTAAGCCTCTATTCAGGTGATCCCTTTCACTTAGAATGATTTCTTCTCCATTCTCATATCCAGTCCTCTATATCTTCCTGTGTATGGCCTCTTACAGATCAGTTCATCCCCAACCCCTTGCAAGAAGCCTTCTTTACCCCCTTTGATGGAAATTCATTGCCCCCCCTCACTCTCATATGTATGGATAATACATATGCATGTATGTGTGTATGTATTACATACATACGCACAGTTTGTGATTTTATCTTCCTATTATGTAGGTTTGTAGATAAAGTCATACATTTTTTGCACAGTCATATTTATTCATTATCAATATGGAATTTCTGAGCCAACAGGTATATCCCCTTAATTTATTCTCCATCCATGCTCTTGTTCATGCCTTTCTCTATAACTGAAATACTGTTTCCCCTATGCTCACCTGTTCATGTTGAGCCCATCAGGCAGTTTGTGTCTCATAACCAATTGTATCTGTTTCCTACTTTATGCATTTGCTTTGTCTTTTATTATACAATTCAGAAAAAATGGTTCTAAGCAAAAATACTAGTACATAGATATTTATTTGTGGATAGTAACTTTTAATATTTACATTTTGGTTAGAGAACAAGGAATTCACTGTTTTCTTTGTAATAATAATTGTTATTTTTAAAGGAACAAACAGGTTTTTTTCTGGAAAATGAACCTACATACCAACTTTGGAAGGCAGGGTACTACATGGTAGTATACCTTCCAGAGAAAGACATCACTATTCTTTGGGATAAAAAGACAACCATTCATATCAAAGTTGGACCACAGTGGCAGGTAGGTCAATCCAAATGAGATGCAAGTTACAAAATTATATTTATCTTGCAATGTTTTGTGGAATTGAAAAGATTGATGTTTTTCTTCAAGAAATTGGTTATATATTCAGAATTACTAACTTATACCCCAGTGAAGAACTACTTTATCAACTGAAGTACAGTTTTGTATACAGTTCTTTTTGCCATTAACCTTACAGTATCCAATTTTCCAAAGTTACTAAGGTCAGCTTCTTTCTTCCCATCCCCTTCAGGATGGTTATGTGATATGTTTATAATACAGTTTGATTTATTTATTACAAGATGCATTCCATCTTTCCCTCCATATTCTGGATATATTGTTGAATTTATATATAGTGAAATTATTTTTAAATGTAAAAAATTTACATTTTTTTACAGTTTACAGTCTACAGATTTTAACAAATGCATAGGGTTATACATCTACCACCACAGACTTATGCCTCAGGATGGCATGATGTATGAATGTTAAAGTTAATTTTTTCTTTAAAATTATATTTTAAAATGAATATCAGTAAGAAAGATATGGGGCTATTTGAAGAGATGTGATGTCACAGAGTCAAGAAACAACCTTTAGTTATCTATCATGAATACAAACAACCTTTAGTTATTACTACAGCAGTAAACTTGGGCTAACTGAATAACCAATGTTCCATGGTTTGGAGTTGGTGAAAATATGTACAGAATGTTTTGTTGGCAATTGTGTATGTGTGATACATATTAAATTATCTCAGAACATAAATACAAAGTCAAAAAATTAAATTGACCAAGAATGTTTAATAAAAATCTATTGAAATCTCAAAAATTATTTTAAATATTTTGGGTTTTCCATCTGACCTGGGGAAAAATAAATTATTTTACTGTCTCAACATTCCTAGTGTTACAACATGTTAAACATAACAGGAGGTGGGGATTTACAATAAAAAAATATGTATACACACAGGTATACTGTAATGTTTGTATTATACTTTGCCAAACTAAAACACTGGCAAGTGTGGAAAAATAAAATTTGGAGGATGATAAAACATTTTTGAGAATTTAAGATAATTGTTACATTTAATTAAATAGTTAGGAAACTCAGCCTTTTTGAAACATTTTGAATGGTTGTAGAAATTCTTCAAATGTCTATTTTAAATATTTAAAATATTTTAATGACTATGAGTTCTTAAATGTTGAACTGAATACAGACTATTTCATGGTAATTTTCTTTTACTTTAGAACAAACTATCAGGATTATGTGGAAACTTTGACAAATGTACTTCAAATGATATGACCACATCTAATAACATAGAAGTGAGAAATGCCCAGGTGTTTGGAGATAGCTGGGCATTAGGACAGGTAAGTTACATATATATATTTTAGAACTAAACAATTTTTTGGTATATTTCTTCATTGGAATATTTTATTCTTATCGCAAAATGTATTTAGGTAATAGTATTTTATGTAATATTTCTATAGTAATTCACCTTTGACAAACTACTTTAGCATTTATCTTATCATATAATTCTTGTGACAACCCTATAATACAAAGGGTGTTGTTTTCATGTATGATGCTCAAGAAGGTTAAATGATTTGTCTAATATTAGACTAATATTATGAAACATCGTCTTAGGAAAGCTGCATCTGGAGCATTCAAAAAAGCCTTGTATCTTCCTGGCTTACTGGGAAGATGCTGGTGCTCTTCCCTGAGGCAGGGCCAAGAGGAGAGAGGCTGGTAGGTGACGGTGAGAGCAGGCAATGCTGTAGAGATAAAGTCAGGTTAGGATATGCTGAAAGAGAAGTAACAGAGATATTTATGTGGAAGCGTCCAGTTTTTAGATTCAGGGAAGAAATCCAGGCTAGAAGTACAGATTTGGCGGTTATTAGTATATTCAGGTTGTTGAAGCCATGAGAAGTGCATAGAATGTGAAAATGAGAGGTTTGAAGATCAAGGTTTTCAAAGAAGAAAGGGGGAAGGTAAAGGGCTAGTGGAAGCAGCCAATAAGGAACCCACCCAGAAAATGGTGCTGTCAAAAGCAAATGAGAAGAGACATTTAAAAAGGGCAAAGAAATAAAAAGAATCAAAGGTAGCAAAAGGTCAAGTGAGATGAAGACTGAAAAACTTACTTTATATTAAGTAAAGAAAAGACCACTGAAGACTTTTCCCAGGGTGGTTTCAGGGAGGTGGATTCAAAGAGGTGGAGACCAAATTGCTGAGTATATGGGAGGTGAGCATGAACATACTTGAGTATATACAATCCTCAGGGGCTGGCATGTGACAGAAATGAAAGAGGTGAAAATTAAAGGAAAGAATCTCATTTGCTCATGTAATTATTTTAATCGTTTAAATGCCACATTTAAGAAAATGGGAAAATTATTTACCTCTACTTTCTCTCTAATATCACTATGATTTTTCAATAATATATACTATCACAGTGATTTGGCTCAGCGAAGGTGCTTAAAGTAAAGCCCACCTGAAAGAATGAGAATGTCTTAATTAGATGTGATTGTAATGGATGGAGTCAGGATTGGTTACTCTGGTTTCTGCTTCACAGACGCCCTCTTTAAATCTATCTTTCTTTTCTCTCTTAACAATCTCCACAGTGTGAAAATGCACATGAATTATTTAAACCCTGTGAGGCACAGCAAAACAAATTTCCTTATGCCAAGAAAGAATGCTCCATTTTGTACAGCGATGTTTTTGCTGCTTGTCGCAATGTGGTAAATGAATACTTTACTAAACTTTCAAATCTAAATGGGGACTGCTGTATTTACAATATTAAGATGAACAAGACAAATAATTTAGCTACTCATTGTTAGGAAGACAAACTTGTAGTTTGTTTTTCTGTAGAAGTGATGCATTTAGTTGACTTACTCTCTCACTCACGCCATCTTATTTAACAGCATACATTTGTACATAATATTTGAACTAATATCTTCTAGTTTATGCAGCACTTTTTGCATACATCATCAAAGCCATAAAGGGTTGATCAAAGCTGTATTTTTTTTTCTTCAGAGAATATTGCCAAATGGGCATTCTTTTCTTCAAACCAAAGCATAATTTAAAAGTATTTTTAGTGGCACATTTAAAATGGTTTTATAATCACATCACAAGATGTGATGTAACATATTTAGAAATTTAATTGTTTAAAATATTCATAAAAATCAAATAAAAGCAAAATTGGTAACAGAGCATTCTTTTAATGCCTTGTGAATATTCCAAAGATGAAACAATGAACTCCTGTAAAATATAAATCTGTAATATTGCAAATGTTGACATTACATTTGTATGTTAATCCCATTATCTTTTTTGCTAGTTCTTTGATCTTATGTTTGCATAATGAATTTCTTTATCCTTTAAGCCATATAGAGATTTAAGATACTGAGAAGTCTCTAGATGTCAGTGTTAATTGATGATATCAAATTTTGAAAATCTACCAGTTTTTCCTTAAAATGTTGAATTTCCATCAATAATAGTTAGTAGTTACTGAAGTTAATTAATCTTTTCCCTCATTTTCAGATTGATGTTACTTCTTTTGCCAAAAATTGCCATGAAGACACATGTAACTGTAACCTTGGTGGGGACTGTGAGTGCTTATGCACGAATGTGGCAGCATATGCATATAAGTGTTGTCAGGAAGGGGTCCCGGTGCACTGGAGGTCATCTACGGTTTGCTGTGAGTACCCCACTGAGAACATCGCTGTTAGGTGGGAACCATGTAAGGATATCAGGCTAATTTGTCTTGTCCTAGAACTAGTACCATGGAACTCATGGAAATAGAATTTCTTTAAGATGACTAAATTTTAATTCCTTTGACAACTCAGGTACATTTTAGTATATCTAAAGGATTTATAAAAAATCTTGAGAGAACTTTGTCTGTTCTGTTTGACTGTTGTCATTGTAACATTTGGACTATAATTTATTTATACACCATCCTTGTTTACAACTCTATTCCTCTTATGGCTATGAAGTTTCTGTGTTTTTAATATAAGAAACAGTTTTAAAAACATCATTTTAAATTTGCTTTCAGATTTGACTCTAAACTTATATGCTTATGTAGATGGTCATCTGAAGACTTTATAATGTTCTCATTTCTGTGTTCTTTTGCTTTGTTATTGGTAAACCCATGGCGATATCTTGCACACATTTAGATAAGTGGGCAGATTCTTATATGGTTTAACGTTTCTTCTTGTTTTTCTTTTAGCACTTGATTGTGAATATTACAATGAAGGTATGTGACATTGCAAGAATATCACTATAATATTCTATTAAATTCACATTCAGATTTTTAAACAACTTTGCTAGAAACAAAGTATGAATAGCTTGTAATTTGGTTGATGACCAAATAAAACCTTTGCCTTCTAAAATGTATCTAAATTTCTAAGTGTTTGTATTAAAATTTATTGTCTGGAAAATAAAAAGAGGGTATAACCATGTTCTCACCACCTAGGAGGCCCTTAATAGTTTTTGAATGACATGAATAAATGAATGAGTAAAATTAGCTAATTTTTCAGGTAAAAAGGAAGAAAAATGTATATCCAATGCATACCTTTTACCATTATATATAAAAATGGATGTTATTCAAACTTCTATTATGTTAGAGAAAAAAACAAACTATAAATACAATTATAATAATAAAAGGAATAAAATAATGATTTAAACATTATAAGAATGAGCCCTGGCTGGTGTAGCTCAGTGGATTGAGCTCAGGCTGCGAACCAAAGTGTCGCAGGTTCAATTCCCAGTCAGGGTACATACCTGGGTTGCAGGCCATGACCTGCAGCAACCGCACATTGATGTTTCTCTCTCTTTCTCTATCTCTCTCCCTTCCCTCTCTAAAACTAAATAAGTAAAATAAAAAAAATTATAAGAATAAGAATGTATTAATTTAATAGCAATAATGAAAATCTCCAAGCTCTGACAAGCATCCAGATTTGCAATGAGAAATCTGTCAGGTGGTGCTGATTAAAACTAAGTTACAGTGGATGTGGGATAGAACTATATTCTCAGTGAAAATGCCAAAAGTTGGCAGAATTGGTGCCTGCTTTTTGTCACACCTGTTTAATGATGAAGGCATAGCCACACTGTAATGATTTCAGATAAGTGACTGGAAAAATTAAAGTAATAGTTATAGAAAATCTAAGCCATTGAACAAACAAACAAACAACTACATCCATGGGCACGTGGAACAGAATGACAGCTGTCAGAAGGGAGGGGAGAGGAGATACTGGATGAAAGAAAGTGAAGGGATTAGACAGAGAACATATATGCATAACTCATAACTACAACAGCAGTGTGGTGAAGGCCAGAGGGAAAGGGGGTATGGGATCAGTGAAGGCAGGCAAAGAAGAAGGGAATGGGGGACATCTGTAATAGTGTCAACAACAAAAATTTAAAAAATCACAGCTAAGCAACTTATTGAAGGCATTTTTGGTGCTTTATGGAGCTAGGGAGAAATCTGTCAGCTATAATCCAAAGGAGGCCAGAAAATTTTAGAGAAAGAGAAATGATGAATTAAAAAGAAAATAAATATTTTAGTTTTTGGTAGTTTTCTTACAGCTATGGAAGTCTGATGGAGGAAAAAATCCCCCATTAAAAGTATTTGGTGGTAGTTAAAGAAAAATCTAAACCCCAAATATTTCCTGTGCAGGATTTAAAACACATCCATACCCACACATACTCCACATCGGTCCTTTGGATCCTATGATTGCCTAATATTTATAACAATAATAGCAACAACAGGTTTTATTGTATTAACTACTTTACCTATATTATATAATTTAAGCTTCAAAATATGCTTGTAAGACATATATTATTATTAACACTGTATAGAGGAGGAAATTATAGCACAGAGGGGTTAAATCACTTGGCCAAAGTCACTTAGCCAAAATATGGTAGACTGGGATTTGTAAACCTACGTAATCTTATTAATAATATCACCCCAATAAATTTAATAGAAAAGAAAAAAGACAAAAGAAAATGCTTTAATAATTTCCTCACTTATGAATTCCCACCTCACACAGTTCTGCTGTGGAAGTCCCCACCGATTCCTATGTGCTTTCTGCTATTCCCTCCGCAGGCCCTTGGATCCTGAGGCAGAATTTTCTGAGTGTTGACTCTCTAACATTTTCCTTTCTGTCAATGTCTGCAGAACTTCTACTGATGGTTCTTTTCTCTAGTGTGTTGTAGGGTTCTTCAAACCAGTTCTTCTAGTTTCATTTTTAATACTAGATTGGTCGTATTCAGAGAGTGAACATGAGCCATGTGGCCTTCAGGAGTCACTGTGGACTCAATGAAGTGAAGGGGAATCTATTTCCTGTGGTCAAATTAACAGGGAAAAGAATCAATCTGCATAAGAGAGTAAGAGTTTGTGAAAATAATGCAGTAAAAATAGGTGACTGAGGGGAATACAGAACTGTAGAAATTGCTAATAGCAGTAAAAAAAGGAAATAATTTGAAATGATTATTTTTGTTTCATCCAAAATAATTTCAGAGCTATTGTTAATTTACCATGTCTTCCGTGGAAATTCATAGCTGACATTCTTCTCTCTTTACTTATCACATAATGAACACTATGTTATTAAGATATTTATCATTAAAGCTAATCAAGGAATAAATAATTGTGATTATGTAAGAGGACAATTTTTTTTAAAAGGCAGGAGAATTCAGAGGTCACAGCTGAGATTAACTCAATGATCCTTAACACAAAGACTGTATGTACTATCTTCATGTTCACTTTATGGCATAACTAAAAAATGAAGGGTTTATTGTTATTGCTGTAGGGGAACAAGGGCTTCACTCTCCCAGTAAAATTGTTGTGCAAGTTTTATGTTCACTGTTTTTTTTTTAGATAAGATATCCTCAATAGTGTGTTTGAATAATCACTGCAGGAAATGATGACTTTGGCAGGTGGTAAAATCATTCTTTTCCCTGCAGAAAGTAATGATAAAGTATATGACTTTTGTCTCTCAATTGTTGGTAAAAAATGTGTGCAAACAATCAAGACACAAGATATCAATCAACTGGGAGTGAATTTAGAAGCTTTTGATTTTTATACAAATGAATTTCTCAAATGGCAATTGTGTCTTCAGGTTACTGTAGTTAGGGACTTGTGCAGTAAGGTAGAGATTTTGTTTAGTCGTCTATTTCCTTTCCCTATTATTTTGAATATCTGTGAGGGTCCTCCAACCCTTAAGTTGTAGTTGTATATGACTTTCTTATTTTGAATTGCATCTCACTGAATATACATATCAATCTACTCATAAGTACATTATTTATATATAAGGGTGGGCAAAAATAGGTGTATAGTTGTGAGTACTTGAAACATGGTTTATTCTTGTATTATTATTTATTTACTTATCCTCACCTGAGGACATGCTTATATATTTTAGAGACAGGGGAACGGAGGGAGAAAAAGAGTGGGGGAAACATTGATGTGAGAAACATTAGTTGGTTGCCTTTCATATGCACCCCAGCTGGAGACGAAACCGGCAACATAGGCATGTGGTCTAATCATGAATTGAACCCTTGACCTTCCGGTTTGTGGGATGGTGCTCAACCAACTGAGCCACACCAACCAGTGCTTGCATTATTATTTATTTTTAATTATTGTATTTATTATTATAATTATTAACCTCCTTTTGCTGCTTCTGTATTTATACTACTTGACATATTTATAAATTGAATGATATTGTACATTGGAAGTTAATGTTGCTCTCATCTGTCCTAGAAAACAAGACAGTAGGTGAGGTGGTGTAGACTAATGATACAGTTTTCTTTGATTGTTGTAGATTTGACCTCATAGGGAAACACAGTACATTTTAACAGCAGTGGGGTGTATATGACTCTCTCCACTGCAGCAAGGCTCATAGAGAAATTCTCCACTGCTCAGTTTCATTTTGGCGTGGGGGTAGAGTTCTTTCAAGTCTCCATCTCTACTCAGGTGTTCAAATCCCTAAGAAAGCTCTTTTCTTTATAAGCATCCTCAGCTGTTCAGAGGTAAGACACTCCAGCTGATGATTCAGCAGAGGAGACAACACTTGAAGATAACTTACTCTATGAATCCCTACCTCTCTCCTTCTGGTTTTAATGATTAAAATTTTGGTTCTTGTTCTCTTTTCTACTTGAAAAATGTTGGACCTTGAATGAGCTAATCCAATGATCTTCTTTCCTTCTCTCAGGCCTGATTATTGTTCTGAGAGGCATAAAACCTAGTTCTTGGATTTCTTTGAATCTTTCTTTTCTCCATCTTTTTTTTTCAAATTATAAGAGAAAGTTTATTTAGAAAGTTATAAAGGTAGAACAGGTGAGTCAGCTGGGCTGTGTGGGCTCAGGAGATAAGTCACAGAAGCAAAAGAAGAGCCCTTGGAACTTAGAAAAGCAGAGAAAACGTGCTTGGGGAAGTAGATGGTGAAAGGGGAGGGAGAGAGGGAGACATAGAGAGAGAGGGAGAGAGAGGGAGACGGCACCTCTTCCCTCCATCTTAAGAGTGGGCTGGGAAAGGAAAATTGTCCTTGAGATAAAAATTAGAGAAAAGAAGGAAAGTGAAACTCACTGAGATTAACCAGATTAATCTTTTTTGATACCATCTACTACATATATATTCACATTTTATGTAACAACATAAAACAGACATATCTGTAAAAAGTATACTGCTGATAATATTTAACTTAATTGGATGATTTAGAATAGATGAGTATTATGGTACCTCAGTTATATTAAGAGCACTAGATGACACAGAGATTGGATTGAAGGTAAATTGATCTTACTATCATAAGACCTAACATATATTTTTAAAGTCTTAGTGAATTTATTTAAATAGATATACCTCTGTTTGTAAGATTAAGTATGTGGAAAAATTATTCTGATTGATTTTTGGGTTTGGTTTTATACTAACGATAGTAAATATTTTCTATTTTATATGGAGCCATTTAAGTGTATAGAAAATGATAGTATTAAATGAAAAGTTATTTAATTTCTCTGCTGAGCTTCATCTTATTTTCCTTTTTTATAGACATGCCTCACTGGTGAAATTCAGTAATCCCCTGAACAGTAAATTATTGAATATCATGTCTGTGAATTCTGTTTTCATGCTATGTAACTTCCTGGGGAGAGACTATTTTTAGAAGACTATCAGAATACCTGGTCATTGATAGATAACTAAACTTATGTTTCCTAAGAGTAGATTAGACTCTTGGAATATTAGAGTGGAAGGTTAACTAGAAAAACTTCTTTATGTACGTGGGGAAATTTGAGATCCAGAAAGCCTAAGCCGACCTTGTATTCAGAATTGCTGTACATACACGTATACATATACACATTCGTGTGCATGTATACTCTAAATTACATAACTTAAATATGTATGTATATATTCCAAATAATTATATGTTTTGAAAAAGAGTTCAGTAATTTTATTAGTGACAAATCTTTAAATGCTCAGTAATTTTTGGAGTATCTTTTGTTATTAAAATTATCCCATTGAGATGACAATTTGAGATGCAAAAATTCTACACCAATTTATAATTCTCTTATTTGTATTTAAATAGGGCTTGGAGAAGGTCCATATATGCTGGCAAGTTATGGGCAGAGTGGCCTTGTTCTGGGGGCCAATATAACCAGTAGAAACATTTTCTCTTTGCCAAGAAGTGGTACTTATGGTGATTTATTGTTTAGTTTTATGATCACTCCAGGCCTTGTCAAAGAGAAGGCATCGTGTAAGTACAATTTCCAACTGAAAATAAGATTTTAGTTTTCTATTTACATTTTTAAAATTTATTCATTCACTAAATATTAATTTGGGATTTATTATGTTTATGGCATTTTTCTAGGTGCCCCAGAGGATTTAAGATGCTGGTACATGAACCATCTATCTCTTTTATATATATAATCATTTAAAAAATTTATTGGCATATATGTGTTAGAATCACAATTGTTTGATTAAGTTTTTGGTCCTAAGTAAAGCACAGCTTAAATTTTTTGTAGTATTCACCATAGAACTTAATTTGAACTTTTCAAAAACCAGTCCACTAATAACCCAAATTTGAAGGATTTTAATGCTAAAGTAAAAGAAAAAATTCTGATTTGATATCAAAGTTGTTAACTATTCAGAGCATAAATCAGGGGCCAGAGGGTCATTGAACCAACTTGTCATCCTCACACGGCCCTGTGTGACTCAGCGGCCAGCCCCGCAGTTACTGATCTTCACCGACCGTATCCACTTGGCACCTGTCCTGTCTGGTGATTTCTATCCTCTCCTGATCTGTGAGGCTCAAGCCACATTGTTACTGTACTAGCCCTGCTTAGAACCATGCATGGCATGTTGTATAAGCTCAAGAAATATTTACTGAAGGAATACATTCAACTTAAATTTCACGTATTCTGAGAAATCTCCCGATTCTCCAGTTAGAATAAATTGCTGTGTTTGGTAAAAAGAGCTTCTTAGTCTTTTCAATCTATGAAAGCACTACCACATTTTGAAGTTCTAATTCATATGTTAGCTATATATTTTTCTCTTATACAGATTTCTTTTATTCTTATTTGTATCTTCCAGTGCTCAAAAATGGGACTTACAAATTTTAGGACACAACAAATGCCTTTGTAAAAAATATATTGGCTAAGAGAAGCTTTTCATTGTGTGAGTTGTAAGAACTGATGTTCTTAATAGAAAATTCCTAGTAGATTTAAATTAAGATCTCTTACCAAAAATATAATTTGAAAACATCTTCTCCCATTCAGTAAATTACTAAGGAAATTGTCTAAGAAATTAAGCCTAAAATCTTAATTAAAAAAAAAAACATTTATAGCATGAGTTTTGCAACTATAAGGAAAACTTTTAAAGTATTTAATGAAAAAGGATGATATTTCAAGAACATTTGCTTATAAAGAACTCAGTGAAACTGAAATGCAATGGCATGCTTAAATCTATTTGCTTCTTTATTATCTTATTCTTTTCTAGCATTCAATTTAAACATTTATAGATATAATGCATTCAATAATGTTAAAGCTTAGCAGTACTAGTAGGTGTCCGATCAATCATTCAACTATTTGAATGATTATGTACAATCCGGGCTCCAAGTTGATATATGCCCCCCAAAACATGATAAATTATTTAAAAATAAAACTCATCAAAGACTGATTAAAGTAGCCGCTGTTATTCAATGCATTAAAATACTCCTTCTTAACAGAAATCTTACAAATCATTTCTGAAATATTTTAGATCAGCATTAATTATGTATGGCAATTTTGCAGTTTTATTTTTGTCAGCTTTATAAATACATTTCATAATGCCGTTGTCAATTGCCTGCTTTCTCCAGAGAACCCAGGCAGCTGACCACTCACTGCTCTGTGTTTTACAGCACTGGCGCTTGTTTCCTTGGAATCTGCCGAAAGGCCAAACTACTTTCTTTATGTCCATAATGATGACACTCTTAGTCTGAAACTGTGGCAGGGGAATTCTTTCTTTCATCGGAGAGCCACATTTTTCCACCATCCGGGCCTCTGGATTCCTGGTTATAGTGCATTTGAGTTATACAGCAAGAAAGGCTTTTTCATCACACTCTCAGACTTTAGTGTCAAAGCTTCAAAATATGATGATTCTGAAGATTTTAAGCATTCAAGTAGCTTCAGCATAGAAGGTAAGTTTCCTGAGATCTTAAAAAAAATAAACAAATAATTTACATAGCTGCAGAATATTTATCAGGTTTTAATTTTTAAATTTTAATGGAGTATAAATAGAAATAATAATACCTACATTACAGGGTTATTGTATAGTATAAGTTAATTGCTTATACTATAAATTGCTTAGAATAGCCTCGAATAATGTTATTTTCAATTATTGACCCAATTATTACTTTCAGTACTTTCTGGGCTTTGGAAATAGAGCTCACCCATGTCTCATGGGTATCTGGTGTTTGTATCTACTTTTTGTTTCCTAGAAGACAGCTTCTCAATAACCTGAATCTTGATGATAAAGACAACGTGTTTATCTCTGTCCTCTGAATACGAGGATGTCTGGTTCCACTGACCTCTGGAAGTTTCCCTGGTTCAACAGGAACCTGATCTTATTTCTAAAGAGCCTTCTAGTCCTCTAGCTATTGAATCTTCTGGGTTTCAGAGAGAAAAACCTCATTGCCTCATCCAATGTTTAAAACTCATGCTTTATTTTCAAGGCCAAGGAACTTGATATCTGCCTTGGATCTCATATGAATTGTTTAAGTCTAACCTACTCTTCTCAATCAGACTAAGAAAGCTAATCATTTGCTTTTTCTGTTGTGGATAAATTTCTGTAAGCTTGATTGTCTTGGATTTTAGATCATTCAAATTGAGGTTTAATTTTGAAAAGGTTTCTGTGCTCATGAGGAAGAGAGCCGCTGACATGCCTATACAACATTCAGTAGAGTGGATGTGATATTTTTACTTGAATTTACTTAATAGGTGAACTTTACAAACCTATATTTCCCCTCCATTCTAGAAATCTGCTCCACTGGAACTAGACCCAGCTCCTCCTGAGCTGTGTGGACAACTATAGCCAATAGTATCATCAAACTCTCAGAAACTGATCTTTGTGGGCTTTTTGCACCTAAGAAACTCTAGAGGTCCACCATAATATTAGTACCAATCCTCTCTTAGAACCTACGATCCCAGTAACCCAGGTCTAATGGTCACTCTATTTTTTATGTACATAGGCATCTTCCAAAAAGTATTATTTTCTTTCCTATACCTTGGAATTGAATTCTGTATCCAGAGTTCAAGAAGCGTAGTCTGTTTCCTGAAATTTTTCTCTTATGGAGCTTTCCAGAGATAATTTTAGACTGCTGCAGAGGATTGGTCTATGATGTGGGAAAGGGAGAATATTAGCAGAATATACAGGAGAAAAATCTTCAGTCAAGGGAGGTTTTATAACTGTAAGCATGTATTATTAAATACCCATTTATTTTGTGGTCAGATAATACTTAGTATGTTCAAGGAAGTGTGGTAAGTCCTGTGAGAAAAACAAACATGAACATTCTCTGTAGGTCTGATGTCAGGCAACATGTCTTTGAACTTGCCATTTTTCAAATTGTTTGAACTTGGCAAGTCACTTGGCTCCTCTGCACCTCAACTTCTTCATTTATAAAATGGAAATAATACCCACTCAACAGGGCTGTTATAAGGATTAAAATATGATCATAGAAAATTTCCTTTGCAAAAAATAAAATCCCAAACAAGTATTTAGTATTATTATAATATGTAGATCAATGAGAACCCACTACATATAAAGAAAGGAAGAATACTAAAAATTTCCTTGGCCTCTTCCAACCTTGCTTTTTAAAATATTTGGAAGACATACCAAAATTTAGATATTCAATCTGAGCATATGAAATGCATTAATCACCAAGCAATTACTATGATAAATCATTATTTTTCAAGCTGTATGTAAAAAAATACACACAATCTAAACTTTACTTTTTCCCACTAGAAATCCAGGCAGCTGTGCCGTACAGGAGGATGTGTGAGTGGAAGTATGAGCCCTGTGCCACACCATGTTTCAGAACGTGTAGCGACCCTGAAGCACTCACATGCAAATTCCTTCCACCGTAAGTCACGGAGAACCATTAAATGAGCAAATTCTAGCATTAGCAAATTCTTCTGTCAATGAAATTTTTTAGATTTGGAAAAAATGCATTCTCAAGAATAATTTGTGCATACTATATACTCATTCACAAATTTGTTTTGTTTTATTCAGTCAATAGTTATTAATGGTTACTTATGTGCCAGGAGTTCTTCTACCTGCTGTGGTTACATTAGTGAACAAAATAGATGAAGTTCTGCTCTGATGCAGTTTAAACTTTGTCAGGGCAAGACAGAGAATAAACAAATGAAAATGTAAATGTACAGTGCAATATATTGTCAGATGGCAACATGTGTTAAGAAAAAAAATAAAGGGAGGTAAGGGAGAAAGGGAGCATGAGGCATGCGTGTGTGTCTGCCACACGTGGTCAGGGAAGAACCTGCTCACAGGGTGGTATCTTCTCAGAGATCTGAGGGAAGTCAAGGTACTGGCCCCGTGCTTATCTGGGGAAAGAGCCTTTCAACTGAGAACAGTACAAAGGTCCTGCGGTAGGAAGGTGTTTGAAAATTAATACAGGAGCCCAGCTTTTTGGAGCAAAGTGAATAAAAGTGAGAAAGATGGGAAATGAGATGAGAGAAGCATAGTGGTGAACAAATAATGTAGGGCCTTAGAGCCTGATCGTGAGGCCTTTGTCTTTGTTTTCTGAGTAACACCCTGGTGTATTTTGGGCACAGAAGTGACTGGATCTGATTTGTTTTTAGAAAGTTCACTTTGGTTGTTGTAGTGAGGATGACCTATTGGGGGATGGGAAAGATAAGAGCAGAAGTGGTCAGTAATACAAACCAGACATAAAGGGGAGGTGATTAGGTTGGTAGTCCTCGAGGTTATGAGAAATGAACAGATTCTGGGTATATTTTGAATTTAAAGTCATAGAGTATGCTCATGGATTTAATATCAATTATGAAAGAAAGAGGAATTAAGGACTCAGGTTTTGGTCTCAGCAATATTTTGGAAGAACAATATGAAATTGCCATTTTTGTAATCAAAACCGGTCACGTACCAGCAAATTCAAATGATTCAGTTTAATGTAAGGGTTGAATTACCATTTACAGAGGTAAGGCAATGTGAGGAAGAACAGCTTGGAGGAAAAGTCAGGAATTTGGTTTGAGGATTTTAAACCTGAGACTGAATATTGTTCATTGGATTTGGCAATCTGGAGAACAGGAAGAAGCAAAATGGAGACAAAGTGCAAAAGGTCATTTTTGGTTTGTTAGTTTCTAAGGAGTTTCTCTGTAAAGGAGAACAGAGAAATGGAACAACAATAGGAGGCAGTATTTTAAAACAATCATTTTACATTAGGCATTACTGAGCTTCTTTTATTGACAAACATGGGTACTAGAAAACTTCCTGGGCATATCAGTGAATGAGACATAACCCCTCTTTCAAGGAGGTCAGAGTCCTTTGGAAGGAGGCAGAAACAACAACAAATCATGAAAGAAGGCTAGAGAGTAACAACAACTAGCACATTTAAATACTGACAGCATGGCAGGCACTGTGCTGAATGCTGCAAATAGGTAATCTCATTATTCCCATCTTCAGAAGAGAAAGTCAACTGAGACACAAAGAAGTTAAACCATTTGTCTTAGGCCACACAGTTTATAGGCCCTGGAGCCAGGATTTACACCACTACAACCTGTTGGGCTTCAAGTGTTATGGGAGCCCCCTTCCTCATGCCAAGGAAATAATATGTTTTGCTTATTTTCTTAAAAAACAACCAAGTTTATCTGAAAAGGAGATGAATTCATTCACTGGGACCCCTCCTATTCACAAACCTATTTCCTTGCGGCCATTAGGACTTTGAGAACAACAGGGGCTGCATAGTGAGGAGTGCACTAGAGGAAGGGAAGAGGGGAGGGAGGGAGGAAACAGGACAGGGCCAGCCTGGCACTGGGGAGGAAATGGAACAAGTGGCATTTGCCTATGTTGTTACTCTCATGCCATGTAACTAGTCTCTGAAGTGTTTGAACCTGACTCTCAATGCTTATTCAATTGTCTGGTCTGTTGCTATCCCAGTTTCTCTTTTGGTGTGGTTGGGATGCAGAGCAGAGGCTCAGAAGGAACCCGCATTTCTGCTGAGTTGCTCAACTCTGCCTTCTTCTCTGTCTCTGCTTCTCTCCCTTCCCTAGGCCGAGGAGCTAAGTTATTGCTCCTCCCTGTAACTTTCCACCCTGAGGGGAGGCACAAGTATTGAGCTGGGGCTTCACCAGGACCCTGCATCCTCCTCCAAGTCACCAACAGGATCACCACCCTTGTTTCTGATGATTACAGTTTCTGGCTCATATCTTGTGTTAAAAATACAAATATTTAGGGGAAATAATTTTTATGAGAAAAGATGCCAACTAGCATACCATTGAGCCCATATGTAAACACAGATATTCCTGTTATATAATGTAACCATTAAAAGAACCATTCTGCATCTGAGATAGTCTTTCAGTGAGGAGTTGAGTAGATTGCCAGTTGTATGACAAAATAATCAGGAAATTGCTATGAGGACATTTTAAAAGAACAAGTTACTGGTTTTGGGAAAAATATTTTAAGAAGATAGCTGTGGTTTTAACTTTCATAAAACAATTGCAGAATAATTGAGTTGCATAAAAATGATGTTTATTTAATTTAATGAGAACCAATTGGCCCTAGTCTTTTTAGCATTCCAGTAACTTTATTTTTTCTTTTTTGCTTGACAGAGTTAGAGTGGAGTGGAAAAATCATTGACTAAAATTGTATTATTCAAGTACATTTTATGAAGTAAACAATTGGTCATATAAGTTAAACTATTTACATTTTAAGAAGTCATTTGCAAAAGAAGTATCTGAGAGATGGCTAGATGTATCTCATGTTAAAGAGGAATGAGCAGTTCTCGGTTTTGAGTGTTGTCTGGATCTCCACCCATGAACTAGCGCCCTCTGGGGGCAGCACTCACCCTAAGTCTCAAGCTAGTTTGTTTCCATGCTGAATTGGAAAGAGGCCTTGACTATTTTTGGTTTGCTTTACAGATGAGACAAGTGGAAATTCTCCGCTCTACAGATGACACAACTGGAAACACTTTTAAATATTAAAAATGTTATTAAAATCTGCCAATGTATTTGAGAGGCAGATAAGCAAGATTTTTTAATAACAACATTTGCATTAGTTCTCTCTAGTATGGATGAATCTAATAATTGGTTGTATACAAAGGATTATATTTATTTCACTTGATTTCAAATGAATTGGATTCTGAGCACCAAAAGGATAAGAAAAAATATGTAATCTCACTCACTGGCTTCATTTCCTTAGAAAAAAGCGTTCCGGATGGCCCCTACTGTTTCTGGCCCAAACCCATGACTTCTTGAAGTTTGGGACATTTACTTTGCTTCTATGCCATGCACAAACCAGGGAGACTTAGAAAGACCAGTCAACCTAGAGCTTGAAATCTGTCTCCTTAGGCTCATTTGCAACCATCTCCTCCCAGGCCACCCAGCTGCAAATTTGGGCACATGCCCTGACGCTCTTGAGAACTATAGCCTCTGCCCCACCCACCCCCCATCTTTCATTTTCAAAGAAGTACAACCATGTCCCTTCTACCACTATCCCTTCTACCCAGAGATTAATATCTTTTCAATCAGTTTAGAGCTTAATAATAGGTGAGTCAATCCAATGAGATGAGGTTTTTGTTCAGCACATCCTTAAGGCAGGGATATGCAAAGAGTGCAGTTATCTACTTGGATGAAAGGGCAGTACAGGAATGGAAAGTACAGTGCGTGTAAAGTCACAATAAATGATTCTTCTGTGTTTCTACTGACTCATAGCACATGGCCTTAATGTGTTCCAAACATAAGTGTATGTTTTGACTGTTCTATGTTCAAATTCTGCTTTAATCATGAAAGATACTGGTTTATGATCTATAACTTGTGGTTTTATAACATGAGGTATGATGGGGTGGTAGCAAATAGAGCATTCCTTAGTGCTTGACAAAGAGAATGGAAGAATTTTAGGGAAAAGGTATCTTGACTGTATATATTAAATACTTATTATATTTTAAACTTTTTCATTTTGATTTTTTTTCATGTAAAGGGTTGAAGGATGCTTGCCCTACTGCCCCAAAACTATGATCCTTGATGAGGTCACCCTCAAATGTGTTTATCCAGGAGACTGTAAGTGTGAACCTTACTTAATTCATTCTGGAAAAATATATAAAACACTGGAATGTTGTTTTTCTGTATGATGGCAAGTGGTGGCGAACAGAAGTTTTAGAGGGACAATACACTGTCATAAGTTTCTTCTTCAATAGCCCTTCCATTGTCTTTTGTTTCTAGTGATTTCCAAGCATGTAGATCTTCCCTCTAACATTCTTCTGTGTTCTCTCTCCCCCAACATTTTCCTTGAAGCTAAAGATCCCTATATGTACTATGTGGGCATTGCTTTAAACAAAATCGATTAAGATAGAGTGTCTTTGTTTTCTTTGTAGGTGCTCCTCTGATTTCCACAGAACCTGCGTTTGTGACCCCAGGTAAGCCGTCTCAACCCACATATACAGGTATTGTTACAATTTTAGACACTAAAATTGAAGTCTTGGCACACTTATATTGTGCCAGCTGCTGGTATCAGTACTGCCCCATTGACTGGACAACCTAGCTGTCACATTTGTTCAGTAGTTGTTCACTGGGTCAGGATGCCACAATTTCTACATAGCTTCTGCATTTGGTCCACTTCCTCTGCCCTTCAGTGAGTTTAGATAACAAAGAATTTCCTCACTTTTTAACTTAGGTTTTACTAAATCTTGCTTAAATTTTCACAGTGATTAAGTTGATTCTAAAGAGGTATCAATGCAAACGATGTCATCCTTTAACGGTTTCCACTCCTGTGCCTGTGCTCTGTCCCAGTCCCTGCGGCAGGCCTCCTGGGCTCACACCCTGGCTTCCCTCCCTCACTGTGCAACTTGCCTCAGAAAAGCATTGAATAAATCCACTCACAGTGAGGCTTGACACACTCAATGTATAATTTCACCTGGGATTATAATTTAGGAAAGCTCAGGTATCTATAATTCATTTGGCTAGCTTTAACTGAGCATCAACTCTGCCAGACAGTATCCTGGCATGGCAGGAGGAAAGGAGAAAGGTAATAGAGGCACAGCTTCCACCCTAACACAGCTGTTAGTCCATAGGCTATCGTGACATTGTAATAGGGGTAAGCAGCAGTAGGCAGGAGGGGTCTTGCACTTATTTTGGACTAATGTTCTCAGAAGGGTAACAGAAAGTAGGAGTTGGACAGACTAGTACAAGGAGGAAGTGTGTTCCAGCTAGAAGTGGAAGCATGTGCAAAAACTTGGAACAGAGAGAAATCATGTCACACAGAGGGACTTGCTAACCCAGCAATAGGCCTTTCAAAGTGAGAGGGAACAAGCATTTATTGAAATCAATAAGAATAGCTATTCCAGACACATTGATTCAGACAGAGGCCTAGCTAGTGTTCCGATTAGGAGGCAAAGGCAGGAGGTATTTATGAGAAAGGGAAGGGGAACAATCACATCAATAGAAGGAAGGCATTTCTATTGGTGTAGGTAAATAACATAGTGATATCAATTCCAAACTATGTTTTTAATTTTCAGTCCAGGAGTTATCAACCCAGTAGTCATAACTGCTTTCTTGTTATCTTTGCAAAGAGTTTTTGGGTACACAGTGTTGTCCTAGGGTCAGCCCAGGGTTATTTTGCCCAGTTGTTACAATCCAAAAATTTGAGATGTCAGACATGCCAGGCAGTTCCTCTGGCATGGTAGCTCCAGCCCCACTTTAAAGAAGCTCTGTTTAGAGACATGAAATTAAGAACAATCTGACAGTCCTCTGGAAGGAACAATTTTCCCCTTCTGGAGGTGGGAGGGGATAATGGGGGAAAGGGTTTTCAGGAACAACTATAAAGGACACATGGACAAAACCATGGCGGGTGGAATCAGGGGAGGGAGGTTGGGATGGCTGTGGTAGGGAGAAAATGCAGACAGCTCTGCTTGAACAATAGTAAAATAATTTTTTAAAAAGAAGCTCTGTTTAGCCCTGCCCAGGTGGCTGAGTTTGTTGAGAGTGCCATCCTGTACACCAAAGGTTACAGGTTAGATTCCCAGTCAGGGCACATACCTAGGTTGAGGGTTTGATCCCTGGTCAGGGGCATATGGAAGGCAACTGATCAATTTCTCTCTCTCTCTCTCCCCCGCTCTCTCTACCTTTCCTCTCTCTCTAAAATCAATAAAAAATATTCTCAAGTAGGGATTTTTAAAAAGTGGTTCAGTTTATATTATTGTTTACAGACTTCAAGCAGGTCAGTGTATCTTGAGCATATAGTGTGAGGGAAATTATGCCAAGAGATGGGATGGAAGAGATTATGGGTCAGGTCATAAAGGATCCATGGTAAGACACTTACATATTTTTTTTCTGAAGACAATGGCAAATCATTGAAGAATTTTGATGAGTCCTGTGACATCTTCAAAATAATAGTCTCACTACTACCATCACTACTATTCTAATTAGCTACCATTTATTGAGTATTTATTATGTGCCAGGCATTGGACTAAGTGATTTGCATACATTTAATCCTTATCAGAACTCTGTGAGAGAGGTGGTATTTTATATATATGGTGGTTAAAAGCCATGGGTCTGGAATCAAAATTTCTGAGTTCGCATTCTGTCTCAAGCACTTACCACACTATCTCTCTGCACCTTAGTTTCCCTCTCTGTAATATGACAAGAGTATTGCTATCAACTTCATAGGTTTCTTGTGAGAAACAAGTGAAATAATCTTTATAAAAATATCTTAGCACAGTTTCTCTCACATCTGAATCCCATACATAATGGACACTGTTCCCCTAATGGAGAGGCCGTCTTCATTTCCAACAGGTCCAGAAATAACAACCCCATCAGAAACGCCCACGCCGGGTTTGGAATGTGAGGTATGACGGGGTAATCTTTTCTGCTGTTGCATCCTTTCCCCATAGCATCTGTTCAAGTGTCTGCATCACTTTCTAAACGCTATTAAACTTTTCAGTGTGATCACTAGTCTTTCTTTGCTAAAACATAATAAGAAATGTGAATTACACTTCAGCAATTGTATTTTTAAACTGATTCATATTTTTCATATTAATTAGGTTCTGGTCACAATATAGAAAATTAAATTCAAATGGGGCCTTAAGTGTGATTCTTTATTAAAGAGTCATCTAGTTTGGGCTTCTCTGTAAATCAGGCATTCAAAAATATTTATTACATAGCTACTATGTGCCAGGCACTGTGCAAGATGAAAAAGATCCAATGGTAAGCAAAGAAAGGAAGGTCATTGGACCCCAGAGTGTGCAACTGCCTGGACTGAGACTTGAGCACTTGCATCCTTACTTCAAGTATGCCACTTGTTCTGGTAAACTAAGTATTTATTCAACCAATTTTTATTAGCATTATTTCTGGCCAGGCACTATTAAGGTGCCATGAATAAAACAATATAAAAGCAGGCAAAAATTCCTATGTTTATGGAGTTCATATCCTGTTGGAGGTTCTGAGACAACCAATAAGAAAAATAAGTTACTGATCATATAAAAGGAAAATAAAACTATTTTTGGTGAGATGGTAAAAAGTCCTCACTGATAAGGTGAGTTTGGAATAAAAGATGTGAAGAAGTTGGTAGAGTGAGCCATACCACCTGAACTACAGTGTTCCAGGGAGAGGGACCAGCAAGTGCAAAGGCCCTGAGGTGAGAATGTACCTGAACTATTACAAGAATTACAAGAAGGCCATTAAGAAAGGAAGGTATAAAATAGTAGCAAGTAAATTAGACTATGTGAGGTCTCATAGATGATTGTAAAGATCGTGGCTCTTTTTCCTAAATGACGGGATATGGCATGGGATATTTTTGAGCAGAGGAATTACATGAGATAACTTGTTTCAGGATTATTTTAGCTGCTGTGTTGAGAGCAGGAGGCAAGGAGAAAATAGAACAAGTTAGAAGGCTATTGTAGGAATTTAGGCAAAAGATCATGGTGGCCTGGGCCAGGTGATAGCAGTGGAGAGGGTGAGAAATGCCTGGATCCTGGGTATATTTTTTTAAAAAAGGCCACAGAATTTGCTGAAGGATTAGATGTAAGGTGTGAGTGGAAGAGAGGCATCAAGGATTCTAAGATTTTTTCCCTTTAGTACCTGAAGGATAAAGTTGACACTAATAATGATGGCACAATGGTGGGGAATTAAGGGCTGGGTGTGTATAACCAAGAGTTCAGCTTTGCCACGGAGAGACGGAAATTCCTTCTAGGTATCAAAGATCTGTGGATATATGGACCAGTAAACAGAGTCTACTTCAGAGGGTTGTTGGGCGAATGAAATGGGTTAATTTGAACAATGGGGAACATAATAAGTAGTACAAATTGTTATCATTACTATAATTATTACCATAATTTAAATAGAATGTAATTTATGAACTTTAAAAAACTACCACTTATTTAATTCTTATTTGTCTATCAAGAAGTCTATGATCTATGAATAAAAATTAATTTATAATAATTCTATCTAAGAGCTAAACTGATCTCACCCATGAATTTTTAATGAAATATTGGGATAATATTGTTATTATTGTTTTACATTGACATTAACAGAAATTATAAGCCATTCTAGCTTTACACAATATAGTATAACAGGTTGACTGCCTCTGTAGAAGTCTGCTTGTAAAACACTAATTTAGACAAATTAGGACCAGGCTTCAGTTTACTCAGACGTGTGAGTACATGGGCCATTCTGATATCTAATCAATATTGAGATAAATCTGCAATAACTACATACTGAGTAGTTTAGAAAGTTTATATCAACAAAAAGTTGTAAAATTTTAATTGTTTATCTTTCAATGGCTATTATATTTAGAAAATATACACTTTATAGAGTGTGAATGGCAAATTTAAAAGTATATATACACAATGGAATACCACTCGGCAATAAAAAAGAATTTAATCTTGCCATGTGTGACAACATGGATGAACCTGGAGGGTATTATGCTCGGTGACATAAGTCAGAAAAAGACAAATATCATATGACTTTACTTATATGTAGAATCTAAAAAATGTAAGTGTATAAATGAAACAAAGCAAAACAGGAGCAGACCCACAGATATGGAAAGTAAGCTGAGGGTTGTCTAAGGGAGATGAATAAAACATTTTTTAAATTTATTGAAAACATAAGTTGAAAATGGGGAAAGCTCACCAATTTTCTTCTTCTTCTTCTTTCTTTATTGCCAGCCTCAACAATTTGATCCTGTTTATAATTGTAGCCAATATATATGCATCAATATGGAATGGACGTTGTATAACTGGTCTCTTAGTTGCCCGAAGGACTTGGAAATGCCTGACTGTGGCTTCCGGGGAAGGCCTGTCCAAGTGAACACGGATATCTGCTGTCCTGAGTGGGAATGTCCTTGTAGGTTTGCATTTCTGAAACACAGTCAGTTTTTAGTCAGGGGCAGATTGTTAGTGTTTTAACCGATCACCTCATCCAGCTGAAGTTATTGTTGAGCATTCTTCATTTGATTTATGATCTTGGTTCCCAGTATGTAACTTTCAGATTTGCTTTAGTCAGACATAATTAGACTAATTTAAAAGATTTTCTAAAGGAGTAATTATCACTACAAATACACATAATTATTTAAGAAACTCAATCCACTCTCCAACACTTTTTTTAGGTCGGTGTTCCATGTTGTCAGAACTGAGCATTATCACATTTGATGGAAACAATGCCGCATTGTATAGTATGGCTTCTTATATCTTAGTAAGAATTCCTGAGGAAATTATAGTTGCTCATATTGAAAAATGTTCCATGAATCAGGTAAGTCATAGTCCATTCTTTTGTCCTTTCTTACTAAATCTATAGCTGCAGAACACTGCTATATTAGGTATTCTCAGAGTAAGAAGGTGCTCAAGAACTCACTGAGATTTATCTTCTGGTACTTAAAACAAAAAATGTTTCATGTGAATATATTTAGAGGCATATGATAGTAATCCAAATAATGTTTTTAAAAGTCAACTGGTACTTTTATTTCAAAAGTGTTTTTTCTCTGTTTTTTTTTCAGAACGAAAACTCATTAAAAAGATTAGTGAGTATTTGCAAAATGTTTACTACACTCCTTCTATTTATTGCTAAAATTATCTTTAACTCTACAAAGTTTTATTTTTTTTTCAAATAAAGGCTTCCTCTGAAAGAATCTCTGGACTTTGTTTTAACAAGTTAAATTTGACAACATCTATACATAAGATAATTGTCCATCGGGCAGTAAGAAAGGTAAGAATACAAAGATTAAAAATAACATTTTGTTAGATGAAATTAAGAAAAAAGAGAAAATTAATTATATCAGTGAAGTTTTATTGCTATTATGTCTAATCATTCTTTTCATGGGCAGTCCAAAGTGTTTCTTAATATTGTATTTCTTCTTCCATAATGTGCCAACTCTTGCACATATTTCTCCCCTGGTGACGTTAACCATCACAACCACATTAAATATGCCAAAGGCTTCTTGGGTAAGGTGAGCGGCCAATCTTCTCAGTGTCAGAGTTAATGTTAGCATTTCAAATTAAACACAATGGCAATGATGTGAAGAAAAGGGACCATATGGTTGGAGAGAGGAATAGTCACGAATACCAGAGTGAAGACCACCAAGAGAATAGATGGAAGTAGTTTTGAAATGTTGATGTCATTTATTTTTTGGCAAAAAAGTGATAGCTAAAATAAGAAAGAAAAAAGGAATAGTTAACTTTATTGATGTGTACTAAAGAAGAGCAAGGAATCACATATATTTACCAGATAGGAATCAATTATAAGCTGGAAGTCTCACTCAGATCTAAAAGTTTCTCTCCAAAATATAAGAAAATAATGTGTAGAGATTTTGTTCAAAATAGCTGGGATGTTATAGGCTTTCTGGAAATAATTCTGTTAGCACAAGATCATAGATTCTAGATAGAAACAATATTAAAATAATCCTAAAATATGGTAAATGTTAGAAAGTTTAATTTTAAACTTAGAAATATGAAAGAGGTACTTTTTGAATGATAGCATTTGACTATAACTTTGATTTTAATGAGGCTGATATATTAACAGGAAGTGGGTGGGAAGTAAACTCAAACTGGGTCAGTGCTGCTACTGTAAGCATTCGGACAGATGGGTGTGTTTTTGGCCTCAGCTGAACTCATCACTGATTATGTATTCAGTTAAAATTAATTAATTTAAAATATCATTTAGTGAGAGTTTTCATGATAAAAACAACACAGGTCCTGATCTGAAGTTACTTGTAGTTGTGTGTGGGAAGCATGAATGTAATTATCTGCCAATTAGAAAGCAGTAGGAGATATAGTGACAGAATTATGACCAAGACATGGAAACCAAAAGAAAGATAATTTAATGCAGTTTATGGGAGGGTCAAATAAGTATTTTTGGAAAACGTGACATCTCAAATAAGTGTTAAAGAATGAGTAGATATTAACAGGCAAGTGGAGAGATGTTTTAGATCAAGAGTGGCATATGAAAAGGATACGAAGATGAGAAATTGAATGTTTGGTCAGGTATAACTTCTATAAATTTACTGCTGGTTACAGCTCATAGTTCCATGTTATTGCCATTATTTAAAGTGCTATTTTTCAGGCCCTGGCTGGTGTGGCTCAGTGGATTGAGTGTCAGCCTATGAACCCAGGGGTCACTGGTTTGATTCCCAGTCATGACACATGCCCAGGTTGCAGGACCGTTTCCTAGTAGAGGGTGCATGAGAGGCAACCACACATTGATTATTCTCTCCCTCTTTCTCCCTCCCTTCCCCTTTTTAAAAATAAATAAATGAAATTATTTTTTAAAGCACTGTTTTTCAAAGTGTATTCCTTGGACTGCTTACATGTGTATTACCAAGAGTACGTGCTAAAAATACAGAGTCTGCAATCCTATTCAAACCTAGGAAGTAAAATCGGTGGGAATTCTAATCTTTACTAACCCTGACAGATGATTGTTATAAATATTATAGTTAAATACTAAGTTAGAAGGCCAAAGAAAGAACCAGATTAAAGAAAACATCCTGAAACTAAGTTATTATGTACCTTAAATTCATGTTAGTACATAGTGGTATAATCAGCATATCTTAAGGGAAACAGACAGAAAAGCTTACATAACAGAAGAACAGTTAAGTTTTGAAGAAAATAAAGGGCAATAGGGTTTAAAAAATACTGACTATATAGCAAGACACAACAAAAGCACAATAAAAGACCTTAGAAGTTATGAGAAGTTGTGGCAGCACCAGAGAAATACATTTTTAAAAACATAAAATATAGTTTATGTTAAATTGGAAGAAATGAGATAATCTGAATTCTCCTAGTTTTAAAAAGTGTACATATAACACATTTTTCTAGCAGATGTAAATGTATTATGTAATTTCAGATAGAAGTGGATTCTATTGTTGTGCCTTTGCCCTTTTCAAATCAAGAACTGCTGATAGAGGACTCTGGTACTATGTATGTGATCACTACCCCATCTGGACTAATCATAAAGTGGGCTCATCTTACAGGAATCTTAGACATTCATTTCGGCTCTCAGTTTAACCTGTCGTCTTACACAGAAGGACTTTGTGGTGAGCATTGCTCTTCAAATCTCAAATTCTAGCTTTATTTTCCTGTTCCCATTACGGTTGTGACTCCTATTGCCATACTTTTTTGATTTGAGATGTGATATTAACTTTCAGAGCCTCATGTGAGTATTGAGGGAAGTAATGATTTTCAAGAATGGGCTAAGAAGCAAGAAATAACTGTTCAATGTGGGTATTTTATGGAGCTATATGCTTAGCACTATTATTACTGCAATACTGTTTATATTCCTACTACCTTGCCTTTATTAAAAAATAATGAAGTGTTAGGCATTATTTTACATACTTTAACTCATTTAATTATAACTATAGCCCTATGAATAGACACTAGATTAATTTGTAAGTGATGAAAATGAGGCATAGAAAATGAGGTTAAAGGCTTAAATAACTTTGTTTCTTATTTTATTTTTTAGTTTGAAATCAAGGAAAACAGTTTTTAAAACCATCTTGAAAGTTATATATACAGGGAATACAATTTTCTGACAAGTTATTCAAGTTTTATTTTAAAGTGTAAAGTCTAGATGCACTTTTACACCTAAATTTACTGTCACAAGGCAGGGTGGGGGAAAGTAGGTTCACAGATGTTCATATGGAAAATAATATAAAAATTAGAGAATAAATTGTTTTGTGTACTCACAATTATAAACCTAATTTTGTTTCATTGTATATGTTACATAAATACAAAGAATTTCAAGCCAAAGAAAACAAATTAGAAATATATTTTGCACATAACAAAATAAAAAGAATAATATTGGCTGTGGTGTCTCCTAGAAAGTTAAGAAGTGGTATCCATTTCCAGCTCTGTGCTCAGCATCAGCTTCCTCATCTTTAAAATGGGAATAGTGCCTTGGCCTGTGTGGCTCAGCTGGTTGGAGCATTGTCCTATAACTGAAAGGTTGCAGGTTTGATTCCTGGTCAGGACACATGTCTAGGTTGCAGGTTCTATCCCACAACCATATGAGTTGGCGCACATGTGGAAGGCAACCAATTGACGTTTCTCTCGCACATCAATATTTCTCTCTCTCCCTTCTCCTCTCCCTATCTTTCTCTCTAAAAGCAATGAAAAAATGTCCTAGGGAGAGGATAAAAATAAAATAAAATGAAAATAGTAATATATATCTTTGAGATTGTTTATAGAATTGTATGTGAAAGGGATTGTAAAAGCACTTAACACATTGCTCAATGCACACAGTGAAAAAATGTTAGTACAAATACATCTATTTTAATATCACTAAATAGTAATTGAAAAGTTTATGGATTAAATAGTAATTGAATAAAAGTTTATGGATTGCCTTCTGAGTGTCTGGCACTATTCTTGCTTGGTGTTGACAACTTGAAATAAATAAGTCCTTGCCCTCACAAATCACACCAAACTCACATATTTCTAAAAATGTAAAGCATTTAGTGGGAAAATTAGCCAAAATGGTTTACATCTTTCGTTGTCCAATTAGAGTATGTTACATGTAGCACAAACTTTTATGATGATTAAAAGAGTTTATTGTAGAAATATATTAGTTATTATTGAGTATATAGTATTGATTATAAACAAGTCAGTAATAACTCAGAGGCTTTGAAAATTATAAAAATAGTAGCTGCTTTAGAGTATAGTTCACTTGAGTTTTGTCTTGGTGGATGTGTTTGCTTTTGCGCTATACTCAGTCCTCTGTATATTCACAAGCTCTGGGGCAGCTGAGGCAGCAGCAGCCTTTATTGATAATGACATAAGAATTGATTTTGAAAAAAATGTTTAACTCATTTCTTTTATAGCTAGGAGCCTTGGGAATTGAGAAACATTATGTCTTAAGGTAGGATGAGATTCATGTAAGTTATGATCAAGGTTCCAGATCCGTTTCTCTGTACTGCCTTCGGCTTTGCACTCCACTGGGTGAACAGGAAGCTCTCTCCTCAGTCTGTCCATCCTCAAGGCAGATAGGTCGAGGCAGGTCACAGCACAATGGCCATCAACAGTCCCTGTCATCCCCAGGAAGGGAGATTGTCTGTGTCCTAGATTCCTAGGTCAATTTCTGAGCTTGGCAATGAATGTTGAACAAATCTATGTGTCTGGTGACTGCCACAGGCTGACTGGTTTATGCCTGGAATACTTGTAACAGTTTTTAATAAAAGGTGTGAGGATTACCTTTATGCCTATCAGGCCCCTCCCCTGAAGTGTTGTCATGTACTAGGTGATGGGGCAGGGGCGATTTCTGAAAGAAATAATTTAATGTTTTCAGGCAGGGTTTCCTTGGGGGAGTAGATGGCTAGGGTGCGATCACCAAATGCCCACTATTATGGGGAATATTTGGCAGATTTAAAGAACTTGTTCATAAATTAGGACATAGGACTAGTGGAAAGTATAAGGATAAAATCAACTTCCTCTTTCTTTACTTCCTATGGTTCTTTCATATATCTTGACTCCTAGGATCATTAACCTTAATCAATTATTATTTAAATGATTTAATTCTGCTGCCTACATTTTAAGTAAAAAAAAAATCCTTCTAAATGTCAAATATTTTTCTAGGAATTTGCAATGACGATCCAGATGATGATCTAAAGATGCAAAATGGCACAATTATTACAAATATGGAAGACATAGAATTATTTATTGAGAGCTGGGAAATTGAGAAATTATTTAAAGTAACAACGAGAAGACCTGTTAGAAATTGTACTGAGTATGACTGCAGTCACTGCATTGAGTTATTAAACAGAAAAGCTTTCACTCCATGCCATAATAAAGTAAGTTGAAAGTGATCATATTTAAGAACTGTTATGTTAGACATTTTGAGAGTAAAGCTGATGAATTCCTGTTCTCGCCATGATGTTTTTCTACCAGACTAGTTTATCTCCGAGCCTTCTGTCAGTATGCTTTGGAATTTAGAATCATTTGCTGTTTACAGATTTATATAAAGAGGAAGTGTTATTATCTTTTTTCTCCCTATGTTTTTTCAGAACTATATCTACAGCTTTCCAGAAAAATGAAAGTCCATCCTATGAAATAAATGCCTCTAGAGAAAAGAGATCAGTGTCATTTCTTAACCCAGTGTAGAAACCAAGATAATGACAGTTTAATCTATTCCCTATGATCGTGGCCTCTTAGGTGTATACTTATAATAGAACCTGTCACACATTCAATTTAATTGTTTTTTATTAGTCTCTAACTTTCTGACTTTAGGTGACTTGTAAATATTTTAAATAATCTGCATATTAAAAAACCCATTATTAGAAACAAAGGACAGACAAATACAGCATTTCATGAATCATTTGAGGAAAAGTTAGTGAGTATCTAAGCACCTATTAGGTGTTGTGTTAAACTGTGATCCAAAGATGAATAAAACCTTCCACTTACCTGCAAAGAGTCTATTGGGAAGGAAAGCCTGGGAGTAGATACATTGAGAGATACACATAGAAGCTCAGGTTTGAAGAAAACTTCCCAGAGTTTAAAGACATTTGAATTTTTTAGAAGAATGCATTTTCCAGGAGAGAGAAGAGAGGAAGGGAGACCTAAGCAGGAAAAAATAATATATGGAAGGGTAAGCTTGGTGTAAAAGCTCAGGTTAGGAAACATTGGAAGTTTAGTGCAAGGCATGTGGGTGGGAAGTTCCTGGAAAGAAGAGTGAGGGAATTGTGAAAGCAGAAAGGTGCCCACTGTGGAGCCCCTGCCCTGCTAAGACAGGGGAAGTACAGACGTCACAGTTCTCAGCCTGCCCTCTACTGGTCCCTGAAGACAAAGGCAAAGGGACAAAAATGGGACATAATTCTGGAGGTTCAGCTTTACTCAGAGATTTGGTTGCAAACAAGTTTTAAATCTTTACATTTATCAATATATGCACTAAAAATAACAAATACTTTAAAACTCATCTCAGTGTCATTGTAATGTCTTTAAAAGCAGAACAATTTGTGAGAATTGCATTTTTAACTGGGAATGTGGAAGGTTGGTTAAATCCAGCAACTTCTTCTTACAATTCAGACCATAGTGAGGCAACACAAATACCATTTAGTGTGTGATAGCCTCAACTTTTCCCTTAGGGTCATCCCAGGGAATTTGATGGCAAAAGAAAGGATGCTCATAATTTGATTTCCCTGCCTCTAATCATCCTTTTTTACAAATCACCACATAGCAGGCAGATGATCTTTGAAAACTGAAAGCAGGATTGTATCATTTCTCTACCTAAATCCCATCAATGTACACTTAGAGTACATCTCAAACATTTATTAATACTTACCAGATCCTCTATGCCCTGGCCTGTCCTCTTCCAGCTTCTTCACTGCTACACTGTTCTTGCCTATTAAACATCAGGCTTTCTCCTTTCAACTCTTGGAATATCCCAAGGTTTTTTCCTGTCAATAGGCTTTTATGCTTACTGTGCCCCCAGCTGGAATACTTCCCTCCTTCCGTTTATTTTAGCATTGTGACTCCTCTTGACTCCTAAAAGACTTTTTTAAATTGAGATCCACAAGGCAGAGAAGAGATCTGATTTATTCACCTTTGTATTCCTCGTGCATAGCATAGAGCCTGATATGTAGTTAGGTGCTCAATAAATTATGGAAATATGCATAAATGAATGGAGGGAAGGAGGGTACAGGAGAACTCCTCCTGTAGCATTTGAACTGTTAAGTGGTGAAAGGATATACATTTTTATTTTGAGTAAGTTAAGTCCCAAAAAAATCTAGAAACATAATTCTAGAACTCAGAGGAGGTAAGTTGAGGCCAGAGATCAGGTTTGGAGGAGTTATCAGTACATATGATTTTTAAAATATTAATTAATGTAGGATGTGCCAGAGTTTGTTCTATGCACTTTCCACATATTAACTCACAGCAATCTCAAGCAGTAGTAGGCTTATTAGTAACTCGATTTAACATATGAAGAAACCAACACAAAGATTTAAATGCCCAAGATGGTGTTAGAAACTGAAAATGGGTGAGACCAGGAAGGGCATTTGTAGTGAAGACGGGGTCTAGAGAAACACTCAGAATGGGAGGCAGAAGAGAAAACTGACCAGATGCACAGGCAATAGAGTACCATGCCTTCAAAGGTGAAACAGAGGGTCTAAGGAGCAGGAAGTGTTCATTGTTTCATGAGCCTCTGAGAGCTTGGGAAAGGTTTAAAATACCAGTGCTCCTGGGGTTTGACAGTTAGGAGGATCTCAGTGACCACGGCATGTACTCTGTGTAAAAGGGTTGGAAACTGAGGAAAGTCAACAAAGGAGATTAAAAAGGAAGTTGAATCATGATTTTTACAGATATGGACGTTGATGGAATATGAAATTTTTAAAGCATTTTATTGTATATACTTTGACCTATGTCAGAACTTAGCATCTGAATGTATGTGCTTGCAGGGGCGGGGGGGTGAAGATGGCAGCAGAGCAGGTAAAAGTTACTCACCTCCTCCCAGGTCCAAACTGAAATTACAGCTACATTATAGAACAATCAGCCAGAATGTAGATGCTTAGTATGTTTGCTGAATGAATGAGTGTAGAGAAAAATTGGAATAAAGGTTGTTACAAGTTAAATTATTTGGATTTCAGGCATCTGTAGATCAAAATGAAATAACCTGTAGGAAAAAATAGGCTCCTAATTAAATTTAGGTATGTCAAATAAAATAAATTATTTGAACAATGTATAATATTGATATATATTTTTGAGATGTATTTATAAACTCATTTAATTAGTAATGCCGTTATATTATCATTACATGTATCATTAGAGAAAGCTTCAGGCACTTCCAATTTCATCTATAATAGATCGAAGTTTTATTCATTATATAGAAAAAACAAAGGTAACCCAAAATGCAATATCAGAAATGGACCTTTGCTAGATCCACATACTGTTTCTTTTCCATCTTTTTTGATTTAATCTTTATTATTTTTCCATTACCATTTAGTCCCTTTATACCTCCCTCCCTCCATCAGTCTCCACACTGTTGTCCATGTTATGCATCCTTTTTAATTATAGTTGACGTGCAATATTATACTAGTCCCAGGTGTATGACATAGTGATTAGACATTTACATACCTTACAAAGTGTCCACCCCAATAAATCTGACACCATAGATAGTTATTGAAATATTATTGACTGTATTCCTTCTGCTATACTTTACATTCCCATAATTATTTTCTAACTGCCAATTTGTACTTTTTAATCCCTTGCACCTTTTCCATCCATCTCCCTGCACCCCTCTCATCTGGCCACCATCAATTTGTTCTTTTTATCTGTGGGGTTTTTCTGTTTTGTTTGGTTGTTTATTTATTTTGTTTTTTAGATACCACACAGAAGAAAAAGCATATAATATTTGTTTTTCTATGTCTGGCTTATCTCACTTAGCATAATAAACTCTAGGTTCATCCATGTCTTTGCAAATGATAAAATTCCATTTTTTTTCATATCTGAGCAATATTCCATCATCTATATATTTGTACTACTCCTCTTTATTCATTTGTCTATCAATGAACACTTAAGCTGTTCCCATATCCTGGCTATCGTAAATGATGCTGCACTGAACATCAGGGTTCATGCACATTTTCAAATTAGTGTTTTATATTTGTTTGGCTAAATATCCAAAAGTGGGATTCTTTTTTATCTTTATAAGATAGGTTTATTTATATCAGTGCAGAAAATATTTATTTTGTGTAAAATGTGTTTTAAAATGTCATAAATTCAGAGATAACATCTAATACTATGAAGTTTTGAAAATTTAAGGTCAAAAGGAATCATAATGAATATTAACTTGCTACCCTTTGATCCTCCAAAGAGTTTTAGGCTAGCTTGGGGCCTTTACAGAAATAAAACAATACAGTTTATCCCAAGGCACAACATATTTCTAGGTTTCACCACAGAGCTTTTGTGAAAAGATGTGGATTAATTATACCAATTCTTGGAACCATGAATGTGACGCACCTTCTGCATACGTGGCTCTGTGCAACAATTTTGACATCTGCATTCAGTGGAGAACGCCTGATTACTGCGGTGAGTAGTAAACATGAAATAATAGTTTCCAGCAGCCAAATAACATTCTATTTTTTTGCATTCACTTCTTTCTTTTTCTTTTCATTTTTCATGACAAAATAATTCTGTGGGGATAAATGCGTATAGATCTCACCTACAATTTAGAGATAAGCTATCCCACATAGGTAGCTTCTGTTTCTATCCTAATCTAAATTTAAAGTAGTCCTCCATGTTTGCAAATGAAAACCAAGTTCACATAATATTAGTGAGAAAAACAGACTGAAAAGTCAAAGAAGTCACAGAGGATTGAGCAGGGATTCTGATTCTGCACCCTACAGCACACTTTGTTGACCCCCATTTAACCCACCTCACTTCCCCCAGCTTGTTCTTATTTGTTTATTCTGTGGAGTTTTTTTTGCCCCCTTTTCCTGCTTTCCTGACATAATATCCATTTCTCAGAAATTAGTCTTTCTGGCTTTCTTTGATATCTAGATTCAGTATTTTCCCAATTACATGTTTGTGTTTCCTTTTTCCTTTGTATGCATTCTTTGCTTATTTTTATCTGTAGGGCTCATGCTCTCTCATCAAGTTGTAATACTGTTCATAAAAAATTTGTTAAACATTTCACCAATCCCAGAAACGTTTCACAGGAAATATTATTAATTTAATTTAGGAAATAGTGATTAAGTGGATTAAATGGTGAAAGGCTTTCAAAATGAATGTTACTCAAATGCTCCAACATAAAAGTGTTAATTTTCCCCAGAAAAAAGAGATTGAAATGCTGAGAAAGGCTAATAAATCACAAAAGCAGCTCCATGGCTCTCCTTCAGAAATGAAGGAGCTCTTGGTGTGCCCTTCCATCCCCTTCGTCTTCCTGCCCTCCCAGGTGTCATCACTACTCAAGACTGGGATTGCTTGATTCACAGGGAGTGTATGACCTCACCAATTTTACATGATACTGTCAAACTGTTCTCCACTGAGATTTTACCAGTTTGCAACCCCACCAGCTCCATGTTCATTTTTTAACAGTGTGACATTTTAAGATCACTGAAAATAAAAAGAATTTTAGAAATCATTTAGAAACTGCTCAATGATAATAGTTTCTTTTAATAGTGAAGGATTCAACCTAAATAAACGTGCAGCATTTTCTGTTTTTATGGCTTGGTTGAGTTACATATTTGGAGTGTATTTCTTTGCTTATTCTGAGTAGACTATTGTATATCCTCTCACTGTACAAAGCAGAAACTTCTTAATAGTTGACTCTATATTTATGCCAACTAGATTTGGGCTGCCTGTTGGTAATATTATTTTGATAGAAATCAGATGAACTTTTCCTATCCTAACATAATATTACCTGGACAACTGGAAGATACTAAAAAATACCCACTGATTTTTAAAAACTTTCTGATTATGTAGCAAATGAAAAAATAGACTTTGAAGAGACTTAAATATGAAGAATCATTTTCAGAAAGAAATCTGACATTTCTTACTCTTATTATAATTCAAATCAGTTACTGGTATCATTAAAAAATCCTGTCCTCTATTACTCATAGAGCTGAGTTGCCCAGAGGGTAAGGAATATCAAGCCTGCGTGCGACCCTGTGAAGCAAGAACATGTCTGAACAGATGGTTCTATGGACACTCTTCCTGTTTGAATTTAAGAGAAGACTGTGTGTGTGAAAATGGAACCATTCTTCACAGGCCATATTCAACTCAGTGCATTCCAGAGAAAGAATGTGGTAAGCAGCAAACAAGTAAAATGTTGTTAGAACTTGGAGAAATATGTTGAGAAAGACTGATCAAGAACAACCTAGGTATTGGAAAGGAAATGAATTTGTTTATTTAATAAACCAGTTAATCAAAGACAAATATATGATCTCACTTATATATGGAATCTAATGAACAAAAGAAAGTAACAAATGAAATAGAAACAGAAGTGTGGATACATGGAACAGACTGACAGCTATTGGGGGGGGAGGGGAGAGAACTGGATGAAAGAAGGTGGAGACATTAGCAAAAGAATATATGTGCATGACCCATGGACACACACAACAATGTGGAGATGACCTGAAAAAGGAGCTGATTGGAGCTGGGCAAAAGTGGGGAGAGTGGGGACAATTGTAATAGTATAAACAGTAAAATATAATTTAAAGAATGTAGTTTAATTTTAATAGGATTTCAATTGAAGTTATCCAAATAGGAGCTTTGGTAGTGATGTGTTTTAATCTCTAATTATGCCTTTCATAAGTAGGCAAGGGAACAGCAAATTAAGAATAAGGAGTGTAGTATGTGAACTACATTCAGATTCCAATCATTTCCAGTATTTGTGATTCAGCTTTACCTCCATAAGCCTGAGTTATGCATCTGTGGAGTGGGGAAAATAATCAGAAGCTTAGTGTGGGAATGCAAAGTACAAAGCATTTCATAAAAATGTCTGGAGAAAAATAGCACTCAAAAATATCAGATAATATTATTACCTGAGAGAAAAGATTTAATATCTCTACTTTTATTTTCAAACAATTATTCTGACACATTATTTCCATGGTGGTTTCAGATGAAAAGATTGCAAAATAGAGAAGATTTTAGTACGATACTTTGTCAGTCACATGTCTCATCGTCACAATCAGAAGAAAAGAGGTTTAGCTAATCATTAAAGAAAAAAACAAGTAGAAGTGAAATGCACATGTGGTTCAGACACAAGTTTGTGTTTGCCATTGAAGAAATTTGAGAATATACAGGCATGCTTATGTTTGTTTTTAGGAGCCTGTGAGGTGGTTTTGCTGGTAAATAGGATGGTATAAAATAAGTTCATTGGAGGCTGGTTGGTCACTACTTTTATCTTTACTATTGCTTAAAAGGACTACTAGAGAACCATATTTATCACTAAGAAAACTTTGAAAATAAAACTAATAGAGTCGCTAAATAATATTTTGTTTTGTTGCCTGCTTTCCACATTTACATTTTAAAGCTGAAATATTTTGAATTTTCATAAGACAAAAATGTTAATGTGAGGTAGGGATTACCTGTTCTCTAGCACCACTCATATTTAACAATTAACATTTTAAAACATTTAAATTCATGTTACTGAGTTTGTTCAAGTAAAGTAAATTGTGTTAACAAGACTTAAAATGAAAAAATAATTAACCAATTATGTTATTAATAGAAGATGGTATGCAAATTTACAGAGAGTTGCAGAGGAAAATATATTTTCTGTGGACTACATCAGAAATTTCATTAAAGAAAAAATAAGCTAGTATCTGCTGAATGAAAAGACAAATCTGAGAAAGGATAAGTATGTGACATGTTATCTGTGCCACTGGGCCAAGTCACAGTGTGAAATAAAAACATAACAGCTTGACTGATTTTTAGTGTCCAGGTTGTGAGTGATGTGACATTGTCAATCTTTTTTTTAAGCATGTACTGACAGTGAAGACCAACCCCGCACTGCCGGGGAGATTTGGAATGGGGGCATTGATGAATGTGCCCTCTACAAATGTTTGGAGAATGGAAGCATTATTCCTATAGAGCCTGAGTGTGAGGAAGAGCCCTCGCCAATTTGTGAACGAGAAGCTGAGGTTGTCCTGGGCTTCATTGATAAGCAGTCCTGCTGTTCAAAGGAAGTTTGTGGTATGTATTCAGGTTGAAGCTTTATAGTGAGTAAATGCCACATAATAGGTATGTTTATAATCTTCGTGTAAAAGCAGGTGTGCATTATGCTTGCTATTACAAAATGTAATTTTGAAGTAACAGCTGAAGTATTTCCCTAAATTTCATTTGCACTTTCTTAAAGCAAGTTTTGCCTCTTTATAGTTTTGTTGATTTTACAAATACACATGCAAAACTCTGGCTATTAGCAATTAATAATATTCAGCAATATATGACCATAAAATGGATCTGGGAATCTTTGACTTATGACAAGTGAGAGTGAAAGGCAGTAACAAATAAACCTTAAATTTGCTCCCTTTTCACATATGGCCTATTTTGTGAACAGAATGGTTTTAACTGCAGTGTAAAATCATGCATAGTGAGAATTATATCCCTGTTTGGAGTTAGAAACATAAGATTTTAATTATGTTCACTGATGTTTTAATGCCTGTTTCTTATTTGTAGCATGTGACATGACCTTGTGTGATACCACCATTCCGACATGTACGGACAGTCAAAAGTTGACCGTTGGCCATAGCCCTCTTTCTTGCTGTCCACAGTACCAATGTGGTGAGTAATTAATTAGGAAGAGTAAGAGTGAGGGTCATTGTTCATTCAGAATAGTGGATTAGATTCTCATTCTTTGTGTCTACAAAGAAATGATCTATTATCAAAGATTGTGGCATTGTTTTCCTACAGATAGTTTTTTCACCTGCAAATACATATACATATATATATATACACACACATTATGTACATGTATATAAACTTATCTATTATAGCCATGTATATAGTAATTAACTCATTTTAAAGATCTTAAACTTGTGGAAATATAGGAAATAGAATATTATATATAAATATATAGATTCAAAGATAACTAAACCACACTATTTTATTTATTTTATCTCAAACGATACAATTTTTCAAATATTTTTGTGTTTTTGCAGAATGTGACCCACTCAAGTGTCCCACTTTTTCAATACCAGAATGCAGAGAAGACCAATTCATGATTCAAGTTCAACAGGATGAGCCTTGCTGTTTTGGTCCTATCTGTGGTAAGTGTTGGATGAGATAATTTCTTGGAAGAAGAGGAATGATGTAGGGATAAATCTCTTATTTGATATAAAGTTTATGGGACTGATGGAAACCAGTATTCTGCTGTTATAGGAATTCAGATGAATAAGAACAGTGGAAAAGAAAGTCCAGAATTTTAATTATAATTATTCATTAGTACCTACTCTATTATTTATCCATAAATTGGAGTAGTGAATAGTGAATTCATTCACTACAGGAGTAGTGAATTAATAAAATTTTAATCTATCAATCAATAATATTTTGAATATTATTTTAGAATATTATTTTTATTTCAAAAATCTTAATGCCCTGTATTTCTGGTAAAATAGTATTCTATGTCACTGCTTGGAAAGCATAAAGCAATATACTCAAGCACTGTTAGTGTTTTTAGGACCAAATAAGATCTGTTAAAGCCATATTTTTTGTTTTCTATTTTATTAATCATAATGTATTTTATGTACATATAGTAATCTTAACTAATAATTACATTTTTTAATTTCAACTATAACTTCTGACTTTTTGTTTTTCCTTCAGTTTGTGAAGCTTGCACTGAACCTATTCCAATATGTACTGATGGGGAATTTCTCACTGTGGATCTTAATACCACAGATGTCTGTTGTCCTCGGTATTACTGTGGTAAATATATTTTAACTACTTTAAAATATTTACATGTGTCCAATGTTAAAAAGCTCAGTGCATCTTAGTTATATAGTCATGTCAGACCATAGTGAATTCTAGCATATAAAATACACATTGAATGTTATGTTTTTGTATATCTAAGAGCTCTTCTTTGATAATACCATTACCTACTAAAAACAGATTAGTATGACTTGTCTCATGACCCTAGAATTTGTAGTAATCCAGCTGACTCCATATCCTCTTCACTTTCTTTCTCTTCTTGCACTCCTGCTATTTCTCAGGGCTCTTTATTTAATGAGCAGTCCTAGTGCTACACTCTTGTGGTATGTGCCATGAATCACTCATTTGTCCTCACCAACACATGGCAATGGCAATGGGGTGGTGGGAGAGGCAGTGCTGGGGAGATAGGGTTCATGCACTACATCAGCAATGATGGTGAACTAAATGGTAGATAGTGAAACTAGTGACTGCATGAAGTTAATGTTTACCCATGTGATTTTTCTCTTCAGTCTGTGAACCAAATCTTTGTCCCCCACCACTACTCAACTGTGCAGAAGATATGACACTTGTGAAAGAAAATGTGTCTGGTCAATGCTGTCCTATATGGCACTGTGGTAATTAATTTTCATATTTTTAAGTTTTATTACAATACATTAGTGTATTCTGATCAATATAAATGTTGATTTTTGCCTTTTAGAATGTAGCTGTGAAAAACTTGTTGTGCCAACTTGTGAAGTGGTAAGAACATATTTCGATTGACTTGTCATATAATTTAAATCAGTTTATTCTTCCTTTACCTCTCTTAGTTCTGATACATGAAGTTAATGGAATTATCTTTCTTAAGTTATGTTGAAGTAGATTAAAATAATATGCCCTGATATTAACTAGCTGTCAATGTTTTACAGTCTACTTTAGAAAGGAAAGTACAATACCTTATTTTTTTCACTGGTGACAGAATTTACTGACCTCATATCTACTTTAGTTCATTGGTCTTAAATGAAACAAAACATTTAAAAAATACTATCTCACTGTTGGCATAGATTGTGATCATGGTTTTATGGATGTATATCTCCAAATTCATCAAGTTGTATGTTAATTATGTATAGCTTTTTGTGTCTGAATAAATTGTGTTTTACAAAAGCATTAATCTAACATTTACTGTAATGATGAGTTATCATGCATTATTTGTGTAGAATGTATAAGTAACTTTCACAAATATTCTCTTATTTGATATTTTGTGTGCAGTATATACACATCTATAAAGTATAATTATTTTATTATATTTTTCTCAGGTTCTTAATAATTTACATAACATGCTTAGTATATTATTTCAGTGAATCATCACAATGTAGGTATTTTTAGCTCATTTTATAAGTAGGGAAATTCAGGTCTAGAGAGAAGAAATGATTGACTGAGGTCTTCAGAACTCAAACCAGCAGTTGTTTTGTATATGTGTGTGTTTGTGTATATTCCCTTATTCTTTCTATTCTGTCTCAATTCTTTCATTTCCTCTACAAAGTATAGCCAAGATATAAGTTAGCAAAAACAAAAGCAAGTGTGACTATCTTTGTTTCTATTAGTGGGTTTGCCTGTCTTTAGCTGTGACTCACTCTCTTAACTGTAATGTGAAAATAATAACAATACTTATGTCCAGTGAGTGAAATAAATGTAAATTAAATAGTGAGATAGTACCTGACACATAACAAGTGTTCAAAAAGTATTAGTGATTTACTCTTACAAACCATCCACACAATACTCAGAATGCTAACCACAAGGTATAGATTGTCATGGAGAACTTTTTAGGGAAGATGAACATCAAAGAAAAGTTTGGAAAAAAGTGATAGTCAGGTTAGTCAGGTTAGGAATAATAAGTAAAAAGAGGTGAACTACCCTGACTAGAGTGGCTCAGTTGTTTGGGCATCATCCTGCAAAGTTAAATCTTGCTGGTTTGATTCTGGGTCAGGCCGCATGCATGGGTTGCATGTTCAGTCCCTGGTCCGGGCATGTACAAGAGGCAACAGATCAATGTTTGTCTCTCATGTTGCTGTCTCTCTCCCTCTCTTTCACCCCCCTTCCCGTCTTTCTAATAAATAAATCAATGAATAAACAAATAAATAAATAATCTAAAAGGACTGATAAAAAAATAGAGGTGAACTCTTCCAGATGGGGCCAGTGTGAGCATGCGTAAATGCGTGAAAGAGTGAGTTAAGTGTGCTAAAGGATCACGGCCTCTTTTTCTTGGAATGAGAGCTGACTTGAAGAGGAACAGTGAAGGGTGAAGGACTGTAAAAACTCGTGAATTGGGTAGGGCTTTAAAGGTAAGGCTGAGGAATTTTGATTTGATGTATTCATTTATTCTTCTCTGTTATTCATTCAATCAGTATTTGTTGGAAACCAATTATGTCTGGTCATGGTGCCAGCCATTTAAAAATGTGCAGTCTTACCTTGAGGAGGTCAGTATAGATTTAATGTGATAGGAGATGGAAAGGTCTTGTATCAGATATGAATGATTATAAAAATGGCATAGCAGGATAAGGGCAGTAGACATTAGAGGACAGGAGATCCGCAAGAGACTAAGATAGCCATTCAGGAATGAGGGCCTTGAGTGTAGTGAGGTCTATATAGAAGAGAAGTGGGGATACTTTGAATTTGGGAAGGCAAAATGGAAGATTCTGGCTTTTTGCAACATATTTTATGAGTGTGTGAGAGAAGGGGGGGGAGAGAAAAATGAAGAGAAGGCAGGATGAGGAGAGGAGAAAGAAAAGAGAAACAAAAAGACAAATATGTAGAGAGAGTTCTAAAAAAACCTTTAAGTTTACAAGACTGAGACATTAAGAGTCCAAGAGTATTGGATCCTTGGACAAACACTCTGATGCACTGCAGAGGGACTCTGGGATTCTCCTAGAACCATCCTCATTCAGAGGTCTCCCACCGGCCTAAAGAGGTAATGCATGCACTGAGGCATTTCAATAATTTTCAACACAACAGTATAAACTATTCCTTTTTCCTATGAGATTTTGTGCCTCCTGTGTTCTGTGTCCTTTCAAGCCTCTTTGGGTAGGACTCTTTATGTTCATTCTTTAACCTTGGTGAGGCTGTTACCTTAACTATGCCTGTGTGCTTGTGCCTTTACTGCCTATCCCAACCTATCCACCAACCAACCAATCCCATTCCTGTGTGTCCCTCCCTTTTCCTTACCCCTCCCACTTTTAGTCAGTTTTTACCATTCACTTACCTATTCTCTGTGTTCTTCCCCCACCCCCAAAATTTGTGCTAGATGTTGGTCCATCTAGTTTATTACCAGCTCAGTTTTCAATGTATGAATATTATTTATGAATCAAAGTTTGTAAGTATTTATTGAATGCCTATTATACATTAGCATCATTCTAGGCACAAAGGACATAACAGTAGTTTCAGTATCCTTAGATTTTACCCAAATATGCATAACCATACATGCATGCTAATTTAGTTTTAAGGTTCAATGTCTACCCAAGCATTGACATGACCCATTGTTCCTGAGTACTCATTCTGAATCTGAGTGATGTCTAAGTGTTTGTTTCATTGCCTAAATATATGTAATCACATATATTTAACATCACATTAGTTTTTCACATAGACACCAGGTGTATTTCAACCTAAAGAATCTATGTTAGGCTTTTGCAGTCTTTCTTTTTTTTTCTTTTGTTCTTTCTTTCTTTTTAGTAACAGCTTTATTATAATATAATTAACATTACCAAACAATTCAGCCATTAAAAGCATACTATTCAGTGGTGTTCAGTGTATTCATATAATTGTGCAACCATCAACACAATAAGCTTAGAATAATTTTATTGCCCTCAAAAGGGACTCTACCTATTAGCAGTCACTCCTCACTTCTCTCCAAACTCCCCGGGCACAGGAAATCACTAGTCTACTTTTTATCTCTATAAATTTTCCTATTCTTGGTATTTTATGTAAATGGGATTATATACTATGTGGTCTTTTGCAATTTTTTTCACTTAGCATAAAATTTTCAAGGCTCATTTGTGCTGTTTCATGTATCAGTACTTCATTCTTCTTCATTGTTGAATAATATTTCATTGTATGGTTATACCCAGGCATTTATCCAAAATAAAGATATACAATGGACAATAGCACATGAAAAAAATTCTTTAACTTACATCATCAACTATTAGTTAAATGCAAATCAAAACCACAGTGATATACCACTTTATACTAACTAAAAAGATAAACATTAATACATTTTGGCAAGAATGTGGAGAAACTGGAACCTTCATACCCTGCTAGTAGGATTGTAGAATGGTACAGCTGCTTTGAAAAACAGTCTGGCAGTTACTCAAAAGATTCAACATATAGTTGTCATATTATCCAGCAATTCTACTCCTAGGTATGTGCACATAAGAAATGAAGAAACATATCCACACAAGTGCTCACACATGAATGATCATAGGAGCTCACTATTCATAAAGCCAAAAAAATGGAAACAGATTAAGGTGACTCTGTTTCTTGAGAGTAAAAAAAAAACAAAAAAACCCATCATATTTGATATACTATTAAGTACTGATAGAACAATTAAGGAGATATTTCCTCTTGGTGGAATTGGGTACTTATGAGAATAAAAGTATAACTAAATATGTGGATAAGATCTAAAGGAAGTAGGGTAGAAAAGAAGAACAGGACATTTAAGCCTAAATTTGAGAGGGCACATTGGCCATTGTGGATCTATTATTAAAAAACAAATGGGTAAGTGACTTAAAAGAGTTAGTATGAACCTAATACCTCCTTATCTAATCTTTCGGAGTAGCTAGTGAAGTAAGAGAATTTAATTTATGTTTTTTAACCCCCTATTCTAACATTGTATTTCCAATCCCACTGGAATTGTGTAAGGACTAAAAATCTTAAAATTTCATATGATTTAAAGTTTATGCAACTACTTTAAAATTTGTAAAGCACTATGAAAAGTAAAATATTATTAGCTTATGGGGAAAAGTGCCTTTTATATAGTACTATGAATTTATTTGAATCATTTCTTATGTCAAGAATCAAATTTATTTTATTACTGATTTTATGAAATCAGTATTAAATGTACCTAGGAAAAGATGATGCTTAAAATGCAATTCTTGAAACTTTAAGCCTGGACCCACATGTTAGAGGAATCTATACCCTCCCTAATAGGACCAAGTTTGAGTATCAGTCGTGACAAAAATTTACTACAACTAAAGGCTACAAGCACTTTCTGAGTGTCAGCCCTACTCTAAGCTCTTTCCTATAGTGGCCCATTGAATTCTCTGACCAATCCTAAAAGCCAGGTAGCATTATTATCCCCACTTTAGAAATGAAGGGAGTGAGGAGCAGACTGGTGAAGTAACCCACCCTACATATGTCAGATAGCTAGTAAGTAGCAGAGCAAGATCAGCGCAAGGGCAGTCTTGTTCCTCAGTCTGTGCTGTTAACCATTCTACTACGATCTGCTCCTACCTCATATGCTACAGCAGCCTGGCTCAGATACAGACATCAGAGCTCTGGACCACTCTCTACAGGACAGATCAAGATTATTTCCACAGGGCAAAGTTTCCAGGATAAGCAAGGATCTTCTTATGTCCAATGGCCCGCTAGCAGTTCAGAATCAATATTTTAAAGTGAGGACAGATCATAAAGGTCATCAAATCCACCTTCATTCATTTAATAGATAAGGAAATTAAAGTTTACAGAGATTAAGTGATCATGCTCCCAGTGTTTAGTGTGAATTTTTTCCATGTGCTATGAATTAAATGACCACCAGGTTAATGCAAGACTGTTGACTAGCAAGTAGTTATTAAATACCTGCTATGTGTCTCACTATGTGGTATGCAATTTATTAAATATCATATTGTGTATCTTTTACTATCATAGTATAAGAAGTCATATGGTAAGTCATATAATAATAATAATAATAATGATAATATCTTTCTAATAGGGAGAATTTACTACAATAGACCACAGCTTTCAGAGTGACTGTGGATGTGTACAGTATCTCTGTGGTAACTATGTTTTTTATAACTTTTAAATTATAATAAATATAACTGGTATCTGTTGTTCACTATTAATAAATTGAAAATAATTTTCCTTGAGATTATTACACATTTTAAGCCATTTGCCAGTTTGTAAATATAAAACTGTACTTTTTTTATTGTTCAAGTATTACAAAAGAGGAAATTGAAAAATAATAGTAACTATAAAAGTGTGCTATTACTTTCAATTTCCTCTTTTTTAATATTTCTGAATGTTCTGAGACATTTGGTAATAGGACAGAAAAGTGAATATTATTTTTCAGAAGCTTCACACTATTTGAAGTTGATGCTAGGGTTCATGTACACTTAACTTTAAAAAATAAACATCTGTATGTGAGAGATTTTTTGCTCACTATTTTATTATTATTGATGTTAACACTGCAAATCAGAGAGTTGATTTTTCTATGAAATAACAAATCTTCATGTTAAGTATTAGTAGGTTAATAGGAAAATATAATTTCTATACAACAACTTGAAATTTGTATTTTTATATTGGAGAAGGCTTAATTACACTGAGAGTTGGTAAGGCACAAAGATTTTCTGAACTGATTTCCTCATCATTTTCTAGCTTACCCTAACATGCCGCTTTTAATGATGTGTTAGCACATTATATCATCTGCTTTCATCATGAAGTATGATTTACATGACTATTTATTTTGCAATACAATAAAATGGAAAGTTGATCCTCAAAATAATGATTAAAAACCATGACATGTTACAGAATCCCATCATTAAAAACTTACTACTATTAGTTTAGATTTTCCTTCCATATACATCCACCCCCCAAAATTGTCATGTTAGGTTTCTAGAAGAGGGAACAGCAAGTAGCTTGACAATCTCTTAGGTTCAATTCTGGAATCTACTATAAAGTATAGCTTTTGGAGGAAGTTCAACCAGTCAGTAGGAGTTGATTTTACAGACTGATTGCTTATTGTAGGTTAAGGAATAAATATGCTACATTCATTATTAGGTAAATTCCTGAGTTATTAACAATACATAAAGATAAAGATCTTTATTGGTTTTGAAAAAATTGTATATCATAATGAAAACATCGATTTAAATAAAAATTCCATTAATTGCGTAATTAAAAACTCAATATTGTACTTTTTGTTGGCTATTTTTCTTAGAAAAAGATGATGTGTGTGTATTTCAAGAAGTATCAGTATTGAATCCTGGCCTATCTATGATAAAGTACTTGGAAGGGGACTTTTGTCATACAATAGACTGTCTGGAAGAAAAAGATAACCAAACAGGCTTTCACACTCTGAATTTTACAATGGTGAATTGTTCAAAAGAATGTGACATTGTAAGTATTCTTTATAAGTCGTTCTGGTGAGAGGTAATTAATCTTAAAATAGTAGCTATAGAATTTGAACTGAGGAATATCTCATAAGTTAAACTTATACACTTGAATAGTGCTTCAATAATCTATTAATGTGTAACATATCTATATAATGCAGATTTTTCTTTTCAGTGTATGACTTTTGAGCTTCAGGAGTCTTATTGTTTACAGCTTGTTTGTCCTGAAGTTGTTATACCTGCTTGATGAATCCTGACTGGCAGATATGAAGGTTAAACTTCTACTTCATTTCTAATATAGCTATATAAACTCAATTATTATATGAAGTGCTCCAAATTCAACCTTAGAAATGCTTGCAGGTGTTCTGAAAGAGCATATATTAATGTTGAGAAGCACTGCCAGGAGTAGTTAATTATATATTGGTACTGTTGTGGGGCTAATGCAATGTATTATTATCATACACAGCACCAGGTGTATACTCCATCTCCAAGTGATTATGATTGTTGTGGTACCTGCAAAAATGTATCCTGCAAGTTTCAAATGGAAAATGGAACATCAGTTATATATGAGGTAGGAATTCCTTATTTCCTAAAAATATGTTTCTTAGGGGCAGCTCTTTATGCTACTTTCTGAAGAATATATTCTCATTTAAAATTTTTTAAAATTGTTGTTCAATTATACTTGTCCTCATTTTCCCCCCATTACTCTCCTCTGCCCTACCTACCCCCCATCTTCCACATTCAATCCTCCCCTGGCATTGATTTGGTCCACGGGTCCTTTATACATGTTCCTTGACTTGACCTTCCCTCCCTTTCCCCAGTTATCTCCTCCCCCCTCCCCTCTGGTTACTGTTAGTTTGTTCTTTATTTCAATGTCTCTGGTTCTATTTTGTTCACTTGTTTGTTTTGTTGGTTAGGTTCCTGTTAATGGTGAGATCATATGGTATTTGTCTTTCACTGCCTGGCTTATTTCACTTAGCATAATACTCTCCAGTTCCATCTACGCTGTCATGAAGGGTAGGAGCTACTTCTTTCTTTCTGCTGCTTAGTATTCCTTGTGTGTATGTACAAAGAATACATTCTTAAGTCAAATAAGTTTGAAAAATCCCACATACAACAAACACACACACAGAGTTCTACATACAATAAACATACCCATATACAGCACATTTACAATGGACAAGATACAGTTACATTCTAAACTTTCTGATAATTTCTGTTGTAAAAAAATGTTTCACTTGTTTCTCTAGCTTGTTTTATCATAGATCTTCACAGTTTTTTACATGGGACAAATGAGCTTTGAAAATTACTGAAATCTAATCATTACACAGGAAAAGAATGATGATATTTTATTCACTCATTTGAAATGAAGCATTTTAATAAAAATCTGAAACTCAAAATGTTAGCATATTATTTCAGGTATCGATGATTTTAGTGGATATATAACAGTAAAGATTTACAATATTTGACAATTTTAAAAAAAGAAGATCCCAAGAGACATCAATGCTATACCACATCTTTATACCAAAAACAATAAGTATTCAGAATTCTCCCATTATCCCATAATAACTCTACATAGAGAGTTTGCAGACTGACCTATTCTTTCCCTAGAATTTTTAATGAAACTTTATAATTTTGTTAGTGGCATGGTCAGATTTAGGAAGGTCACAAATTGTGTTTATAATTTATCTAAAGGTAGTTCCAATTTATTATTGCTATCTTTACATTTTTTCCATTAATAGTTTAATTATCTGTAGATATTATTTCTGGTTTTCTTAATTACATGTGATTACTCTCATATTCAAAAGAAAAACAGTTTTTTTTCCAATACTGTACATTTTATTAAATAAGGAAAATGAACAATTATCTTTTTTCCTTGTTGTTTTATAATTATGTACAAAATAGTGTTGATTGATATAGTGTTGTTGATATTGTTTATCTGTTTATTCCAGAAACATTTATGTTTTCTAATATATATTTTTTAAAGAGGAAGTCTATGCCTTGGCTAGTGTTGGTCAGTGAATTGAGCACTGGCCTGTGAACCAAAGGGTCACTGGTTCAATTCCCAGTCAAGGCATATGCCTGGGTTGTGAGCCAGGTCTTCAGTAGGGAACCTGTGAGAGGCAACCACACATTGATGTTTCTCATCTTTCTCCCTCCCTTCCCCTCTGTCTAAAAAGATATAAATAAAATATTTAAAAAATAAATAAAGAGGGAGTCTTGAAAAAGGAAGCCTACAAAATGATGAGGAGACATAGGTGACAGTGAGAGAAAAGGAACTGAAGACTATTTCCAAAAATACAGTAATTTGGAAAGTGGTGGTGGGAAAATGGAGACAACTGTACTTGAACATCAATAAAAGAGGAAAAAAATAATATTATACCAAAAAATACAGTAATTTGGGAATTTTAGTAAAAAGACAACATAAACTTTACAGATATCAATAACCCAAGAACCACTGGTATATATATATAATTGATACTCATGATAGTATCCCCAAAATTTAAATAAAAGATTAAATTCTGTTCAGAATATTTTTAAGAACACAAGAAATGCCATGTCAGTAAATATATAAGACCATTAATTCTTAGTTCTTTTTAAGATACGCTTTAGTTATCTAGAAATCTAATTTCTATGGAACAACTAATTTTTTTTTATTTCAGATTAGTCAGACATTACTGTTTCCTGACTTGAATATTTTATCTTCTTTTACACCTACACTTGTAGATTTTTTTGAACTATGGTTCATAGAAGACCTGAAGCCATTCATAAACTAAAATAAAATTCAGAGAAAAGGAAGTTAGTTAAAATTCTTTATTAGTCTACAAAAAATCTTCAAGCCAGAGCTCGACTATCAATTAAAAAAATAAGTTATAAAAAATAAAAATATAGATCAATTATAGCCTCATAATTATGTAATAGTTGTGTATAGCTGAATTCATTTATAAATAAGAATTCTGACATCAAGAATGAAATAAACTGTTATTATGCTTAAAAATTAAAGTACTAAGAATAGGTTTTAATATAACCATAAGGTATATAAAACTAGGAACATAAGTCAATAATCGCTATTATCTGAGGATTTTTAAAAATGTTTTGGTGATAAGGGAGTGGAAAGGAAAATAAACAAATCTCAAGAAAGGAGGTGTATTACATAATATAACTTGTTGTTTTATAATTAGTGAGGGAAATAGTAGAGCCAGACCTTTGACACTTGACCAAATTAGATAATTAATTTGATAATAAAAACAGATACCTTTCACTTCTTTCCTCTCAATTGCTCTACTTCACTTTACATGTCAGTTTACATTTACAACAAAAGACACTCAGGTGCTTACGCACACTGCATATATGTATTTTTAATAATTTAATTTAAATTTGTGGACATTTCCAGATGGACCTTTTATGTCACAAGAGGCTTTCTGCATTTTGACTTGACTTTTGATTCAGTAGGATAGAAAGTGTTCTACAAAAAACATAGCAGATTTTAATAGCAAAACAGTTACTTTCTTTATTATTTTTAGGAGGGGAGTATGTGGCACTATAATTGTACCACATATGAATGTGTTAAGACTGATGAAGGAACAATGATTCTGAACTACAGTATGGTCTGTCCCCCCTTTAATGAGACTGAATGCAAAATGGTTTGTACTTTGTTATATCTAAGAAAATGTAGTATTAAATATGATTTATAAAATAATATGTTTTCAAGGTTCTATGTACATCATAGTTTATTTATTTTGGTGAATCGTTTATTTTCATGTATACATATAAGCTCTATCATAGTTCCTCCGTTTGCCATTTTGAATTACATGTGGTATTCTGAATAGCTTTGACTCTCCCTGAATAGACATAATGCTGCCTCTGGGTTTCTAATATGTAGATAAAGGATCATTGAAAAATCATTTGATTAGCAGCACTTTTTTCTCAATATGGATGAATAAACAAATCAATTCAACTTTCATTTCTTAAACACACAGCCAGATTTATGATGCAATTCACTGTCCTAGGACAGTCCTCTGGGAGAGTAGATTTTTGAAAGTGATACATTTTTTCCTTTTTATTACTAACTTTGAAGGTTGCTGGAACAACTTTATTTCCCATGCAAAGTGATAGAATTAAAAAAAATTATTCTCTGTAGATTTAATTATTTAGTAGATAATAATTGCTAATGAAAAGTGAGCTTGTTCAGTTGTATGGGGCAATATTTTTCTAAGTATAGAGAAATAGCTTGGCTTCATTAATTTTTTTCAAGAAGTCATCTTTTAGTGAGGGTAGCTAGCTAGACAAAATAAAGTATATAATAGAATTTCAGGTCTGGAAAGAATCTTATACACCATTTTATTTCACATATTTGGTTTTACAGAGTAAATTATTATTTAATTTGAATCATAATGATCAAGTTACTAAAAACAACTACAAATTTACTGTAAGAATTCCAAAAGATAAACAGTAAAATTTTCTTAATTAACCTTAAGCAGAAGCCATCCTAAAGCAGAGATTTTTTAAAAATAATACAATATATTAAAAATATATACCATTTTAACATTCGATTACAGTTAGAAATTCAGTCTAGTCTCATAGAGTAGCTTATATTATTCTGAGGAGATGAAAAATACAAAGGCCTCTATTTAGAATATCTGTTAGTATGTTGCTTTAGTAAAAAAAAAATTTGTAGTATTTAAAATGTTCTTTTAACTAAGTTAATTTTTTGCACTCTTTCATGTTAGTAATGAAGAAATAACAAAGTTTTAAATAAATATCTGCTCCTATTTTTTAAAAAGGAATTTTTATTAGAAATAATGAAATTCTAATCATTTTTCTATAAAGTCTTTGTGATACTTAATAGAAATATTGAGAAGGTGACCTATAAAAGTATAAAAGCAAATAAACAAGCACTGAGTTTTGACTTTATTCCTTCTCTCTTCCTAGAATGAAGGGGTTGTAAAGCTTTATAATGAAGGCTGTTGCAAGATCTGTAAGTGAGGACATTTTACATAGATTAATTTGATAGATTGGTTTTAATTTTTATGATTTTTCTCATAAAATTTAGTTCCTATGCTTCAAAGAGGGACATAAATTTTATAATGTATATTATTTAAATGTTTTTGTGTCATGTGGCTGATTATTTTGTAATTTAGTCTTTATCTTCAAAAGTATGAGTCAAGTGTTTTTTAGATAAATTTTAATTTAAATATCAGAAATTTCTTTATTGTTATATTTCCCAAAAGGTATTATGTAGGACGTTAACAGGTTCTAAGTGTATAAGTGTTCTGTGGTCCGATTTCCTTGGAAGGTGTGGCACTGTTCCGGTTGAGGATGGTAGGATGGGAACATCAGGGTGACCCCAGTAGGGACACTCAGAGGGCAGTGTTTTCCGCACCTACTGAAACTAGTCTCTGGTTCTGTGTGATACATTTAAAAAATGCCAATGTAGTGCATATATCTAAATCTTATATATAAAATGTCCCAATAATTATTTTGATAAAGTTATGTGTATATAATATATTTTATATTAGTTTAAATTATAAGGTTTATTTCATAGTGATTTTTAGTGATTTTTAAGGACTGGCTTAGTGGTTTTTAGAGGATGATTAATGCAGTCATTTTTGTTGTTTTTTTTTAAAGTGTATGAATTTATGTCAAGATAAACATAGGAAACTTAGCTTAGTTAGCATAAGTTTTAGGAAACTTAGCATAGACAGTAATTTTAAAATGACTTAGAGAACCTTCCAGGAAAAAGGGTACAATGCAGTCAGGATCTTAATGTCATGGTGTAGGGTTGCCTTCTTACACAGAAGTTATCATGTCTCTCAAGAGAAATTTCTGAACTTTCATGATAGGCTAAATCCCATAGATATGTAACCAATAGTCTGGTCTACTTAGAGCTGTAAGGTCAAATTGAACAGAATATTAAAATGTATTAAAATATTGATGCTATAAAATTATTATATATACTATTGAACATAATGAGAGTTTATAAATCAGCAATGCTCTTAAGTTTTCTACACTCTATTAATTCCTTACAAAACTCTGATAAACATTCTGATTCCAATGAACATATCCTGATTTCCAGCTTGGAGTGTTTAAGCAACTTTTCCAACTTAAACTTCTTGTGAGCTGTGGGGATTCCACTCCAGACCTGATTTCACAGCCTGCTTCCTAACCATGTGTGACATTCTGCAACATCATCAGGATTAGTTTTAGGAGATGGCAAAAGCTGACTGACAATGTCTGTCAGTCAGTAGCTGGTTAGAATGACAGAATTTGCATTTCCATGATACATGAAAAGACAAACCCAACACACACAAACCGACCCGCAACAAGCAAAAAGTTCAGCGTAAGATGGCCTGGCGTCTAATTTGATATTGTATTAGTTTGCTAGTTTACTGCTGTAATCAAGTACCACACCTGGGTGATTTAGAAATTTATTGTCTCACAGTTGGAGGTTAGACATCCAAAACAAAGGTTGATGGGATTGGTTCCTTCTCAGGACTATGAGGGAAAGGCCTGCTCTTGACCAATCTCCTTAGCTTGTAGATAGCTATCTTCATGCTCAGGTGGTGTTCTCCTGGTGGGTATCTATCTCCAAATTCCCCTTTTTATAAGGACATCAATCATATTGGATTGAGGCCTACCCCAATGGCCTCATTTTCACTTAATTACCTCTGCAAAGGCCCTGTCTCCAATTCAGGGCATATTCTGAGGCACAAAGGAATATTTAGAAGACACAATTCAACCCACAACAGTTTTTATTGCTGGGACTTTTGTAAATAGTATAATGCCACTTTTATATTTTTAATTACTAGGGCTCTTAGACACACATTAATTAGAACTTTTCTGTTAGAAAAAGCAATTTTTAATTCTGTATTCTATGAATCAAATGTGAACTAACATTCACGACTCCTGAGAGTCATCATGTTAGGCGCCCAAGGAATGAAATCAGGATTCAGAACCTGAGAAAGTTCATATTTTTAAGATTTCACCTCTTTTTCCTTTGCTTCCTCAGTCTAGACTCTTTTTTAGGTAAGGGATGTAGGAATGGGATCATATTGCAATGTTAAGACCTTGGATTCTGTAACCCATGTTAATCATTAGAGAAGTGAGTACATTTCTGTTATCTGAGGGGACAGAAGATCTGTATCACTGAGTATATTGGTGCCATTTATTGCTTGTCGTCACACATACATATTCTTAAGCCCATTGCAGACAGTAGTATAACTAATCTTCACAAGTTCTGGGGGCTAGATGGCATGTGGTAGGTATGGCTTCCCTTACTGAAGAGGAAATGAAGGTTCAGAAAAATTGGACACACTCAAGTAATACATTTGAGCTTGTCCAATGCCTGGGTCAGGATCTTTCGATGCTGCGAAGCTCTTTGAAGCTGCAAAATATCAACAAGCCACCTCAGTTTTTCCTGTCTGATGTGTAAGGACTGGTAAAGAAGTTTCAGATTTGGTATCAGAGAACGCTTGTCTGCCATCTTTGCTTTTGTGTGGCCAGGCTCTGTCAGAGAGACTGGGAGTATTGAATACTACCACAGGTGCTGTGCTAAATAAAATGCATTGCCACAAAGTCTCCAAGGAATGCATAGGAACTACCTCTGGGCTCCAACAAATTCAGCCAACCAACAATAAATTTATGCTGTCTGAACTTCATTCATTGAATGAATTGGCTTATCAAACCATTTTTAGTGAGTGCTTACCATGTACCAGTCTTTTTAACACTGAGACTATGATAGTGAAGGAAACAGAATGTGTATGCATAGCACATATTATCAAGAAGGGGAATAATGAACACACAAATGTTAATTTTTGTATCAGGCGTGATGAGTGATATAAAGAAAAATAGTGCAGAATAAAAGGGATGGAAACTGAGGGGAGCTGGGTTGCTAGTTTAAGTGAGTGGCTGAAGAACACTTCTATAATGAGGTGTCATTTGAGTGGAATGGGTGTCCTCAGGAAGCCAGCAGGAAGAATGCAAAGCCTTGAAAGCAAAGGAAATAGCAGGTGTGGCTATAGCACAGCGGTGAAGGTGATAGAAAGAAGAAAGCAAGGTATCTTACAGGCGATGTTCAAGATGTTTTCTTTCTAGACCTATAGACCTTTAGACTTTCTTTCTAGATCTTTTCTTAAGATTATATGAAGTAACCACTGAGTGAAAGCACTGTAAGTTATAAAACCTCCTGCCCTTTGTCACCAAAACTAAACTTTGGGTCACACTGTAGCTGGGAAGTAAAGGAAAAGAGAAAGTAAAAGCATAGCAGATAGAGGAGGAACCACAAGTGAGATGAGAGGAAAACTAAAGAGGGTTTTCTGGAAGCCAAGGGCAGAAAATGTATTAAGAAGGAGAATGTGATGTATGGGGTCAAATGCTACTGAGAAGTTAAATAGAATGATAATTGAGCTGTGATCTTGAATTTAGCAGTTTGAAGGTCAAGGGTGACCTTGAGGACCATTTAATTTCAGACAATCTTTGACTGAACCAGAGTAGTATAACATTGATCTACTTTACATTTTGCAATTTCACATAGTATTTATTTAAAGATTGTGTGGCTAAAATAATTTGAAAACTGGAGATCTAAACCCAGTCTTTTGCAAACAAGGAAACTCAGCAGAATGATTTAGTGGTTTTCCTAAAATGACAAAGCAAGTGAATATCAAAGCAAAAAAAAAAGCCAAAACCTGAACAACAACAAAAAACCCCCCTGGATGTTTGCAGCCTGATTCAGGGTTATACCCACTACACACAGTATTAAATATATATTCTTGGTGTATTACCAAGTGATAATCCATCACACACCCAGAGGCATATTAATATGTCATTAATTAATACAAAGTGTTTTCATTTGAAATCCTAAGAGATCATTTCAAAGCCATAAAATCAAGTTAATGTCATTCACCCATGCATTTAAACATGGTTGATAAATAATTCAATTATATTCATGCTTGATTTTTTATTAATATACAATTGGATAATGTGTTCTAAAGTCTAATCTTTAATTTCAAAATAGATTTGTGTATATATGTACAAATGCCTTAATTATATACATGCATATTTACTTCCTCATACCATGGTTCATGCTAAAAGTTATTTTATCTACTTATCTATACACCACACAGAAGCTGATGTTAGCATTACTGTATGTGTAGAATATTTTTGATTTCTGGTTATAATTATTCTGACTAAGATAAAGAGATAAGTATAAAACTAGAAAATATAAGAAAACATCTTTTTTAGAAGGTGAAAGTAAGTACTAAACAAAATACATGAGTGAAATTTTAAATATCTCTTAATATAGGAATATACTTTATTGTAAATACTAACATATCAATTTTCAATATATTCATATGTTAACTGAATTAAGAAACAATTGACAATGAGTCTTTTCATGAATAAACTCATTCTATACTTTATCAGGTAAACGAGAAGAAAAGATATGCCAGAAAGTGATTATTAAGTCAGTCATACGGAGACAGGACTGTGCAAGTCACAGCTCAGTAAGTGCAAAAATAGTATTTGTTACATAGAGGACCTGTGTCTTTCCAAAATGCACATACCACAGCACTGATAAGTTTGTAAGCCACGAAAATGCTGACCTTTATCTTATTTAACTTTGTGATGATTCCTAAGTTCCAATATTAAAATATTTTGTTTGTGAAGAAGTGTGACATTCTTAGCATGACTAATCAAATGTTCTGAATGAAAACTATAATCCAGATTGATGAAAATTAAATATAAATATATTTGACTATGTATTTTCTTAACTTTGCAATTTTACTTGGCAAAAATATTCCTAGTTCTAACTTTACCTGTTTTAATATGACCTATTCAATTCCATAGTCTACTTGAGCCATGATATAATATGGGTTACAATAGACTTATTAGATTATGGTTAATGTATTGCAGATACCTGTCTAGTTATGTGAGCACATTTCATACTTTGAGTTATGTCAGTATTATTCTCTTTGGCATCTCCATGACACTAAGTTTCAGCCTAATATGTTTTGCAACCTTTTAATATACAGAAGCTTGAGAGTTAAAGTGATCAGGAAGCCTTGATTTCATTTGACTTTGTAGTACAATCAAGTGATCAGGTTTTGAAATTTTAAGACTTTTTTTCATCATTTCTCCTTACAGATAAATGTTGCATCTTGTGATGGAAAATGCCCATCAGCCACCATATATAACATCAATATTGAGAGCCATCTAAGGTTTTGCAAATGTTGTCGTGAAAATGGAGTGCGGAACTTCACTGTGCCTCTGTATTGTTCAGGGAATGGTACTGAGGTCATGTACACTCTCCAGGAACCTATAGACTGTACATGCCAGTGGAATTAAACTTTCGGATTCCAAGAGTTCTATGCAACATCATAAATCAAATGGAGCTAACTTTTAGCACTATTGTTTAGGCACTGGGCAGATGTATACTGTTTATAGATAATGTATTTTTCAGACTATGAGGATGTAGCAATTGTGGTACAAAATATACTCAATTTCCATGGAAAAATAGATTTATTTATTTATTTTAAGGAAGCAAATGATTTTAAATTGTTCAGTTGAAATGCTATTATGCATATAATTGCAATATGCCACAAAACTGGTGCAGTTTCACTCAATAGTTACTTTTTGATTTGCTAAGTCTGCCATAGCTATCCAAATTAAGATACTCTTTTATCTTTACTGTTTAATCTGGTAAATGTAATCAGTTAAACTGTTATCTGGGTAGTCACAAAGAGTAGTATGCTTAGAAACAGATCATAGAACTATGGGATTTTAGTTTTTTTAAAGCTTGAGTTGATATTAGGGACATTATCACAAATTTCCCTCATTTTGCAGGTGTGGCAGATAACCAGAGAAGCTGGTGACTTGTACAAATTAATTCACTGTAACAAAACATTTAATTCATGTTAACAGTTGGGTTAAGTCTAGATCTTTTATATTCCCATCCTATGTTCTTTTCTTTTGAGTCATACCTATCACAGAATCTGTCATTCTTCACAGTTAGTTTTGAATAGAATTAAGAATTTTAAATTCAATGCCTTTACAAAAAAAGGCAAAACAATGTCATACACACACACATATGCATATAATATAGTTATCCAAATAATGAGGAATGGGGAAATGTAGCATTAGTTCCTAAATAGAGGAGGGGTACCTTGGGCTTTTATTTTTTATACCATTAAAACTATTATTAAATATGTTTGATATCACTTAACATCTAGTTAGCTGTTTACTGTCTCATGAACATCTGATTTTTGAGATGTATTTGCATACTATGAGGTTGCATGCTGTTTTGCTTTTCATGCTGCTTTGCTAATGAAGAATAAGATACAATTATTTGAAGGTACTAATTATTCTATAATGTAATGCTGAACGTTTTACATATAGTAGATTGTTGACACTTGCAAGGAATATATCCTGAGCTCTTTGCAAATCTCCAAATTCTTTGACACATAGAGTATATAATTATCTGAGTTCCCTTGTCTGTAAAAGGGAGAGACTGCCCTACTTGGTATTGTTGACGTGGGGACTGAATGAAGTCAGACACCAATAAGAGGACAGTAAAGTTGCATTGAAAAGCAGATGTGGGGAAGGGTGATCAAGGAACATGTATGGAGGACCCATGGGCAAAGCAAAAGGCAGGGTAGGATTGAGGGCGCAAGGTGGGAGTAAGGGGGAGAGTGATGGGGGGAAATGGGGACAACTGTACTTGAACAACAATGAAAAAAAGGCAGGGCCTGATGGTCTAGGTTCACATTTGAGCTAGGTGATATCTTTGGTTTCAGAATCGTACTTCCCACAAAAATTGCAACTTCTTAGATATTTTGGATCTCCAGAGTTACTTAGAAATGGATGAAAAATGAAATTCTTTCATTCATTCCCAGACACTGGGAACGTTTGCAAAGTCCCAGTGTCTACTATATATAAAAATTGATTTTATCTTATTTGTGCCTCATGTGTTTTGTCTAGATGCTAACATTTCAATATTCTTTGACTCTTGTTAATATATAGACTGAATCAAATATTTTACATTAAAATAAATTAACATTTGCTTCAGAAAAACTATTATGTACCTCAAATGAGGCACATATATTATACATTGTCTACCATGCATTTCTTTATTTTAATACTCTGTGAAATATTTATTAAATTTAAAATATGAAGTCATCTTTAAACCTATTTGTGGGAAAAAGAGAACATTCTCTTAGAATTTCATAAACATTCTTAAACATAGCAACAATGCATTGAGCACCTGCCATGTCCAGGCACGTTCTAAGCTCTGACAATGCAAACAAAACCAGAAAGATACAGAGCTCGTGCTCATGCCACTACCAGTCTAGTAAGGAAGTGGGCATTAGATAGCTAAACAGCTCTGAGAAAGTCCAGAAAGAGAGACCAAAAATTTTTGGAATGTAGTGTATGATAAAGGTGGTCCTCAACTGGCCCTCAAAACAACATGAACAGTGTTGGAACAATTGGAGAGCAACTTGGACAGAGAGAAATTTGGGTTCATATATTCAATATCACCGGGATAAATGTTAAATATGAAGCTTGTCCATAAAGCATCCAGCCATGTACCATAAAAAATAGAGACATTTACTGAAGAAGATACAAGATACAAGAAACATTGTACATAGGACAATGACATCTCAGTCCCCTTCAAAGGAGGCACCTTGGGTCTTTACACAGTTCTCCCAATTGCCATCATCTATGCCATCATATTTTCCTGAGTCTCATTGATGGTCTGAAATCTCTTCCCTTTCAAATGTAATTTTAGTTTGGGGAAAAGCCAAAAGTTGCAAGGCACAAAATCTGGGCTATAGGGAGGCTGAGTCACCTGGATGTGATTTGATGTTTCACCAAAAAACTGCATGAGGCGTGATGCATGAGTGGGTGCATTGTCATGATGAAGCTACCAATCACTAGCTGCCCATAGCTGCACCTTCTCAATCATCAAATAGTTTCTGTGGGGGAATGGTCAAGCTTATTGCAAAATTAGATGCAGATTTATTGCTTTACTCGCTCAGTCATTTTGAATGTGATAGTCACATAGTACACATGCTCACTCAGTGGTGTCTATGGCCCCCACTGACTAGTACAGTGAAGTCGTCATTGTTCACATATGTGCATTCCAGTCCACTCTCCTTGGATTGCTGTTGTGCAAACCATTATTGTTATATGAACAATGGCTGGACTTTTTCCAGACAGACTTCTTACAAGAGGTTTAAATGTTAAAAAGAAGAAAAAGAAAAAGTTTACAAGTTCTAAAGAAAATTGGAGTAAGTCATTATAACCTTAGAGTAGAGAGAGCCATTCTAATTGTGACTCAATATCCAGAAGCCCAAAAGAAAAGACTGATAAATTTAATAGGAATACTGAAACAGACAAATTCTGCCAAGACCAAAAATGTCATAGAATCAAAAGAAACATGTAAAATGAAAACACAGTATTTGCAGTGTATCACTGCTAAAGACTAATCTTCCTATATAGAGAGAGCTCCTAAAAAACATGAACAGCCTAACAGAAAGAAGGCAAACAACTTGTACTGGTTGTTTTAAAAAAGAAAGAAAAAGAAATACTACTAGTGTACCCTTTAACAAAAAAGATAATTTTAATAAAGGCATTTCACATTTGATATACACTGACATGCAAATTCTTACCTACAAGACTAGTAACAATTCAGATGTTTAATTATACTTTTATATTTTTAAGGCTCTGGGAAAACAAGCACTTTCACAGAGCATTAGTGATGACACAAAACAGTAGATATCCTGGGAATTTTCCAATGTTCATTACAATTTAGAGGTGCTTTTTGGTTTCACCAAGTTATCTGGGACAAATATCCTAGATAAACAACTGTGCAAACATCAAATAGCACTTGTACAATATCATTCATTGGAGTACTGTTTGTGATACAAAAGATCAGAACAAACAAGACTAGAATAAATTATGTGAACCCATATAATGTAATACTATGCAACTATAAAAAATGGAAAATTAACTTCTATGTTGCAATGGAATTATCTCTACAATGTATTTTTAATGAAGAAGTCAAAGTATAGACCAGCATAAGTAGAATGCAAGGATTTTTAAAGAAATGGACCAAAATAAAAAATATAAACATATTTACTTATGTTTGCATAGGAAGGATAAACAATAAAGTAGTAAAATGGCACAATAAAGGATGGGGTGGATGAAGGTAGATGGGAACCAGAATAGGAGAGTTCTCAAGATAAGGAATCTCTTGGAAATTAGGATTCATTAATATATAAATAGTATAAAGCTACGAGAGAGAATGAAGTTACCTAGGGCGAGAATATAGTGAAAGAAAAACAGGATCCCAGATCAAGTCCCAAAAGCCTCTAACATTTAGGGATCATAGAGTAAAAGAATAGTCTGGGAAGGAGACTGAGGAAGAACAGAGTTTGGAGTAAAGCCTGGAGCCTTAATGGGGGGCATAGAAGCTAAAGAAATAGGAGGTTATACAAAGGATAATCTTAGGATAATAGATGTGTAAACAAACATGAGAACTGATGACAGTACTATAAAATCAACATTTACAAAATGAGTTCTTAACTTTAGAAAGTGACAGGATATAGATATATTAGATCTTATGTTAAAAGTAGTACCTGCATACTTATAATTTTCCTACTTGTATTAATTTCTTTGATCTAGCAGCAGCTGCCCTAAATTATATCAGATAAAACAAAATTAATTATTTAATTAATGGGCCACAATATTCTATAAGTTCTTTATGTGATTAATGCTTAGGAGAACCAACTCTGGAACTAGACTATCTAGGTTTAAATCCTGGTGATGTCACCAACCAGTCTGGGGGAGCAGCTGCAGCATGAGTGTCACTCCAAAGGGTGTCTTTCCAAGAATTTGAGAAATTGACATAAGCAAACATTGATATTGGCAAGAGAATGAAATGTGCATGAATCTCTGCTTCCTTTGGCAGTCAACTTCATTCTCTTCCACTGTATTCCAGGATGTTCCATGTGCAAAACTGGCCACTGCACTTTGCATATAGCCACAGCAGTTCTGAAACAAACAAACAAACAAACAAACAAACCCTTTTATTATGTCTGTCAACAAAGAGGAGAAAACATCTATCTCTGGACTCTAGTTAGACAATCCTGTGCAACGATTGGCCAGGCTTGCTTATCATCTGATGAATCAGGTGGACTGTGGGAATGTATTAGTTTTCTACTGCTGTGAAACTAATTACCATAAATTTAGTGGCTTGAAACAAAACGCTTATGACCTGACAGTTTCTGTAAGTCAGGAGTCTGGACTGGGGTTAGTTGGACTCTCTGCTCAGGATCTCACTAAGCTGAAATTATTTTTTTGGTGGGGACTATCATTTCACTTGAGGATTGGGTTCCTCTTCTTCCAGGCTCATTCAGGATGTTGGCAAAATTAAATTCCTTTTAATTGCAAGGCTGAGTTCCCTGCTTTCTTGCTGGTTGCAGGATGGGGCACGTACTCAGCCTCCAGACACCATACTCATGTTCTCACAACTTGATCCTCTCACACTAGGATAGTTTACTTCTTTAG